TTCATCATTTCAATGCCATTCGCAGGTTTAATTTAGAAGCCCTATCAGGGGGATGACATTCTTTCATAATTCATGGTGATATCTTGCAATTATCTAATATTTTAAAATTACCTGCCTTCAGGTGTCAGGGAAAGTTGGACCGACACAAAACAAAATGGACCGAGTCTTTAAAACCGATTTTTGCAGCTAAAAATATTGACAATGTATAAAGAATTTGTTCAGAAAAAACAAAGGGCCCCGTAATAGGGAATTAATTCTCTTTGGAACTGTCTTAATTGGTTTAAATTTGATGAAATGATTGCAAATCCCTCTAAATTTCAAGCTATCACAATCGGCAGCAAAGATAAATGCATAAATGAGTTTGAAATTGACCAAGAATTTGCAATTAAAATAGAGAAACTCAACAAAACTCAACACACTCAACAAAATGTATAGAGGAATTGTTAAGCCCCATTTGAGCTACTGTTGTTCCATTTCGGGTTGCTGTAGTGAATCAAAGCTTGACGTCTTGCAAAAAATCTAAAATTCCTTTCCTGTCTCAAGTTGTATGACTCTGGCCTGAAAGGTGGAACCTCAGCAAACAGGGAGTGCGGAGATTGAAGTATTTTTAGGTTGAAAGAATGGCACAACCTTCTGAACCACCTCCTATCGTACAAGGTTTCCCACCCGAGCTCTTTGTACAGCATGTCTCTACTTGTACCTTTCCAAGCACCGGTAGCAGCCAAGGCAGCTGCATACTGGGTTTGTTCAAGCTTATTGGTGAAATTAGGACGCATACTAGGATCGTATTTATGATAAATTATATCCCCATAGTCAAGATGAGGCCTTACATAGAGTTGGATTAGGACATCTCTAGACACATATTTAGACAGATGCTTCATCATTCCAATACCATGCCTAGCTTTGACAATCGCTTCACTTAAATGACTTTTAAAGTCTAACCTTGAGTCTCAGACCATACCAAGATGTTTGTGTTCCGATGTTTGGGAAATAATAGTATCACCCAACTTTAAAGGGGGATGATCAGGTTTGAGTCTTTTAGTAGAGAATATCACTTCCTCGGTCTTATCTGTGTTGAATTGCATTTTCCATTGTCACGCCCATAATTTAATTTTTTCAAGGTCACAATTTAGTTTACCAGCAGTGTTAGCAACATCGTTTACAACGGAAAACAATGACGTGTCATCGGCAAAAAGTCTTACGTCACAGCTCACATTTTCAACAAGATCGTTAATGTATATTAGAAAGAAAAGTGGACCTAATACAGAACCTTGAGGAACACCAGCTGAAATAGTTACCCAACCAGACGATTTGCCATTCAATACGACGCGTTGCTTACGGTTATTCAAGAAATCTTTGAGCAAATTTAGAAGATCACCAGATATTCCATTGCATTGAAGTTTGTATATAAGTCCTTCGTGCCAGACCCTGTCAAGAGCCTTCGACAAATCTAGAAAAACAGCTCTTGCTACCTTACTGGGTACTTCATCAAAAGCTTTGTAAATTAGGTGCGTTATTGAAATTAGTTGATTGATTGTAGAATCTCCAGGACGGAAGCCAGATTGTTTATCGGTTAGCAGTTAATTTATGGAAATATGATAGTAGATGTCATCAAATATTAGCTTCTCAAAGATTTTGCTAAATATTTGGAGCACAGAAATAGGCTTATAATTATTTTTGCATTGTCTATTATTTTTCTTATGAATCGGAGTTATATTTGCCCTTTTCCAAATGGATGGGTAGACATCAGTCTCCAGACTTTTTTCAAATATGATAGACACTGATATTGCATCACAACCATGAGCTTTCTTAGAGTCAAAAGATATTCATTAAAGATAGTGGCTTTACTTTCAAAGTTGATGACTAGCAAACCATTTTCAAGTAGGGGTGGTATATTCAATGTACTCTTTTTATTTATTAATCGATTCAAAGTTGCCCAGTACGCCTTTTCTCCGTGATAAGGATCACCGAACTTACGACCTGAATTCCGAAAATATTTATCCTTTGCATTAATGATCATTCCCTATATAGTCATACTGTTACTTCCAGTCACTTGCAGTCTTAGGTGCATTAAATAGCAAGAAATGATGCTAAAATAAAGTTAATGCGAAGCTAAAATTAAGTGAAATCAACTCTTACGATGTTCTCAAGAAGAAATCAAAATAAATACTACAGATTGACTGGGAATTGTGCATAACCACTAGCAATCAGCCTAACCAAGATTTTGAAGGTTTAAATCATAAGAGTAAAGGCCGCTGATCATTTTAAGCCTTGGGAACATTCTGGAAGATAACGGGAAGTCCCGTTCACGTTACAAGCTCGTTCTGATGGTATCATTAAATTTGAAAAATTCGAAAGTCGAAATTTTGCTGACCGTGCATTTTTCATGCTTCCAGAAACGCGACTTCCGGTTAATTACCAGAATGTTTCCAAGGCTTAAAATGATCAATGGCCTTTACTTTTATGATTTAAACTTTCATCGAGTTTGAAAAGGTTGGAATGGGCCAAATTCTCTTTATGATTGCGTGTTTGTGGCTTTTCATGATATCATTTTACTCTTTTTTGTGTAACTTATAATCACTTCTAGCGTTATTTGGTGGCACCATACTGAATTCAAAAAGATGGCCAGAAACAAAATTTTCAAGATAAGAAAAATTTTGCGGGGAACAGATAGAAATTATTTATTCCCAGATAAAAAATTGAAGAATGAACATTATATTTTTGAATATCATTATCAGAAAAAACTGGGCTTTTGTGGTCTTTTAGAGAATTAATAGTATATATGTGTGGAACAATCAATGAAGATAAAAACATTTTTATGATGTTATTTGATGTTGGTCTTTTTCTGAACGTGAAGAAGGAAAAGCCTTTTAAACCCCTAAAAAGGTTGAAATATTTAAAAGAACAACCCAAGCGTAATATGGTATCTTAACAGCTCTACAGATCAATAGTCACGTGAGTCAATGCTGTTATCAAATAGATAATACACCTTTCAACTAGCCGCGTCAAAGGGAACTGGGTCGAGATTTGGGGTGAAAGACCGCGCGTGTTGTGGGAACCAGAAGTTATTTCATATTTTAAGACTAAAAACCGAAATATTTATATTTTCATCCCGAAGATCTCAATTATTTAATATTTCAAATACCCTTTATAGGGCCTCAATTTAAGTTACGAATGATGAAGACGGCACAAAATAGGCACCATAATTGATTTTATATCGAAGATGGAGGAGGAAATGTTGATGATGACGAGTTTCTTGTTTTTCATGAGGCAAATAGACACGGGAATTCGCATTTTGAACTTCCATATTGGAAATATGAACGTTTTTATCTGGATGGGATGCGAGAGGATGAGTGTGAGGTCGAGTTTCGGCTTAAGAAACAAGACATAGCTAGGCTCGCTACTGCATTACACCTTCCAGATGTGCTCAAATGGAGTGGTAGTGGGACCAGTTGAAGCACTGTGTGTTTGTCTCGAACGCTTTGCATACCCATGCAGATAAGCAGACCTAATACCAAAGTTTGGAAGATCCGTGCCCAACTCTACATGATAACTAACCTTGTGGTTACTTTTTTACATAATTCATTTGGGGTAGCGATAAACCAAGTTAACTTGGACCTATTTACAAAAACAACAGTGTTTTGCAAACAAATTCATTAAAAGGACCATTATCGCAAATACCGATTTCCCGCGCTTTGTTTTAAACTCTGCATGCTTTGTTTTATAATTCTTTAAATCTGATATCACCTAATAGAAGAAGGATAACGATACGTTTAACTCAGCCAAGTGGAAATGATCAAAAACAGATTAAAATGAGTTTAAATTAGCAGGCGCTTTATTGATTCGCTTTAAAAACGGATACATTTAAACCGCTTTTGTTTTAACCCAGCTGGTAGAAAGGCTGCCTTAGGTGTACCCTGGGCACCAGAGCCTTCGTGACAGAGCGGGCTGAAAGGCTTGTAGAGGGGAGAGAAGGAAGGAGGCTCTGGCTGACACGTAAGAGGAACTCGGTATGAGGAATGAAGACTATGAGGAGAAAGCGCTGCTGTCAAGTGGCCGAGCGCACAAAAAAGTTGAAACCCTATCAACTTTCTGGCGCTCACAGCGGACGCAAAATCGAGACCATTTGATTTTAACTACGCATGCTCAGAATTGGGCGCTACGCCCGCGCGCACAAAAAATGTCAAATGGAAATTGGCCTTATAACTTAGAGCGGATCCGAACGTAAGCGTAACCGCAGCTCTAATTTTGCTGCCGTTAGTTTTTGTGGCTCTGGCATCCAGCGTACTCAAAATGCATGAATGAAGACCTCTAATCTCTTCCGGACTAAGTGAACCTTAAACAATATGTTGTCAGTATCTATTAATCCGATGAGGTAACATTTTAATGCAAAGCTATGAGCCACTGGCATTACTGTATACTGTAGGCAACTCGCCAGCGGTCTTGGTTCCTACCTACAATGACCTCAAAAAACTTGGAACACTAACAGCACTTTTGCCATGGTTACTAGGATAGCAGGGGTGTATTTCCAAACGTTTTTTGGGAAAGGGGGCAACTCAACTATTTCAATTGACGTGAATTGAAAATAGATCGAGAAATGACTGAAGCTGCCTCGATGATCCAAGTAATTTTGGCTGTATGATTTTTTAGAGTTATGATTGAAATATAAGGTTTGATTACCGTTCGATCTTTATGATTCTCTACTCGGTATCATATTTTTGCTATGAGCAGAAAAATGTTAGTCCAATTTGTTTACCATATTTACTCAAAAACACTGGACCTCAAAAAATGCTTGTCTCGAATAAATGCTAGGCATCACCGAAAGCATTGTAACAAACAAACAACATTCTTTACAGAAAATGAATAAAAAAGATCAACAAATGTTTTGAATACCGATGCACTCGAGCTAGATCCCTTCTTTAACTCAGATCCTTGTAATGATGAAGAATATGCAGAGTAATACTTTTGAATTTGAAATAAAAGCATGATGAACAAGTTACCTGATATCATCAACAGGAAGGTGACCATATTCCAACAGATCTGTGTTTGAAATATCATTAGGATGAACGAGCTCAACAAGATCTTTTAGCTGCTTGATACTCAAGCTGGCAACAAGTTCCTTTGTGGCGTAGCCATCCTTGTCTGGGTCCAAATACTCCAAAAACTAAACAGAAAGAGCAAAATGATAATAACAATGGATTTGAGACTTGATAGCCAATACACAAGCAAAAATGCTACTATAAACAAGGGTCCTGTGAACACTACACACCATAGCTACGTATGCCGGAATGACCAAGGAGCAAGAGGGCAGGCTTGAGTAAAAGGCCTTTTAATAATATAATTCCTAGCTGCTAACAATCTTTTTGTAACTGTCATCTCTTTCGATTTTCTGTAGGAATATTGAAAATCAGCTAAATTTTCGCATTAGAAAAATCTTTACAAGTTTTGAGACATGTTTTCAGGATAATTACAAACGGCCGATGTCAATGGAACTTCTATGAAAAGGGCACTTTGGCCCCTCTTGTCCCTTCTATCAAGAGGCAACAGGGGCGGTTGTCCCCCCATGCCCCCCTCTCCGGCGTCACTGGCTATTGCTTAAGATTATGCCAAAGATTGATGGCGGAGAAAGCATGTTCTTTTGTCTTTGGCCAAGACAAATGTTTAGACGAGGGCATTAGTACAGACTTGGCATCCCCTAGGCAAAAGACCTAGGCATAAAAGTCATCATGTGACTTTTTGCAGGAACAATAAAGAAAAAATGCGTTTTTAATTCTTTTGCGATTGATGGGGCGGGAAGATACCAGTAAACATGTTGTTGAAAACTGAACTTTATGATTACGATGATGATCCACAAGAGAGACTGCAAAAACAATTTACGCTATAAAAGTTGCCCGGTGAGTGCAATAAGGGTAAAATTCGGAGTAGCAACTTAAAAACTGTCCTGTTCTAAGCACCAAATAGCATGCAAACTTCTGCCAATGCGGCATCGAGCATTTTAAGACAGACCGGTAACTGTTTTTTTTCATTATTTAGGAATTTTTACATCTCTATTAAACTTTGTACTAGCGATTTAAGGAATACCTCCTTCTTTCTCCTTTTCATATCGGCTACCATTGCGGCTCTTTTTGCGTTACTATCAAGTAGGACAAAGACGAAGTTTGCAAAGGACTGTAATGGTATAACTCCATGCGCATCTGCCCATTTTATTAGGGCCTTCTGTAAGATGTATATGTCCATATGACCTTGAGATAGATTTCCATATCCTAGTGGAATTAAACATGTAATTTCAGGATAGAATGATTTGCCGTTAAAGGCTCTTGCGTAACCGGCATGCTTAGCGGTAGTTGTCTTAAGAAATTGACTATGTTTTATATTTTCATGCAGTACGATATTAGCTCGGGGGTTACTGAGCCTAATTTTGGACGAGGACGTGCCAGTTTGGTTGAAATATTGGACCCATAATTCCGCACATTTCTGGAAAAATGTTACCCATAATTTCGCAAACATGTTGAAAATTATACCCATAACTCCGTAAAGCAAATAACATTCTTAAAGCACAAAAAATTCATCGAACAATTTTTGCATGTCCTTTACCCAAAATCTCAATATTACATATATTTCATCTGTAAATCCCAGTAATTTTGCAATATTTTCCCAAAATGGTACCCATAATTCGGCATGTTTCTTCAAATGGTACCTATAGCTCCGCACATATTTCAAAAACCGATACCGATAATTCGGCACTTTTCAAAAAAAGGTACCCCTACATGTTAAGATACCCCCCACCCCCCAAGGATATTAGGCCAGTCTTTTGAATTACAGTCACAAAGCCTGCCGGTTGCGCAAGAGCCTTTAAGGAAACTGGACTTTACAGGGTCGATGTATGCATGCATATCAAATAATTACAATAAACATATTTCATTTCGATTTACTAACACTATATATAACAGTTTTAAACATCCTTTTTCATATAGAACCATCATAGAGTGTAGAATGCAATAATGTGATAAAATAAAAAATTCATTGAATTCTGAGTTTGTCATTTGCTTATTTTCACAACTAAAGATGAAGTGTGTAAAATTATTAGCTATGGTTGAAAGCTTAGAGATAATGTAAAAATTGTGTTGTTGATCTCATTTTTTGATGAAGGAGCAACGGGGATTGCCGAACATTTTAAATGAACTCACAAGAAGATTAAAAAGGGGACGAATATCAATTGCTGTTGTAATTCAGAAGCGATAAGAGTTTTTGTGTTGTGTTTTCTTTTCAAGCTGGACCAAAATAGGACTCAGTGCCAAAAGTTATCCCTAAGATAAAGAAGTAGTTGTTGTGAGTGTCAAAAGACAATCAGCACAACAGTTTTCTTCAGCTACGATCAATGATGAAAGAAATCCACGAGTAACAACATAGAAAGAGGTAGTTAGAAATTTGGGGTAGAGTTAGTTCATCAAGTGAGGAGACCTTGCTACCGATATGCTTTCCTACTAGCAAGAAAATTTACCTGAGTACCGCCAAAGTATATCAGTCTCGTTCATCAGTGTGTAGTCAAATTCCCTGTCTTTACAGCCGGTACTATCAAAATGGTCCAATACTGAGAACCAGATGGCAACAGCCGAATTCATGTACCCAAAAGAACGAACTTGGTGCCAGTATCCTGGTACAAACAATATAAAAAGTGATGAGTGCAAAAGTGTGACATCGCATACAGAGAAATATAACCGTTCCAATGTAGTGGATGGATATAGTACATACCCAGCAGCATTTACACTATAGCAGACGGACATTGAGCATAAAATTACTTTGTAATGCTGAGGTCTTAGTTCCCATTACTAACAGTACTAATTTTGAAGATAGCTGTAAAATATCAGTGCAGACATAGCAAAATGATGATTAAATGAAATTTAATCAGAGTTAATCTCACGAGGGGCTTTTGAGCGTTAACTAGATCGCATGAGATTGTTGTTATTACTATTTCGTTATGTTTTCTTGTGCCACGCTTCCTCTCGTTTTTCTTGTATCTGCTCTACTAGTTTATGGGCAATGCGGGGAGTCTTTCGGCCTCCTGTGAATTTGATTTGTATAACTAGGGTAAGATGTGTGTTTCGTGGCGTTTTCATTCCCTTGGTTAATCTAGGGGTATTTAAGGTTTTGGCATAGCGTGGGTCTCAACTTGCTTGGTGAAGCCACAATACAACTAGGCTGTATTATTGTATTTTTTGTATAATTTTGAAGATAGCTATAAAATATCAGTGCTGACATAGCAAATACAATTTAAACACAATCAGTAATAAGTTTCAACTAAGCCCTCTCTCAAATTTTTTATTCTTGTTGTGATAAAGAGAGTGACAGCAGAGCATATTACGGACTGAGGAGGTTTAAACGTTTTGGGGGGCTAAACATTTTTAAGAACATTTTTAAATTATTGAGGGCCTTCACCCTCTCCAGCTTCTGGGGTCCCTGGTATAACAAGCCTTTCAGCAATTATTTCTACATATTTAAGTCAAAAAAATACTACACTTGCAATGCAAGGTAGCATCTAGTTATAATACCACATTTTGAAAAGATAAATAGCAGGTAGACGAAAACTGAAATCTGAAATGAGTTGAATTTTCACCTGATGGCATGAAGATACAGTCTCCTTTGTGTAACCTCAGCTTTGCATACTCTATATCAAGTACTTTTGGATATCTATGCAAGTCAACACTGTCTGCATTTATTGATGATATTCCTCCCCATTCAAATTCTGAAGATGTCTCCATGTAGATAAAATCTGTATAGTTTGGATGAATCAAGATCCAATCTTTTGTTCCATTGAAAACACAGTGTATGTTGTTGTATGGGTCTTTGTGCAGAGCAGTTTTTCCTCCAGATGCTGACAGAAAGACATGAACTTCTTGGACTGATTTTGCAAATGAGCCACATCTAAATTAAATAAAATAGATCAGCAGTTTACTCTATTAGACTAAAAAAGGGTACTACTAGGAACATAGAAATGGTTATGGTTCAGTGTTAAACATTTTATGAGGCGGGAAATTGAAGAGTGTTGTTCTTCCTGCTTTTCAAAATTCAGTAAAGCATTCTTGCTTTACTGAGCTCAACTACATAAGCAGAAATTGAATGGTTAGAGAGGCAGAGTAACAAAGTGCCGCTTTTGGCAAAACTGTACAAACTCCTTCGATAAGTCCTGATTAAGGTGTCCTCCATTTTAGCATATCTTTTTTGCAATCTATCCTTGCAGATTCAATGTGCACAAACTTCAAAAGCAAATAATTACAATCAAAAATGTTAAGCTGGGAGACTGGTTATCTTGCTGCCTTTATCCTGAAGCTAGGTGGTTGCTGCCCTTGGTTTACTACAAAAAATCTATACAGTGTGACGCTGTATAATTAATCCTGACTAATCTCTTAAATTAAATCAATATATGTTCCCTGAGAAAATACAGAGCTTTCAAAATCTTGTGGTGTAGAAATGAAAATTTCCTTGGCTACCAACTTTTGTATGACATCTGAGCCAATTTACCCATAACATAAATTAGGAATGCACAGGAAACTTCTTTGAGATATCAAAAAGAGCATCTAGCTACCTGCTACCAGAGCGCCATATGAGCAAACATATTTGGCACACAAAGTTATGTCACTAAAACAATGCTTAATTTAATTGCTAAAATATTCAAAGTAGATGGTACCAACAAGAGAATGCCTAAGATTAAAAATAGTTATTTCAGTATGAAATTGAGAATATTCACTGAAATTTGATGATATTTGATCATCAACTTTTTCAACAGTAAAACAGTTTTAACAGTTAGATTGGATACTTATTCAAAAAGAGGGGCATTGCTCTTCTTCTTTTAAGGGCTTAATCACTTCCATCTCAGCTGAAGTGATGAAAGGTTGGGCATTATTTGGTAGTATTCAACAAAAGTTGGACATTGTTTGTCACCCCTTACAGTTTTCACTTGCTAACTTTTATGAGAATATGAATAATAAGGAAATAAATTGTGAAGTAACCTGAGACATGGTAGGATCATCACATCTTTCTCCATCGGCACAGGAATCTGAGAAATTATGTAGCTATCTTGCATCTGATAGTTTCTAAGAAAATTGCCAAGGAGGTCCAAACCAAGGCTGACAGCTCCTTCTGGTAATATTCTATTGTTCTCAAATTTTGCTTCAAGACGCACAGTCAAATTTCCATAACTATCAATCAGAAAATCTTCAGTCCATAATTTGAATGCCCTGTAAAATGTATAAAGTAAAAACCAATGAAGAAAATTGATTGAATAAAAATGTTGATCCTGTATGTTACATATTCTAAAAATTTAAACATTGTTTTCAAAATATTTCAATTTAAATTGTTAATGTTAACAATTGTTCAGCTATAACTTCCATTGCCTAACTGTCATTTTAATAACAATTTAGCCATCAATTAATAATCATTGCTGAAAACTCTGCCCCCTTCTGGGAATTCCTTTTGTACGAAATATCATCTCAAGAACAAAGATGCTCTCCACTCAATTTTGGGGTACTCTGTCCACGATTAGTTTCTCTACTGACATAGTTCCTCCTTTGAGGAGTTCCTTCCATGCAATCTATCCTATTCTTTGTTTTGTAATTATATATCGAATTAATTTTAGGTGTTGAGGGGGTAATTTGGGACATCCTCATTTCATAGATGCAAATGATGCACATGCACAGACGAACTCATTTAAAAAATTTATACTATGTCTGTTAAAAAACTGAACCAGAAATTCATAAAACACTTTTAAAAACATAACTTAAGACTTCTAGGCTATGGAGACCTTTATGCCACTTGATTTTGATTCTTAGTGCCAGGGACGGATTTAAATGGCAAATGTGGAGGGGGGGGGGTGTTTGATAATAATTTTGGTGCCATATCCTTCAGGTCTCTGGAAAATGATGGAAACACCCATTTTTAAAATTAGGTCTTTAACTTTAACAAAGAAGATAAGAAGATTAAGAAAATAAAATTTTGGCGTTATTTGATTACTGCTGACTACCCAAAAATGATTTTTACCGAATGGAGGGAAAATTTTCTGGAGGACACAAAAGTATTGGGGGGGGGGTGTTGCAACTCCTACACCCCCTGGTAAATCTGTCCCTGCTTAGTGGGAGGAGCAAATCACTCCAAAAAAATTTTGTACACCTTTAGTGAAAATCCTATTGTTTATCTGAAAATCCCCATAAATCCTTTTGTTTTAGGTAAAATCTTGTACGCTATTTGCAAGAGTGAACTGCCCCTCGGCTTAGTGCCTTACAAAATGTTAATATTTTTTAATGTATATGTTTATACACCTTAGAACTATTCAACATGACAATTGATATCCCAAATTTCCCATGTTCCCCGGTTTAACCTGTAATTTTTGTAACATTGATTTTGTAATTATTTTGTAACTTAGCTAGAAGGTACGTAATCGTAACTTCTATATAGTTAATTTGGAACCAAATTTTTGTAGAGAAATTTAAAATATAAAACTGAGCGAACTGAACTGAAGCAAACAAAATTTGTTTATCAAGTTGGTAACTACAGTATAAACCTCGACTTTCTGGCAGCACCTCTGAATACAAGTGGCCTATTTTCCTTCACATAGCGATTGTAGAAATCTTCTGGTTGTGGCACACTATCTGCATCAATTTCATCGATATGAACACTTGGTTCTCTCTGTTCTCCAAGTCGTCTATGATTCCCTTTCAGTGTTGATGTATTCGGTGTTGCATAAAGTAGAAGAAATGCAGCTATCATAACATTTTGCAAAGTTGTCATCTTTCAGTCGGTGCATGTTTCCTTTGCAGAAAATGTGTGTGAGTGAACCAGACAATAACAAGCCATCGCTAATAGATAACATATTCACAAACTCGTTTGTTATGGAGACAGCTGGTGGCAAACTAATTGTCTCACTTTACTTTTAAAGACAAAAAGATTTCCTCTACTTACAAGTCAAAGATCACGATGCGTGACTTCCGAAACTTCAATCACAGAATAAGAATATTCTTATTCTGTGCATTTCAGAGGGGGCCAGAAAGAAAAAATCCCCAACAAAGTTTGTTTGATTTATTCTAATCAAATAGAAACATTTCATGTAAATGAAAGGGGGTGGGGCAGAAAACTTTTGCCTTAGCTAGAAAGATATCTAAAATGCACTTTTATCTTGTCTCTACTTCTTCATACTTACTGTGAACGTTCCTTTTAGGGCAAGGGTGAAACAAAGTTACTATCTGAGGGGGAACAACCATGGTTGCTGCCGAAGGGGAATTTGTTTGCCCCGCTGAAAAGACAGAAGCAGTACAAAAAACTTGGATTTTTTGGATTCAGTGGCGGCTCCAGCCTGGGATAAATGAGGGGGAAGGTGTGTCAGGGACCACGCCCTTTCCACTGATTGAAACATTTCCTTCCGAAGGATACAACACTTGTCTTCCAAGAAATCTAGATAACGTACATATCCCCCCACCCCCCTTGAAGTTTTCTCATCAGGTTTGAAAGAATCTCAAGGGCCAACTTTCTGAAAAAGTGGGGGAGGGGAGTGTCTCTGTAGGTGGTGAACTTTCTGAAAAGATGCCTGTTCAACATGGGGTGCTACAGGGGAGTGTTCTTGAACCACTTCTTTTTCTCTTATATATAAATTATCTACAAATTCATCAAACATCATGAATTTTTGTCTATTTGCAGATGATACCAGTCTTTTTCATTCAAAGGAAACATCGAAGTGCTAGAGAAAGTTGTTAACTTTGAGTTGTCCAAAATTTCCCACTGGCTAATTGCAAATCATTTGACATTTAGCACAAGCAAGTCAAACTTTAAGATAGTTAAACAAAAACAAAAAACAACCTGAAAGTATTAACTTGGAGATAAACAATGATAAGTTACGCGAAGCCAACAGTTTGAAATACCTAGGCGTACTAATTGACAAGAATCTAACTTGGATAGAACATATTGGTCATGTTAATAATGAAATAGCGAAAAGTCTAGGCATCCTAGATAAACTGAGACATATCGCACCCAACAGTGTCCTATTCAATACATACAATGCATTTATTACTCCTCACATTAGATATAGTCTAATAAATTGGGGCGGTCCCTTTTCCTTTACACTTTATCCTCTTTCTACGACCCTAAAAACAGCTGCAAGAACTGTTTGTTTTAAAAAGCAAAATGAACACTCCAGACCAGCATTCAGTGAATTGAATGCACTAAATTTGCAAGACACATACACACCTAAATGTGCAAAATTTATGTTTGATGTATCAAAAGGCAGCTATGAGAACATTCTTACAGATACCCTTCAAGAGCTAGACCATACAAATTCCCACAAAACCCGGCAATCAACACATGGCAACTTCTTTCTCTATGGAGCTAAAATCAGTGGTGGCGCCAGGGTAGGGCTAGAGGGGGACTACAGCCCCTTCGTGGAAAGCATCTAGCCCGCTATCGGAGGAAATTTTAGGCTATTGTCGAAGCAAATTTGACAAAATAACGTTCGAAAACTGCATATTTTAGTTATTTTAGCCCCCTTGTCGGAAGCTCCAACCCCTCCGTTGGAAGATTTCTGGCGCCACCTCTGGCTAAGACAAATGTCAAACGTAACTTTGTTACAACTACAGGAGTTAAACGCCCCTGGCTGGCAACCTTTTCAACTCTTTTCAAACAATGCACCCTACAAAACAGTTAAATTTGAATTATATTGGACCCATGAAAAGCAAAGCTTTTAGCCTGGGACGCCTGTGGGTTAGCCAGGGGTATGTAGTGGTACGGGGACTTGTTGACCTGGGCCACTTCTCCCACAATATCCTATTTCAAATATTTTCGGGTATGTTTCTTGCGAATCCCCCAATTATTATCATTTTAGCGCTAAATTGTATTCCTGAGCTTGTGTGTTCATCCATTTACCAACAATGTCAATGAATGACCGTACTTTGTTTGCATTTCTTCCATTTCCGTCAAACTTTCTGTTCGAAATCATCTTAATAAATTTTCTTCTTCTCTTCTCTGTCAACATTTCCCTGAAAATTCCAGCCGTTATCCGTTAAAGCGCAACATACGTAAAACCGTACGTTTTATCCCCGATCTTCTTAACTTCCCTCACTTGTCACCCGTTATCGGGGGTACGATACTAGAGGGGCCCAAGGGGGCCATCTGAAATTCATCTCAATCTTCTTTATGATTCCTCTAAACTAACTGTTAACTTTTAGCTTTTAACTTACAAACTATTTATTACCCTAAAGCAGTAGCCGTACCAACCAATAGGATGTAGGGGGCAAAACAAACATTTAGGCAACGCCTTTTTATTGGCAGAAAACGCCCTTTACTGATATCCCCATGGAAGGCTAATTATAAAGATGGGAAGCTCCCATGGATATATTTTGGTTACGTGAAATCGTAGAATTACATCACAAAGAATAGGTTTCCGAAAAATTACCCCTCCCCTCATCGAATATTGACCAAATACAACATAGATACTGCCGATAACCTGGGGTACGTGCCCCACAGTCCCCCCTGTGACGTCGCCGACGCAATGGAGCCTACTGAAAACTTTGACAAGATTACACAAACTTTGATTTTTATACAATTCAACTTCTATTGCTACAAAATATCAATTTTACTATTTACATTGAAAGCTGATTATTTATGCTAAATCCCATTTGATTGATGTAGCGTTAATTTTCATGACTTGTCCGCAAACTGCGACGAGACCCAAGCCAGCCCCCACTTAAGATTTGTTAGCATGAATTTCAAAGCTTTCGTCCAGTGCTCCTCCGAATTAAATTGAATTCTGTAATAAAACATATTAGATATAGACAGATTCCAATACACCTAAATGTTTAGACGATGTTGCTCGCCTAATGATTCTATCTGTCATCTCAAAAACACAGAATACAAAATTCAGAGGGCTCAAAAACAAATACTTAGTGTGTATGACGCTGCTAAGAAAAGAACACGATAGAACATGTGAAAGATAAATTCTATAAAGAAGGGGTGAAAACAGACAACAAGAAAACAAATCTAAAAAGTGGCAATAGTTCCATACTTAGAAAAGAATGATAATTATGTTCAATTTTCAAAACGGAGACAGTGAGGGGTAGGGAGGGGGCCATACTTATTGAGCCTTGAAAAGGGAGTAGATTTAATTTAGAAAACAAAAAGCAACGTTCTTTATTTACCTGAGCGAGGAAGTGTGGAAAAACGAATATCTTACCGAATCGAGTATGATCCTGTAGCTCTTGAATCGAAAATTTTACCCTTTTCCATTCTATAAAAATTAATCCTTCTTTGAACCTTGGTTTCTTATGTCTTTTTACAATAAAAATTTCTAATACACAAGTAATAATGTAATTTGTCTGAAAAATTCAGCATAATATTTAAGAAATAAGAAACCATTCTGAAACAATAATTACAATATAACAAATATAGTCCCATTCAAAGGAAAGTAGGAAAAAATGGCATTATCATTAGTGGTGGTCAAATATTGGGGGGGGGGGTGCAAGCCTATTACTTTGATAAGGTAACGTTACCTTTTCCAATTGTCTTAGAACAAAAGACCATTATCCTAAAAAATATGGGGGTGACCGCCACTGATTATCACTTGCATTTTCTTTTTCCAATTTAAAATGGAACTGTGACTTCTGCATATCACTTGTACGCAGGGAAAAGTGCCTGTAAGAAAGATGGAGAGCATTTTTTCCACGCTTTTCTTAGCCTTTTTAATGATTCTACCGTGTTCCCATTTGCAGCTGGGAGATAGGGAGCTAGGCTTGAGGCCCCACTGCAAACAACCACCCCATTTACTTTGCAACTTGTCCTTTTGTGAGTAAACTAACATTTGAATAAACATATATCCTGAATTGGTTAAGTATTTAAAGTCGTTCTTATATACTAAAGACTGACTGCTGAAGAAGTATTATTGTTATCAAAAGAAAACAAAATCTAACCTGTAAGGCAGATAGAAACCCGAATCACCTCTTTCTACCTCTTCTTTGAACTACAATTTAAGAACTTTATATTAAAGAAAAAGTTATTAAAGTCGACATTACGTTACAGCAAAACGATTCCCAAGGAAAAGGGTGACAGGTAGCTTATATTATTCTTTGTGGGGGGGGGGGGTTGGGTGCTCGTGACCCTTTAAAAGTTATAAAAGTTCTTTGCTTCCAATAGGCAATCCTATTTGTTCCAATTGTTTTCAAATAAGGGTGCCCCTCCCTCCAATAATTCTATACTTCTTACGGTACCGTTAACGACAATATTGACAATTTCTTTGGAGAGAGCCAAGATTCCAACTTAGATTAGATTAAAAAAGTGTAGAGTTCATCAGGGGAAGCAGAACCATTTACCTGTTGTAGGCAGTCCAGGAAGGCGACCATAGCTTGATCAAATCTAAAAGTAGTAGCAGGTAAAGGTTCAATAAGATCTTGACTACTTTATGGGATACGTTGGAATGAGCAATCAAGTAAAAGTAGGTGTGTTCTAATTTACAATCCCTAATAAACGTTTTTATCCACCAAAAGATTTCAGATGGCAGTATCTGATAAAGGGATATAGATCTACCTAACTCAAAAGTCGATAGAGCTTTATTCATCAGCGTGATCATTACAGAGTTCTTAAGTATGGCGTCACAAAGAACTTTTTTCAGAATTTTTGAATTTTGGCCATATACCATGAAAGAACTCATGGAATACTTCCAGATTGGCAAAATCAGGTTAGTGAATCAAAAGCTGGGTGAGATATATCCAAGATATTTCTATCTGCCTTACTATATGTCCCTGCCATTTTGAAAAATAGACCTTTTAAATGGAGAAAAATGTGACAGTAAACAAGATTAACGACCTTTTCTTGGAATTGTTTGGCAATATACATGGCCTACTTACTTTGTGTCCCAGAAAAACCTGAATCCGCCAGAACCGTATCTGAAATCAAGACAAAGACAAGACATGTGTTATCCTGCGTTGTAATTTATACCAACCGTTAGATTCATTAAGCGAAAAGTAACAAAATTGATTGTATCTTCATCAGGGACATAATATTTATAATCTAGAGCGTTATAGGCATAAATTAAGAAATCATGCAAAAAAGAGTATTTCTGCATAAATTAACAACGCAGTTATCAAATCTACATAAACTTTTCTTCAAAAATATCTATGGAAAATGATGAAAGAGGGGAGAAGTTTAAATATCATATTTGACAACGTACAGTGGAAGCTCTTTCATTTTCTCTTCCAGGCATTCGATGTAAGAATGATTGCCGTATGGAACTAATCGATACCTGAGTAAAATGAAAAGAAGAATAAAGGAGAGGAAGTCTTGGCACATGGAGTACCCACGGCTTCCTACGATAAACATTCTTCTACAAATACAGCGAGAATTTAAAAACCATTTTGAATCAGAGATCTTCTTTTAAAAAAACAAACGACAGGTGACAAGAAACAAAATATCAACTAAAACCATTTCAACGACAGGTTTTTTAAAAAAATGTTTTCAGAAAGACTTCATGCTAAGTTTATAAAAACACGTGATGTTTCAAAAAACAGAAGGTAAAACGCACCAAAGTTGGACCTGCTTTGCAAGCAATTGTGACATTTAATGTCTTCTTATGGTGAAATGACAGTAGATCATAGGGTATGACTCAGATTCTCGCGCCATAATTTGCACCTCTAGACAAAACAAAGCAACTGATGACCTCTAGCTGAAATTTCTCTATGTTTACCTTTTGAATGTTAATCCGATTTTCTTCGACAGAGAATGCAACAGGAGAACAGTTTGTCCCCAAGCTGCGTTAATTTCGGTCCATTCAACCTAAATGAGAGAGCCAAAAATAAAATGAAATAAACAAAAAAAATAAAATTAATGAATACACGTAACAGAAAACAAGCTTAGAAGAAACAAAAGGCAAACAAAATTTAGAGAAAGAAAAATGGACAGGCCGACTAATATAAAAAGCGACTTTCATATTCTTTAAACTCCTAATCAAACACTACAATAAAATAAATGGAAAAATACCCCCATGTGATCATTTGTTCATAATATGAGAAAATTTTGAACGATTTGTTTCACAGCAGATCGCAAAGTTACTTAAGATGCGTCATATTTATCATAAACTACAAACCATTCCTTTAGAACAATTTTTTTTAGATATATTGAGGCATGAAATTTTTCGACAGCTTGACCTTCCACTTATCTGAGCATTTTGAGCAAACAAGCAGATAAACATTCACTTACAAAATTTACACATTGAGTCGCTTATGATTGATTTATTGAACAACAGCAAGAATTAACGTATTATTATAAGAAAAAGCATCAATGAAATCAAGGAGATACTCAAAAATCAATGAAAAGGGAAAAATTAAGAAACTTAAACACTGAACTACAATACAATTTTTCAAACATACAAAGCAAGTAATTTTCTCTGGAAAGAGTGCATAATGCATCAATAAATAGATCAATCTAATGAATAAAATTTAAAACTTCATGCTAATTGTCCAAAAGAAATAAAATTAAAACAAGATTAAATTGAACGTGCATATGAATAAAATTTAGCCTTAAGCTCCCTTACCGGCACACTCGGAAGACGTCCAAGCCTGAAGCCATTGATTGTCCCAAAATGTCCCTTATGCCTAGAATGGAAATACATTTGATAACTACCTGAGCGAATTTCCTTAATTAATTCAATTTGAATAGCCCTAAACAAGCTAGTTGCTTTAACGATGAACATAAATACTTTTACTACGATACAACATTTTATGAATACTTTAGTTGGCAATTGCAAGCTCCCATCATAACCGTATTGAGCCTTGATCTTTCTCATATCCATATTGATGGTTGATCTTGGTCATAACCTAACTCAAAAACTGCCAAACAGCCAAAATGTTGACAAAAAAAACAACAATAACCAAGTTTCTGAAGTAAAAATAGAGGTGAGTTCACAATTGTATCGATTTTTGAAATTATACCTCTACTGGTTCTAAATACAGGTCCACAAAAAGTCGTTTTTAGCTCTAAATGTCCACATTCAGCCAACAACAGGCTGTGAACACTAAACCTGCGTTATAAAATAAATGTCTGTTTGTGTATTAAGGTTGATAATGGTGGACGAAAGATTGCATTGATGAAAGCAATAAAGTTCTTAAGTGATGACGTCATAAATATAATTGTTTAGAAATCTTGGATATATCTCACCCAGCTTTTGATTCACTAACCTGATTTTGCCAATCTGGAAGTATTCCATGAGTTCTTTCATGTTATATGGCCTAAATTCAAAAATTCTAAAAAAAGCTCTTTGTGACGCCACACCTAAGAACTCTATAACGATCATGACATATTTGCTACATACCATATGTGGAAGGTGCTATTAAAAACATTTGTTTTCCTCAGTTTGTCCAGTTGCGATTGGGCATATTGAAGCTGGTTGCTCACGCTACAAGAAAGCAAAAAAAATTTATAAATACTTGATGCAGTTTTGAATGTCTGTGGTCTGCAGCGATATCTAGGAATTCTTTGAGGGCCTGACAATTAGAAAACTTAATTTATGTTCAAAGGCCCAGTAGATATAGGGACTGACAGGGCTACATTCCCTCTATCAAAGCAATATTTAGCGCAGGCTCCATTAGGGCAGTTTTATCCAATAAAGCCACAGCATTTGGGCAAGGTCAATAATAAGCAATTTAAAATGTTTTGCATCTGCTACACTTATGATTAGATTAGGATCTTCTTGATCCATGACATCAGCCATTGGATACTCATATATAAAAAGATCATTGTCTGTTGTCAGCTTTTTCCAAAAGCTTAAACCTTTTTATTCAACAAGAACTATCAAATTTGATTTTGAAGCAAATTTTATTGTCTTGTCACTGTTTAAATGTAAATGATTAATTACATTCAAAACAACCTTAGAAAAGGGGGTGCTATCTCCTCGATCTACTGACAGAGCTCCTCCTAAAGAAATTCCCCTACAAATAACATCTTAGTAATTGTTATTCATTGTTATTAAGTATTTTTATGTAATGTGTTATCATTGTATGTAATTAATTGTAATGTAGAGTAATAAGATATTGTAAGTTGAGGAATTTAAAATATATAAAAACTGAACCGATATGCTTAAAAGGTAACTAGGATGTGGATGAGTAACTAGGATGCCATCATAACAAATTCAAATACAGATACATTTATAGACCAGAAACATTCATAACTTGGTGGTACAGTACCCCTTGAGCACCCTGTTACTATGACTTTGATTAGAATATCTTAGTGGACCTTGGGACTACATATCATCGAATTCCTGGTAAAAGTTCAGGTCCCTTGCTGTCATAAACATAAATCCGGAAAAAATAAGACAAATGCATCAATATTTGGGTTCCCTAAAATTAGAGGGTTTTCTGGTTTTAAACCCAAAGGTACACAAGGCAACTCAAATCATTAGTTATTAAAGTAAGATATTATTACCATTGGGAATGGATTCAATTTACCTCATTTGTTCATCCTGGAACTCTGACAATGCTTTCTTGTGCAGGCAGTAATCCCTCCAGTATTTATCCTCCTCTGTTTTAAGGTTTTGCTCTGCTTTATCGAGTTTTTCATTTTCAATTCTTATTTTCTCTCTCTCATTTTCAACTGCCTCAAGTTCCTTAAGTAATTTTTCCTCTCCAATGCGCAGTCTAGCAAGTTCTTGATCTAATTCCTTTTCATCCTCTTCCTTGTCCTGGAAGTTGTCCATATCTTCTAGAAAATGCTTATAATCATGCAGTTCCTTCTCAGCCATGTGCAGCTGCTCATCTAACATACTAAGCAGGGCATCAGTACAATCCTCACACAGAGGGTGATCAACCTCTGATTGGCCAGACATTATGTCAAATAGCCTAGCAGATACCTGGAGTAAAACACAAAGAAATTTTGAAAGAAAAACGAGTTACATTACAGAAAAATTCTTGATCACAATGAAAAATGAAGATTCATATTCACAAAACAATTTCTGCATAGCATAGGAGCAAGATAAAATAATAAAACTAAGATAGCCTTACTAAAATCCTTTGATTTATCCTTCCCCCCCCTTCCCGCCCCTCATTTGCAGCCCAATTCACTGTGGAAAGACCACCATTCTTAGCCAATTCTCTTACATTTCTATCATGGTTTTGTATAAACTATTCTTGGCCAATTTTAATGTTTTTGTATGACTTTTACTGAGGCAAAGTCATGAATTGATCTATTTTTGGCATTAAATTCAATTGTTTTCAGCTATGCATTCTCGGCAGAACTGATTGTTTGAACACTTGAACAAAACTGAATTTTTCTAGTTCTTAGCTAGGCTTTCAGCACTACTATGTGTGTATCTCTGGTGTGCCATTGCCATGTTTTACATACTGGTATATTTATATACAGGTTAGAGGTATTTTTTTAAAATGCAAGAAGAAAAATCATGAAATGCAAGAAGAAAAATTATTAAAAAACAATTATAAAAATTATTGAAAACTTTTCTGATAATCTATGACAGGGTCAACACAACACTAAATAACTTTAAATGATAAATAAAGTGTTAATTATATTTTCCATATGTGAAACATTATCAAGAGCCAAAACAGAATCCTTTCAAGAAAATAAACCCTTAAAAAAATATCAAAACATCGCATATTAAATATCTCAAGACTGCTGCAGTGACAATGGAGTCATATCAGGTTATCATTTTCTCAAACGATTAGGCAGATCAAAATAAAGAGGATAACATTAGGTTTAAGCTACATATGTACACTCACTTTAAGCTTGTGGCTTAAATTATCCATTTTTGTAGCACCTGTTGCCTCTCCAAGAAGAGTAAAGTCATTACCATCAACTGAATTTGGCCTGAGATAGAAAAAAACTTTGATGATACCTTAATATTAGGCCTTGCTGTAAGACTTTTAACAGGGGGGCAGTAAACAGCTCTTCTACTAGTATTGAGGTGAGCTATAAGTATAGAAACAAAGGAAAAATAGATTTCAAGGAAAGCAAATTTGCTTTTTAGAACAATTTAGGAGTGTAATCTCTAGCTCCCCTCCAGCGCTTGAGGAGAGCCTGAGGGGAGCAAGAGCTATGGCTCTCCTCAAATGGCCAGGCCTGTAATATACAATATTGTATAATTGTGTAAGCATATTGTATCATTGTACCATTTGGCAATTTATAATTGCAAATGATGGCCATTTTGGCAAATTTTAAATGGCAAATGATGGTTCTTGAGGCTATCAATATTTTGCAACAAATAAAACAAAAATATGCTTCCTAGAATGAAAAAACCTATAGAGAGACATGACTTGATTGTGGATGCACCCTTAAGAATATTCTAAATAAAAAGTATTGAAAAAATGTCCTGCACAAATACAAATGACCTGCTTTTTGACCTTGAAAACTAAATGAACAGTTAAAATTTCAGTTGTCAAATATCTGTCATAAATCTTTAAAAGATGCTCGTACCTTATTAATGGAATGTGTCTCACAAGGACATTTGGGCTTTCCACAAATTTCTCAACCTGAAAGGTATGTCTGTAAAAGTTTTCTCTTTTATAAAGCTCTACACCAATTACCTTAAATCAAGATAAACTTTATAGGATCTCAAATTATTGCCTTTTTACCAAAAGCATTGCAGATAACAGGTATGTATAGACTTGATCTTGAAATTATAAAAATTACATTTTTAAATAGCCTGACCTTGCCCTCACATTGTTTTTTAGTGTCTTCCACTTCCTCTCCTTTTGACTCATCAGCAGATGAAGGCAGTGGAGCTAAGAACATCGGAAAATGGTATTAACATAGGGGTGTAATATAAGAGAACATTTGCCTAATTGCGTGACAAAAGTAGTTGTAGTGAAACATTACCTTGCCAAGAAACTAAATACAGCCACTTTTCTTTTATATCAAACCTCTTTTTCTTTTAGAGTGTTGTGTTCGATTTGGTGCCGTGCTTAGATCCTCCCAGTGAGCGTGAGATCTTCAAGTGACTGTTTACGAATAATGTGGCCAAGGAAACCTATCTGTCTCTCTTGATCTGATGTAGAAGCTGTCTGTCTTGATGGATTCAAGCAGATACCTTGTTATTGGTTGCTCTATTCATGTAGAAAATCTTCAACATGTGCCAGGCTGGAAAACTTGCATATGCTTGCAGCAACGTTAGACTTCTTGTGCTCACACCTTGCACCTCTAGTGACCAAATATTATATTATAATAATTTATATATGAGCATCGTTCCTCGCAGCTTGAATGCTTCTGCTGGAAGGTTGCAGCTGATAATGTGCTGTTGGTCGCATTGACGTGTTCACAAAATCATATGTGTTTTCCAACCTGGAACATTTGTCTATAGAGCCACATTTCAGCAGCCACAATATTGCGCCAGGTTTCAGCCAGTGAAAGTCCATAATTCACAGCCGTATATGAGTGTCGACCATACATAGCATTTGAGAAGACGAGTTCTTATTGACACAGAACAAGCCATTCCATCCCCGGACAAAGTAATCCCTGGACAAAACCATCCCCGGACAAAAAATATTTTGGATTGCAACCTTGTCAATTTTAGTGTTTCCTTGCGCACTAGAAAATTTCAATGAAAAAGTGCATCTAATCTTTATTTATGGCACAATACTAATCTTGACAAATAGAGCGGGTAACTGATAAACTTCAGCTACCCGCTCTATTTTTCAAGATTAGCATTGTGCCATAAATAAAGATTATCTCTATTTGCTAGCTAATTTATTTTAGGCCAAAATAAAAGACGGGGAAGTGAAATTGACACATAGCACACAAGTCTACCTACCAGTTAGTTCTTTTAGAGTTTCTGCATCAAAGTTACTGAAAGAATGATCGAGTCTTAATGGCTGGTAACATCGCTGACAAACGAAACTAACGTGAGTTGTTCCTCTCCCACTTCCACTCATACTCTGCGCCATTTTACCACCAGAGCAACAGCAACAACAACAACATCAGATTTGTGATGCTCCAGCTTTTCCCTTCTCCCCGGAGGCAAATCTAGGGAAAATAACACCTTGTGGGCAATGATTGAATTTGAGCCTCTTTACAAAAATACTACTTACAACTTTATAAAGCTGCATATCCGGACAAAGGTACAATGATGTTACTACCTAAGAGACGGATTTACCGGGGTTGTAGGGGGGAGATCCACAAATATTTTGTGACCTTTGTCGATTCGGTAAAAAGCATTCTTTGGTCGTCAGTAGTATCAAAATGACGCAAAAACTTTCTTTACTCGTCGTCTTATCTTCTTCATCTTAAAGTTATTAACTGAATTTAGGAAAAGTGTAGTAGGATTTAGAAAGAGCTATACCAAAGGACGAGAGTCTAAAAGTCTTATGAAGTGGAAAACCGAAAAGAGGAATTGAAAGCTACGTGTAATAAGTTCGGAATTTCAAGAAAAGTAACTGAATCCAAGCAGCCATCTTTGGAGGAAATCTTCATATCGAGTAGTGTACCACTTTTCTGGGGCTACCAGGGCAGCTGCATTTCCCACTATTCCCTAGATATACCACTGCCCAGCCCCTCTTTGGATCAGTTTGTCTCGCTACCATCTAGAAGTAGACATCCCGTGTTTTGTATTCTCTCAAAGTTGGTGTTGTTCTCAACGGAGAAAATATGATATTTGACTCTTGTTAAAACTTTGAATTCTCTATTCCGTATCGAAACCTCTTTTGAAAGAAGTGTCTGAGCAAAGTTAAACAGAGCACATATTTTTTACAAAGCTGGTGCTTTGAGCATGTGCGGGTAACTTTTCTTAAGTTTATAAGTTTATTGAGTTGACTTTCCCTTTTGTAACTATAGTCTTCTAATTAAAAGACGTTTCATTTCCTTAGGAACTACCTTGTAAAAAAGTATATATAGAGCAGTAAAGACACAAGCGACGACTTAAATATGGATTTGTAGTTAGCAGGTGAATCAAAAATGCACGAAAAGAAACTTGAGAATAATCAGTTGAGCTTCAAAAGCTAAATGCATATTTCTATTTAACAATTCTCATGTTTTTATGACATTTAAACAGTGATGTTGGTAAGAGCAAGCGGCCACTTGAAAAACATTTCCTATAGAATAACAGAAGTCTTGCAATTCTTGCGTCAGTTTGCAAGGTCAAACTCAGCCAACCCCCTCTTCTCCACTGTACAATGTTGGTTTACTATGAAACGGGTGAGGGAATTAGGAAGTATCTTCGTTTGCGATTCTTTTGTGATATTTGTCTAAACCAACAACATTGCTCTAGGGGGGAGGGGGCCAAAGAAGTAATTTTTTCGGAAAAGTAATCAAAGATATAAAATGCAACGTGTTCCAAGAACATTTGGCAGGCATCGTACTTGCTCGCAGCTATTTTGCTCGAAGATTCAACTTAGTGACATAACCTAGACAGCAAAGGCTGCCAAATTACTATCCTTTTGGGGGCATTGAGAAGATAGACAAACCTCGTTAACACTATAGTCTTTTACTACGACCCCTTTAAGAACTATCTTTCCATTTTTTATTCAACCTCACATTTGACTTCCCTATTTAACCTGAGACCACTTGCAAAAGACGAAAAGATTCTGTGAAATAACCAGGAATTATAAAACATTAAATTACAAGAAATTTGGAATAAAATTTTTCCATAACTAAGTTTTAATACAATTCTAAGGTATGAATAAGCTGAACAAAATATTACGATGTACCATAACAATTGTTGGATGCAGATATTTCAGTTTCAGTGTATCAGGCTAATATTCCTTCACCCACCGTGACGGTAAATACAAAGTGAAGGGTATAAAATTTATGCGCTTAGTTAAAAATTTATTAGACCTAAAAGATAATAGAGTTATCTACATATTATAGTGATCTAAACGACTTTCGATATCAAAACCAAGAATATCTAAATGGAATTTCGAAACTATGTGGAGAGGATAGGTTAAAAATATAAAAGAGTGCTTTTTACTGGTAAGCCTCTTAAACCAATTTATTTCTTGAAGAACTTAAGGCATGTCAAGATTCCAGAAATGCGTCAAAAAGTTCTGGTTTTACAGTAAATGGGATGAAAATGGTCCTTATTGAAAACAGATTTGAATATTCGACGATGACAATAACAAAACAATTCAAAAATTGATTTCTTGGAACAGAGAGTCAAAATTTTTGCTTTCAATGGATATTGCGTTACTCTATAAGATCTGTTCGAATAAATGTTTAGAAAATGCGATTCATCACATCTATTTGTGTTAATAGCGACGATAAAATTCTATGTCTCTTTGAACTTATCAAGGTCCTTGGCTATACGTGCCCACGCAGGTGTGGTGTGCGAGGACTCAGTGTGTATCTTCCACTTCTGTTTTGTATTGCTAGCATCACATTGCTTCATAAAAAGGCTATATGCATTACCATTTACTCCGCCTTCAAGACACAGTCCTGTGCCATGATGGAAAATATGCTTGTCCTACAAAAAGTAAAAGCAGTCAGAGTAAAGAAATGCTCAAAATTAACAACACAAACAGCCTTTAATTTACCTTTGCTTCTAATAAAAAAGGCAAATCGAGGACAGAAAGGTATGGGTTCCAAGTGGCCTAAGTTTGTTAGTGTATATTGGGGATGATTTCCGTACAGCAGCAAAGAACATAAAGCCAAGGTTAGTGTTTTCGAAAAAAACTAACCTCTCTGTATTCCCATTTCTGATTGCCTCCCATCTCGTGGCATTTTTCGATATAGACGTTATTAAGATCAGCGTAGCGAGCATCTAAACAGTCTTCTTCATTCTGACGAAACTCGTAAATGGCAGTCCAATGGAAAAACTAGAAACAAAATGCAAAGAATCGGTAAGTCAGTGTAAAATATTTAATTACGTAGAAATATGCTTGTGGCGAGAGGTAGCGAACAGTAGTGAGCAGTGACGAGAGGTAGCGAGAAGTGGCGAACACTGGCGAGCATACAAAACCCTACCATTTTAAACCCTACACCTATGACTCGTCCTTTGGTTAATTTTACACAGCAAATATGTTATAACGACCTGAAAATTCTACAAACATGATTTTAGCACGATTTAGCAGCATAGCTCATTTGGCTCATTGGCCGAAGGAAAGATCAATACATCCCTTTAAACCGACAATCTGTTATTGGAACATTTCCTATTCAAAAATCATCATTAGCAGGTTAAAATTTGAAATGCCACATCGCAACATCGCAAAAGATTATTCAGAATCTAACCTGATTTCCTCCTTGACCATGACACTGATACAAAGCGATTGTTGCACCATCTCTTCGAGCTAAAGTATCCAAGCAGCCTCCGGTTTCGATATTACGAATCTAAATATCAACAGATTGCCATTAGTTAGAAGTAGTTAACACATTTAAACTTGAAATTAACAATGTATACAAAATTTGGCACAGTAATGTACAGATTTGCTGATAGCTGATTGTTGCTATCACGTGGCTTTGAACTTCTTCTTAATAAACTTCGTCTGTTAGCATGATTATCCCAACAAAGAATACTTCTAAGATTTTATCTAACCTCGCTAAATAACATTGTATGCCTCAGTTGCAAAGCGTTCAAATTCTTTTCCAGTCGATAAGAAAATTTCAAATAATCAAAGGAATGTTTAATATTTGTTAAGCAGGCAATGAGGGAGGGCAAAATCGATAAAAATGCGGGGTGAGGGCAAAACACAGAATTACAGTCCCAGGTGACGAAGGTTCTCATTATTATCTTTGGACCTAAAACCTAAATTTTTTTCCTTAAATCCAAATTCTATCTAATAGCAAGCAAATAAGGTGCATATTTTTTATTGTCAAGTCTCAACATTGCATGGGAAAACAAACTGAATTTGACGCAAGGTATGAAAGACTTCAGGGTTGGAAACGGAAGAAAAAGAGAACAGATGAACAATGGTTCATACTCTGGTTTGATTGAAAATAACTTGGCTTAGCCAACTTGAGGCCACTATTATCTCTCATTACCAAGGAAAAAGTTTAGCGATATTTCGTGCCTATTAAATTCATGTTTGGTAAGACATACTGCTCAGAGATTTGCAGGTATAAAAATACATTTTCAAATGGGCATCAACCAATAAACTCTAAAAGAAAAACCAACGCCATATCGTATTTCCAGACATGAGCATGCCGAAACAAAATGTAATTCGGATACAGAGAATGCCAAAATATTCAATGAAAACGATTTGAGACGAGAAAATTGGGAAAGCAATGAGGTTGTATGCAGACGGAAGGTGTATGTTTTCTAACATTGATTCTTCAACCACGTGATGTGTTCGTGGTTGCTTACTGGCTGAAACAATGATTGCAATAATCGCCATTTTATCCATATTTCGAATCATTTCAAAACGGCAGCATTATATCTTAAACATAAATGTATATAAAATATGTATATAAGAACATTCATTATGTAATATTGTTTACTTTTAATTTTAGAAATCATTAGCTGTCTTTTCAATACAATCATTTTGATAACATTTAAAGAACAATAACATAACGACAATATGACCGATGGACAAAGCTTTCAAATCGAAGATTGCTTCTCACCTCACCATAGCCTCGATCAGGTTCGTATTTTGTTCTTACGGTATCTTTTATAACGTTTGCCAGATACCACCCAAAGCTCTTGCATTGCAGCCTTTGGCGGATTTTCTTTCGCTCGCTGATGTCTCCCGGATCAGCATCGCGTATTTCAGGCCTTCGTTGAAATAAAAACTCCTTAAAATCATCCATCCAGACCTCTGCAACGCGTCTAAAGTTCACGAGTACTGCATTTGGTTTATCGTATGTGTATGGTACATTTCTACGATACACGTGGCCTACACGCGAACAAGGGATATTCTCCATCTGACCACCGCACATCCATAGCTAAAAATTCAATAGATAATATATCAGCCAAAACTGCTCACTTCTCTATCTTTGCTTAAAAAACGTCTATAACTCAATATAAACTTGCTCAATATTGAAGAAAGTTTATTGAGGCTAAAAGAGCTCATGAATATCTAGGCTTCAAATGGGACCAAGATATCTGCCTGTAGATCCCTCGCAGGTAATCTTTACCTCTGCATCGAAAGTTTCGACAACTTTTTCATCTGTGTTCCACATTTGTATAACTCGGCACAGAATTTGGAGACATCTACAAATGAGATATCTACTAGCCTAATAAGGACCCCGCTATTCCTTTATTCCTTTAAATTAATGGGCTGGTTATCAGACTAGATATCTACTTGCTTCAAGACTGTCTAATAAATAAGGGGAAGATAAATGCTTGGTATAGGCTTCCACCATAAAAAAAGAGTTGTTTCTGCCTTGAACTTGCGTGCATTCGTAAAAATCTGTTAAGGTACTTACTTTAAATGAAAGCTCATACTGTTCTCCACCCCAAACATACATGCCTGGATCGTACTTCCCTAACTCGTCGAAAAATTTGCGACTTATTGCAAAAAGGCCTCCAGCCATAACAGGTGATCTGTAAACAGAGAAAGCGCATTGTTCCAAAATGGCAGATTTATGTTGTAATGTATACTAGCTGTGATGAATATGAACTACATTTAACAACTTGAATAAACTTATCTTTCTAAAGAATATCATGAGAAGTTTGATTTCCAAAGAAGTGTGGTTATTCTTAAAGCCTCTACTATTTCAAAGATTCTTTAGTTCTCACCGGAATTTAAAAAAGGATGTTCCGATTTCACCCTTGAACATAGAGGCGTTCACATGAAAAATTTCAGACCGGTTTGAAACTCACGCCGGCCAATTTTCATGTGAACACAGTTCTCAATCGGGGCGAACTGAACTTGCAAGTGTCGTTTGCAAGGCTCTTACAATGTCTTTTTTAATGAAGGTTTATCCAAAGTCATTTTTCTTCCTAATAAATCCTGAGCTGCTTGTTTGTAATTCCCATGTGAACGCAATGGAAATTGGCATACCCGAACTGAACTTTCTCATGCGAAGGGCATCTAACTTGGTCCTTTCATCCCTATTGGTGACTTTGACCTTAGCCATTGACTTAGACAACAGACATGGACAATAGACTTCTCTCTATTTCATAAGTAGAGAGGTTTGCCATTGAATCCCATTTAAAGAGAACGCGAATGACTGAAGCCAACTAGCATGCGTTGGTTAGCCTGTGTCCCAGACCCCTGGCTAGCGTTGGTAGGATAAACATATTTTTGCCAAATAAAGTTTTCTTAGAAAGCAATTAATATTCACTTACTTCACTGGCTGTGTGTCATCTTTCCTTTCCTTTCTCTGCTCGTCAGTTATAGCTCTTTCCTTATAATCAAACCTCCAGTTAAATGTACCTCTAATTAGAGGGTCCACCCCTCTATAGGAAAACGTCAAGTGATCTATGACGTCAATCGTTGGACAGACAACATTTCTGTAGTTGTCCTGTATCCTGGCAAGCAGTGGTGGCAGCCATCCTACATTTGTCTCACAATGAGAATCCAAAAAGATTACCACATCCCCAGTTGAATGATCTGCACCATATGCTCTTGCTCTTATAAGCCCTTCCCTTTGCTTTGTTCTAACAAGCTTCACTTTATCCAGTGTTGCCACATATTTTTCTAATTTATCTCTTAAATGATCTAAAAACAAGCATATTATATTTCTCATAGACCCCCACCAAACATTGCTTACAGTAACAGTAACAAACATGAACATTTGGTCTAAAAAAGTTTTTTGAACAAAATTTGGAACCAATTTCTCTTTAGCAGAAATAAAAGGATTTAAACAGTCTCTTCCATACTTTATCTAATCAGAATATGAATACATTTTAGATAAATTTCTAAAGTCATATCAACTTGGTGAGCTATCCCCCAAACACTAATTATGTCAGTCACTGTTAAAGATCCAGCTTCACTCTGGAGTCATGCAGGAGTAATGGGTCTATTCTTTCCTAAGTTCACATTTATGAAGATACATGGAAAATGTCCATACTTTGGGATGATGTTTGGCTGCTCACTATTCCATTAGTACATGCAAAATGGTGGCCATTATCCATTACAGAAAGCACAAAAAAAATTCTTGTTCAAATGTTTTATCATTGTTCAATGGAACATAACTAGGCATTTAAAAGGGTAATACCTACAATGCGTTATTAGGTACAAAAAAATGTAAAATACACAGGATTTGCGCAATACGCTGTAACTAAATGTTGGCAAAAAAGTGTATTTTGGGTTTGGTAAATATAACTGGTACAACTTAGAAAAAAACTTATACCTAATAGTAAAGAAAACTATTGCAACAAGTAATTGCTTCAAAATCTCAAGGCAATATATTCATCAAACTTGATAAATTGCTTGGTTATTCTTGGGACAAGTTTAGTTTCTAAGATTGGCAGTGGCAGAGGTGAGATCAACTTTGGCAACTCATCCCAGATAGGCAGAGATGATTCTTTCTGACTGAGGATATAAAAGAACAAACCTTTGTTGCTATAATCATCACACAACACTATCTCATGAAGAAGTTCTGGTGGAGATCTGTCTAGAACACTATGAACTGTTCTAAATAGTGTAGACCATCCTTCATTGTGGAAAATAATAATGACACTAGCCGTGGGCATTACTTTTGGATAATTATTCTCTTTACACCTAAAATAATAGGAAAACCATTAGTGATGGTGATAATGGCACATTTTCTTAACATTTGATACCAATACTAGGGATATGGGAAATAATCAAAGATAAACATAAGTAATCATTTTATTGGAAAAATTATGAATTTCATAAGCTTGATATTGCTGTAGTGAGTAGATCTTGCTCAGGTGTATCAGACCTACCAAGTCACATGCATTTGCGTGAGACACAGGCATTTCGGTCCTTTCTCACGCTCACATGCATTAAAGCAGAATTCTCACACATCTTGCAACAAACTTCTTGGTTTATTTAAATTTTTCAATTTTTGTTGCAAATCTTAGCAAGATCCTTCTTTCCTAACAAGGCATGATAGCACAATAGCAGGAACAGGATGACTAGATAACAGCGAATCTGCACAGGTTAAGTGATGTTTCATTATTGGCAAGCCTACATGACTAGCAGGTTAGCATTGTTACACATTGTAAATTTATTCAAAGTGTACAGGAGGAGCATAATCTCTCTTAAGTTGCAATCGGAGCGGTCAGAGTGATATTTGGGATACCAGTTACACTACAGCGGTCTGCTTGCTCATACGTACATTTCTTCCTCTGCATCCTGGTTCACAGTGCTGTGTGCTTTTGCAATGAACTGTGCAGTGCAAGTGCACCAGATTAACATTATTTTATCATTATGAACTGTTATAAATTCTTTCTTAATAAAAACTGAATAAAATGGTGAAAACAAAGCCCCCTCAATCCCTCACAACTTCTGCAATCATGGCTTAAAAAAGGTGTTTCCCAAGAACTACAGGGCATGGCAAAGGAAAAGTGTCTGGGGCTACACCCCGTGACCTTGCTTTGCTTGTGTGGTGGTCAGGATTCGTTCTGGATCAACTGAGACTCGGCTATGGTGAGCTGAAACTTGACAGGTCTTGTGTACACTAAGTTGTAAACAACAAGATTAACAGATAATGCAACCATCAAACAGCAACAAAATTCTGAAATTACTCATATGTGGAGAACTTCTACCTCTCTTTGGCATGTGGGCCTAAGGCACCTTCCAGAAAAAACATTTCAAAAAGAAGTTGCAAATGGTTTTTAAGAAGGCTAAAAGTTTTAAACTTACTAGCATGTATAAAATTCCGTAGATTTGCAAACACATTGTTGAGCCCTAATATATAAATACTTACAAGTTACTGAAAAGAGTTTAAGACCTTTGAAAAACCCACACATAGCACATTGTCCTTAACGTGCATATGCTTGCATTATAAATATATATTTTAGTGCAAGCATAAGCAGCATTGCTGGCAGCTCAAAGGTATTGGCTCCTAGGTCAAAACTGATAGTGTGCTGTTGCTTGCACCTTTGTGTGGCCAAAACTATACATGCTTTCCAACCTGGTAGGGTGCCATTGCCAAAAACTTGGCACTGTTTGCTGACAAAACTTGCATGTGTGCATAGATATATGTCTCATCATACCCATTTTAGCCACAATAGCCCCCATAAATTTTGCTATAACTCACCACGCTGTCTTTCTGACTTAGATGTGCCACCTAAAACCTTAAAACAGACAGCCATAATATGAAAAAGGTCAATGATATAAAGGTAATGATATGATATAAATATGTAAAACTTACAAGAAGTGCCTAGGATCTGGTAGAGATCTATGAAGTGATATTTTATCACTTATAAATTGATTAAATCCATATTCTGCATATGCTTTGTTTTTCAGCATTTCTTCTTCTGGTTTTGTTGCTACAGCCACCCCTCCTTCTCCTGGATCACTTGGATTAAAGGGGCCATTCAACTCTGGCCAAAACTGAAGTTCACCAGTAGTCTTTTTATTGTTTTCTTCCTCGAGAAAGACTTTAGAATATGTACTATCTGTTCTTCTATCAATAATTGATTCTGTGCTATTGTAAGTCCTTAGAACCTTGAAGAATCCGACGACCAGCACTGTTGCAGCAACCATGACCAGCAACATAGGCTTTCTTCTCCATCTTATTATGTTAGCCATTTATACAACGCTTAGATTCTGATAAATGTTGCAAGATACAAGTTGCTGAAAGGTATGAACCACAGTTTTGAAACGTGGCAGAGGCTCCCAATACGAACTCCAGAAATCAACGGTCGTTTATTGCTATCGAATTTCTTGTTTCCTTCATATCTTAGTTCGCAATTAAACATCCATAATAATCCTTTAAATTGTTTTATTTGTAAAATATTTATAGGAAGCACATTATTATTCAAAAAATTGTTCTACCGAGAGTTTTGTTCCATCTGTGAGAGCCAGCATCAAACACATGAAAATCCCTTCATTCAAAGTGTTGTTGCTGCTGCGATTTGCGGTTTACTCAGCTTTGGTGAATTCGGGTACCAGGCAATCGAAATACAATCACTTAATCAATTGATCAATCTTGCATAAAACCAGTAACGGTCTTCCTCGTGCTCCATTGTTGATTACTTGATCATTCTTTTATATCAAATGGCCGAGTACATTTATTCACTGAAAATCGACACTAATTGAAGCGGGTTACATGTTTGTTCTCCTCTCAATAAAAATATTGTTTGTAAGAATTTTTTTCGTCAGGAGGGGCTGAAGCCCCAGAGCCCCCCCCCCCTAAGTTTACGCCTATGCTCAGAATCATCCAATTTTTAAGAATATTTTAAAAATAAACTCATTTTTTAAAAGAAACTGGCTATAAGAAACGAGTACTGGACAGTCAGAAAAAATTAAGAAACTTCAGTACTCGAAGCAAAAAAATGAAGAAACTATGAAATCGTGATAAAACTGAGAACAAGGAAAATTTTGTAAAATCCAACAACATGATTGCCCTGTTGGCCTAGAACTCAAGTCACAAGGGATAAAAGCATACTTCCCACATCTAAATACAGTGTCAGAACGGAAGCGAACCTCTTGACGTGATAAAAAAGGTCACGAACACTTCATAACATCATTCATGACATCATAATTAAGAAACTCTTAAGAAAGAATGAGTATTGAAATTTCCAGAACATTAAGAAACTGGAGTACTCATCCATCGACCTTTGTTTCTTATAAAAAAAATGAGTGTATTTCACAGCCTCGACTTGCACATTAGTTTCTCATTTTTCAGCAATTGCCTGTTTTGCGATGTTCATAACATGGAATCGCAGAACTGAGATATCTCGCTATTCAAAGTACATTTAAGAACGGGCGATGTTCCCCTAAAACCAAATCAGATTTGAAGAAGATTAGAATATTTTAAGTATATATATTCAGACTCAAAACAAAAATTTCTTAAGAATATCGAGGCTGGAAAAAATTATAGTATTCTTATAAAAAAGAAGTTAAATTCATGGGAGGAAGATTATTTTATCTTGTTGGTATAGAAATAACTGAGAAAACTTCTAAGTTTTGTTATTAACATACTCTATTAAAATTGATTTTGTAAGTTTCTAACTCTGAACAGGCCGAAAAACAACCCTTCTCAAACATAAAATGAATTGAAGAACTCAAAATGAAAAGATTTTTTACAACACAGAAATCAGATAGTGAAATCAACTGAATCAAACAAAGAAAAGAATTCTAACAAAAACATTTACCTTGAGTATAAAAGTGCAGGTTTACGAAAATATCCTGATATGTTGTGAATTCGCAAGTTTATGCATTCACAAGTTTCTTTGTGCCGATTTTGAGCACAACCAAAAACCACCCTAACCCACTCCATCAAAAAGAGTTCTGTTTTGATCTTGATCTCAAATCATAAGGATGAATATATATATATATATAGAGCTTTCTGATTACAGAAAACATTCACTAAAAAGTATATCTGAAAGTTAAAACGACAAAAGACAAAATATAACATTTTAAGACATTTTTAGTGTTCACAGAGTTCGATGTCCCGTACATTTAGTTTCGCCTTGTCATATTTGCGTTCTGCCATTAGCTCCAGGCGATAATCTTTTGCTGATTTTAAGGTAATAACATTTTGCTGTGGGGGTACCTCCTTCGTTGATACAATCTTTCTCTCGGGGTTGACAAAGAAAAACACAACGATACGACGGCTGGCCGATTCCTTTTCTGCCATGTTGACCATCTTTGATATCTTATGGATGTGGCAATTGGGGAAAACAAGTAGGTAGCCATCAGCTGTTGGGAAGTATCCAAGCGGCATGAAACCTTCAGCAGCAAACTGGTTAACTACTGTAGGACGATCTTGAGGCACATTCCAAAAGATCTTCCTCCTTTCGGCAGCTGTGAAGGCCCGTTTGAATCTTAGATCCCCGCCCTCGATTGAAGTATCTCTATCCAAGAAATAAATGCCTGAAAAATACAAAAACTTTATCTCCAGAAAAACTTTTATTTACTATAGATATGCAATTTTTTGGCTAGAATGATCTTGGTACCTTCAAGGTTTTTTCAAAAGAAACCCCCAGGGCATTAAAGCTTACTTTGCTTAACCAATATGCTCTAATTTTCAGCAAAGAAGAATATCTAAACCATCATCGGCATAAATCATGAACACAGAACTGGTTTTGTCGTACAGGTATCACACTCTATAGCTAGCAAAGAAACGCAAGCTGCTAATGATTTAACTGGCCTGCCAATAGATTCCTTCAAGAAATAATCTGCAAAAGATAGCTAAAGTTAGCAAAGACATGCTTGGGGTACATAGAAAAAGAAAATTATAAAATTACACTTGGCTTGGCTCAATCATAGATTTAAAAGCTACTCTTATGACGTACGCCCCCTTTCAAATTGATTTACAGAATTAGAAGAAAGCTTCTGACGATTTCAAGGATGCACTCAGCTTCTCCAATTCCACGTAATCCGGTAAAATCTTTTCTTTTACTCCCGAAACATCTAACATAACCCAACCCATAAGATAAAATCAAAGGCATGCTCAAAATTGTCTCTGCGGATTGGAAAGCTTCTCTAAAGTTTCCCATGCCACCAGGCTTTCCAGCGATGCTAAATTTTGCTAGGGCAGGGAAATGACCCCCAAATTTCGGTATCCCTGAGGTTGCTTTTTTCCAAATACCTCCGATGGATTTGCCTTTTAAGAACAGTGTGTACCCCTTACCTGTCATGACAATATTTTCATGTGACATTCCTTCTGCATGCCACACACCCTCATAAGACTGACCAGGCTGGAGTTTGTACTCCACAATTTTCACTATTATTTGTAATTCTTGTCCACTGAAAGACACAGATTCTTTTTCCAGTGTAGGATTTTCATCAGATTCATCTCCATGGTCATGATCATCTCCTTGAAAAAACTCCATTGCTTTGGCATATGACAAAACTTCTTCGAAAAAAGGTAAACAAATTTCAAACAATGATTCCAAATCTCGGTACAAATCAGAAAATATGGCTTGGTCAAGATTGTTGATGTATTCTTGTACAAGGCATTTTCTTTCGCTAGTTATTTTAAATGGTGTTGGGAGCCATTGAAACTTCGATTCCTCGTAATCACGTCCCCAAAAATCACTCTTTTCTTCAGGAAGTTTCGGCGGCAATTTCGCACCTTTATCGAGCTTACTGACACCTTTGATATACGGGTACAAGGCTGGGTGAACCAGATCTCTTACAATATCATTTGAATTGGGATGGTAGTCAACTGGAGTCTTTTGAGCCAATTCGTCAATATGTTTTTGTAGACTTTTTCTCAAATTATCAGGTACCATGTTCTTTGCATAACAAACACCCTCTGTGATAATCTTATTCATGTACTTATTCCAAAAATCGTGAAAAAATGGCGAATCCTTTACATCCCCAATAAAATCATGACCAATGTAACTTTCTACAAGCACATTTGCACTCACTTCATGGAACGTAGCTTCTGATTTCGTTACTTCTTGATCAAGAATTTTCGTGTATTCTTTGTGGCGACCACACAACCATTGTTTCGTGCTACGTAGCAGCTTTCTTTTCTCATCTGAACTGCTACCAAACACATTTGTATCCGCGCGGATTTTCACTTTCAGCTGCAGATCGTAGTTATCAAAAATGTCTTCATCTCGTTCATCTTCTGGAGGGAACTGCACAGCTTTTGCTTCTACAAGATGCAAACCAGACTTTTTTGCCAACCCCGGAAGACCAAACGTGTCACCAGTGATGAAGGGGACACATTCCTGCTCCTCGTACTTACGGATCAGGTGTAATAATTCACTCACAGGGCTAACATCCGGTACATTCGTCTTATCAATGTCATGAATTGCTGTACTAGTCATTTTGTCTATGAAAAAATTAAATGATTTTAGTCTTTATTCTCAGTTAAAAACAACATCTTTTACAAACAAGAGACACAAAACCGTTCACAGGATAATGAAATTTGAAAGCGAGTCAGGAACAAATAGACCAGGCAAGGAAGGGGGGGGGTATCGTCACCCATCGAGGGAATTTGCAAGACCAACTCTATTTGGTCAATTTCGATACGCTGATTACGAAAATCGATGTTATACGGAGAAATTCGGTACCAGAAAGCCTCTTTTTCACGTTCAAACCTCGTTTTCGTCCAAATTTGAACGTTGAACGAAAGTTTGTAAATGAATCGATTTTTATCAATTTTCATGTGCTGATTTCAAAAAGTTATTTTATATATGTAAATTCAGTACCAGGAAGCCTCTATTTCATGTTCAAATCTCATTTTCATCAAAATTTGAACGTTGAAAAGAAGTTTGTAAATTTTTTATTCTCATCAATTTCGATATACTGATTCCGAAGGTTGATCTCATACGGCGGAATTCTTTGTGCACTGGTCCCGTTTTCATGCTGAAATCGTTTATTTATCGTTTTCAATATTTCTAGATTAAAATCTGCTGCGCACATAGATTTGCTATAAAAGCTTAAAAAAGATTATGTCAAAAGGCAATATAATACGGCTAATAAACATTTGAAGTTGTTTTGAATAAACATTCTAGTATCCGTTGTCATCAGAGTCATTGCTATACTCATCCTCAAAGCAATTGTCATTCATTGGGTCATTGGGAAATATATGGTTTGCGACCAAATATTCTACGCTTGATGGCCAAATTCGGCCAGCCAAACAAAATATACAAAAAGCTACATTTTGTCTAATTCTGTGGAGTAATAGTGTAATCAAAATTGGCTTTGTTTGCTACAAAAGCTCAAACTTGCTTTCGATTTCAATTTTCTGTTATCTTTAACTTTGTTTCTTGCTTCATCATTGGCATTTTAAGGATTATTTTAACAAAATGTTGAATACTCTCTTTGCAAAAATTGTCGTTTTCTTTGTAGTTTTGTGGCTTTCGACGTGAGGCCAAAATTCGGCCAACTTTTGCTTTTTCGGCCAAATCAATTTTCGACGGCCAATAGCTTTGAAAAACGGTCAGATTGGAGGAATTTGGCCAACAAGACGGCCAATTGGCAACCCTGATGAGGGGCATTTAAAAACTATAAACAGTAGTAGAAAAGTCCTTTTTCTATTTGTTCAAGAAAACATCCTGATTATGCAATAAGTTTGAGAAAAGAATAAGACCACACCAAAACTTTATACCATAAAGTTATTAGACACCTTCTATTTCTAAAGAAAACACTTTATTTTGAATCTTGTAATACTTGACCAATACTTGTCATCCTGTATATAAGAGTTTTGTGATTTCCACTGGTTCTTAATTGCAAGTGGTTTGTTCAACCAGAATTTTCCAAGAACTGAATGGGTCTTGAAATGGACTTTAAATTAGTTTTAAAAAATCATAGAACGCCACTTAACAATTGTGTAAAACTCTGTTTTACAGGAGATTATAAAGCAACTGTTAGTATCTGATTGTGTACAACTACCTGTGTGTAAAAATGTTTTAAATAGGATCTCTATAACTTTAAGATTCCCCCATCACTGTGATAGAGTAGCAAAATATTACCGCTTTACTTATGAACAAAACAAGATGCTAAAAACATACACAAACTCAACTCAGCAGTCAATTAGAAGTGCCACCTAAGAGGTAGCAACTACTTAAAATACTCCCCAATTGTTGGTGTTTTTTCTTTGAATGGGACCATTTTATAGCCACCAGGTAAAAACCTCAAAACTAGTACTCCCCCTCCCTGCCTTAAAGAAGACCTACATCACAATTTATTCAACTATCTGCATAACTTGCAAGAAATCAAGAGTTTGATAAGTTATCCTGTTATATATACACAAATTGATATTAAGAGGCCCATAGAAGCAAAGATGACAGGCAAGCAGACAGCAAGAAAAAAATAAATCTTTAAAAGCAATTTAAACAGTGACTGGACATTAGCTATAAACTTAACAAATCAGTTCAAGCTGGTGAGATATTAAGATTTCAAAATCTAAAATCAACTCTGGGAAACTTTTACTAATTATTTCTATTAATAACTCTATGCACCTGGCTGCTAAGATTCTCTGCAATGCAAAATATTGTCAAGGAAGTACCACAGCTTGAAAAATTGGAGCTACGCATCTTTTAATATGAAAGGTATTTATGTATTTTAACTTTTTTATCTGAGGATGTGACAGGCTTATCTCAAAGCATCATAGGCATTACTTGAAACTCTATCAGCAACATCCAATAAATCATTTTTATTTTGGACGGTCACATACTACATGAAAAGGTACAATGTATTTTTATTCTGAAGAAGTCATATGCATTTTTAAACACACTGAATGGTGGGGAAATTGACCCAACGGAAAAAATTATACCCAAATTCCATTACGTTGTCCCTGAAGCCACAAGATTTCAATTTAGCTAGTAGAAGTATATGAGGTAAACAATCAAATGCTTTTGATAAATCCATAAGCACTGCACCAGCTCCTTTGTTTTATCCAGGCACTTTTTCAGGCCTTCAATAAGTCGTAATAAAGCTATGATGGTAAACTTCACAAACACTAGTGTGGATCTTTATTGGCTTAACACTTTATGAAATGGGATTTTAGAACATGTTTTAAAAATTTCCTGAAAGCAGGAGAACGGAACAAAATATTGTCTTAGAGTTTCTCCTCTGGAGGCAGTGGAGAACTGCATTAAATCTAGGATTTATACAGCCCCACATTTGCATGATTTTCAGGGGACACCCAGAAATTTTCCTGCTCGGCCACAGCTTCTGGTGCCTCTAGGGTGATGTCTTCCATTTTTGCAAAACAATAGAGCTTTTTACAGAATATTTTGCTATGATTAGGGTGGTCAGTACCAGGGGGCGGGGGCTGGAGCCCTTCCAATAATTGTCAAACTGTAGTGTACCGATTGTGAAGAATGGTCAGCAACCCCCTCCCCCACCCTAATAGAAATTTCGTTCCGACGACACTGATGATTGTTAAATTCCACCCACCCCCGTCCCCCTCTACCTACTTTCCAACTGGCGTTGGGGCCCTTGAGACAGGTCTTTGATTACTTTATCATGAACATGTACATGTTATGCCTAGACACTGCTTGCTTTGCATTGGACATGAAATTCGATTACAAAAATTAAAAACACGCGAGGCTGAAAGTGTGCGAAAAATAAAAAAAAACTGAAACTGGAGCAAAGGGCCCTAATAAAAAAACGTGTATAAGCAGCTTACTTCATTTGAAATAGTCCCTGACCATTCAAACAGTTCTTGCCATGGGCCTACACCTGTCAACCCAAGTGTCTCAGATGGCCATGCGAAATCTGCAGAGTCAGCGGAATTCGAGGGAATCTCGTGTTCGGGGTCTTTGTGGAATTTGCGTTTTCGGGTCTTTGCGGGATACACGTTTTCGGGCCTTCGCGCAAATCAATTTCAATTTTTCAATTTCATGTCATTCAACAACACCATTTACAATGTAATGTACTGTATGTAATATAAAATTAGAAATAGGAGAGAGACCAGGGACCGGGCACCTGTTCACATGTGGGAGGGCTGAAAAGGGCGTGACCGAATTTTTTTGAGGCCACGCCCTCTAGAACGCTGGAAAACGCCCCTTTAAGAAAATACTGGCTTATTTCTACTGGGATTTTATAAACAATCTGGTTCAGAGAAGATATCAATAGCTATAAAAATAGATAAAATTAGCTTGGGGGATAACAAAACGTAAGCTTTGTTATCCCGCAAGGTAAGCATAACAAATAGTAAACTTTCCAAAAGGTTTTCTAACGTATTATCACAAAAAAGTGGAGGGGCTATAGCCCCTGCTAGCCCAATGGTTGCGCGGTGCCTGAGAGCAACAATAAAAAACATCAACTAATGACAATATTTTAAATTACATGATAGAATGTTGTCCAGGATGCTTGAATAAACCAAATCGGTTATAGAGTCCAGTGCCCTCTTGCGCAAGGTTAAATAACAATATAAAAGTATATAGGCCTAAATGTTACATCAGTTTTAATTGAACTTTGATAAAGAAAAAAAATTATTTTGAAGTCAACAAAACAGGATTATATTATATATGTCGACAAGTAAAATAATCAAGCAAATAGGGTGGCCGGGATTTTCTCTTTTGATACGCGATCTTGGTGGGTCATGGTATCGTTCGAAAGAACATTAAAAAATGAACAAAAGATCATAAAAAACTATGTTGTAAAATAAACACGTCAAAAGATATGACTGAAAAAAACGTATTTTGCTACATGGGTACCACACCCCTGAGGTCTGGTACCCAGGGTAATCTTTTGCTTGATGCAAAATACGGCCACACTCATGTTTTGTTTCTTTTGGAAACTCGGTAGTGATGAACTGAGCTAGGATGTTAAGTGGACGCATTTACTAGGCTATGGCAACAGAATGGAGATTTGCCAGTCTCTAAATATGGAATGTCAGTTTATAAATGTCGATCATTGGTCGAAAGTTGAGTAACATTAAAGATTTGAAGCATTCTAACTGATCAATGTTAATTTGGCTTGGTCCATAAAGTTGCGAATAGAAACCAAGCAACAAATAACCGACCAAAGCGAAGCTTTAATAGATTTTATTGATGACCATATATGAGGAAAATTTCTTATTTTTAAAGGACATGGACCTAGCGTATCAAATCAAATCAAATCAAATCAAAAACTTTATTAATGTGTCAAAAAATATTTAGCTTACAAGCTAATTTGGGACACGCTAACAAGCTAAGCGTATCAAAGTTGTTTGGGGGCTTAGTTTGGAACTTACCCAAATATCACCTCTTTATTGAGATGGTGTTGTCCAAATGGAGCGTTTAGTGCTAAAAATATTGCCTGATTAGGGTGGGGGGGGGGGGGGGGGGTTTCAGCTGCAGCCCTTCCAGCGTTTATGACTTCTACACCTATGCTCCAGGAGATCTTCCCACATTTTTGAACCCAAATATTCATTAGATCTCAAGACATATTAAAAATTATTTCAATGAGTTAAAATATATTTCCACGGCTGGATTGGATTGTAACATGTTGATGTAAAGAAGAAGTAGAAGAGAAGAAGAAGTTATTAAAACATGGAAGGCTAGTCATCTTTGTTGATTTATATACAAAGCACAATAGTCAGGTTTTTAAAAATGTGTTGATAATGAGGAAATAATGTTAATGCGTGTAAATACTAGACATCTTTCTGCGATTCGAAGATATGATAGTACTGTAGAAAAGACATAAACAATGAATCGTAAACAATAACCAGTATTCAATAGAAATGAGATTTATAATTTTGAATATGATGCCACAGGTTCTTACATTGGAAAGTTTGGGTAGATGATACTTTTGACTAAAATTTCCATTCAGAAGAAATCCTAGAAATTCAACATTTTTAGTTCTATAAATGTGTTTTTTACCTAAGTTGATTTTGGTGTCAGTAAAGACTTAAAATGAAGAAGAATGTAAACTATGCACATAGCTTTAATTGTGTTTAAATAAAGGTATTGGGTAAGTCGTTGATGAAAATGAGAAAAAACAGAGGACCAGGCATTGATTCCTGAGAAGCACCAGAGGCAGATGTAATTGTCATTTTTTTAGAGCCAGATTAACTGGCAGTGAAATTCTAATTTCTGTTAGACATTTGTGTTTAGCAAGCATAATATAAGGCCGAACAAATTCTAAATTTTACTGAAGATCAAATAAATATCAAAGCAAAATCGCTCAGTGTCAAGGGTCGATCTAGTTTCTTCAGTCATACTGTAAAATAAAGTATTTTACAGGACAGGTAAAGCTCATAAATCAGACTCCAGTTCGCAATAACGTTTTTAAATAAACCAAGATTCTTCAATAGCGATCGTATAATCAGCAGCAACCAACAACTACAAAATGACGACTTCATTTAACGACAACTTCGACTGGACTGGACTTGCACTCAACGAACATACGCTTTTAACAACATGAGTGACGCACACAAAACCCTAATGACACAAATTAACGGCAAATGAACTAATAACAACTAAAAAGAGATGGCACGATGACAAACTAAATTACTGACGCAAACATCGAAAGACATTTTCATTAACAATAACGAACCACAAACAAGATGCACGACGGACAAAACTAGTTGTATAACATTACTCCCTCCTTCAAAGACAAGCCTCCTGGCTTGAATTATTCAGAGAGAGAAATGCAAATAGAACAACAAACAAAACAAGAAATTTAAAATACAGTTAGTTAGTTCACAATACAGCTACTTCATGTAATATCTCTAAGCGGTTCTCCGTAGTCTCTTTTCAAATGTCCATGTTTCCAATCAAGTTTGTGTTTCTCTTGGAGGGATTCCCTTTTATCAGCCATTTGTTGTCTTTCATGACAAATCTCTTTTCCAAGCGAAGAAACGTGCTCGTAAGATTCCATCTGATTCTGCCCTTGCGTTTCATAAGAATGATTAGGCACTGATGGAACAACATCAAACTGGTAGGGCATTGTCCAATCCTTGAGTTGTCGATTTAATTCCCTCAAGTCCCTCATTTTGGCTTCCAGTCCATCTAGTGCGTTCTGAAAATTTGATACATACTGCGGGATCCCAAACTTGATACTGTCTTTGATGTCACTAGCCTGGGCATATCGCCTGTCCCAGCAGTATTTTGAAACGTGGCCTATTCGTAAGCAGCTGTAACAAATAGGCCGTCCGTCCTCCCCTCTGTATACGTTTGTGCGGTTGGCGAAGGGGTTTCTTGCTTTTTCTTCAGCCAGCCTTATCTTTTCAGCCATATAAGCGATTACTTCTGTGACGATCTCTAATAAAATATCTTTCGATTGCTCCAACGACATCATTTTTTTCAGCTCCAAATGGAGGTCGCGAGTTGTCACGTCGTGGTCACCAATGTAAAATAAAGTATTTTACAGGACAGGTAAAGCTCATAAATCAGACTCCAGTTCGCAATAACGTTTTTAAATAAACCAAGATTCTTCAATAGCGATCGTATAATCAGCAGCAACCAACAACTACAAAATGACGACTTCATTTAACGACAACTTCGACTGGACTGGACTTGCACTCAACGAACATACGCTTTTAACAACATGAGTGACGCACACAAAACCCTAATGACACAAATTAACGGCAAATGAACTAATAACAACTAAAAAGAGATGGCACGATGACAAACTAAATTACTGACGCAAACATCGAAAGACATTCTCATTAACAATAACGAACCACAAACACGATGCACGACAGACAAAACTAGTTGTATAACAATACTATGTCATGCAAGGTCATTGAAGCGATTTTCTTGAAATCAAAATTGTAGTCAGTATGATATTTTAAGAAAAATAACCGTTTTCTAACCATCAATCTTTCAAATGATGAATGACAATAGGAGAAAGAAGAAAAGGGCTTTTAATTTTAGGGTAATTTTGGGTCATATGTTTTAAAAACGGGATTACATTGGCTTTTTTCATCTTAGCATATATCTTTACAAAAATCTTGTTTGAGAATATTCCCTAGAGAAAAAAGATCTGTTTGCTTTTTCGAAGTTAGCATTTTTTTATAATAATAATAATTAATAATTTGTCATGCAAAATGAATGAGATTACTATTACTACAAATGGCTACAACAAGTACGGGATCGCTGAAAAATATCTGCGGTGTGTGCTGCGTAGGAGCACAGGAAATCTCTTCCTTCGGAACGAGGCGGCCACACTATGTGGCGGGATAGGCCTGACAAAACTGTGTCATTTGACCGGGCAAGAAAAGTGAACAGTCCTTTTCATGTGTTAATAAATCAACATGGAAAATGAAAGCGACAGTGAGAGTAAAAAGGAGCCCATTGGCGCCTTACCAAGGTCTTTCTCGAACAGGGGACCGAACAAAAGGAAGGTAAAACCTACAATTGAAGCACAGCTAATTCAGTTTCAAACAATGTTTAGTGATAGCGAAGACGATGAAGATTTTGTCGCCAGCTCTGATGAAGATGATGACGATTTGTCGGATCATTCTGGAGATGAAGCTAACAAAAGAGATAAGAGCTCCTCGGACCTGGAAGAAAATGCTTCGAAGGATGATGAAAATTTTGCGGAAAATGAAGACGAAAGTGAATCGGAAGAATCTGTCGGGGATGAACATGACGAGAATGACATGACTATATCAGATTCACTAAACACATTTCAAGAGGCTGACACTGCTAGCAAAGAACCCTCGAAGCCTAAAAAGTCTAACCTCCCAGTTTGTGGAATCTGCTTGGAGAATGAAAGCACAGAAGAAGATGAACTTGTAGAATGTGACTGGTGTGGGATTACAGTACATGAAGGTTGCTATGGTGATGCAAATGATGATGAATCTGATGACAAAAGTGACTCTGACACTGATACAGAGCCATGGTTTTGTGATGCCTGCAAAGCAAAATGTAGCAGACACTGTGAGCTTTGCCCTGTAGAAGGAGGAATTTTAAAGCAGGCAGATACTGGGCAGTGGGTTCATCTTATTTGTGCTCTCTATGTGCCAGGTGTCGGATTTAGAGATGTTGATAGGCTGCAGACAGTTGTTCTTGATGATATTTCAGCAAACCGTTGGTCTGCAAGAGAGTGCTCATTGTGTGAAGACAAAAGATTTAGCAAAACTGGGATATGTATTCAGTGTGATGCTGGTCTTTGTAAAACATTCTTCCATGTTTCATGTGCTCAAAAACATGGACTGCTCACAGAAGCTCCAGCAGCTGGACATTTGAATGATGATGATGCGGATCCTTTGTATGCCCATTGCAGAATGCATACTGACAAAACTGTTATGAGACATAGAATTAGCCACTGGAATTCTTTTGAGACACATATAAAAGATTTTAACCGCAGTTGTGATCCAGATGACAAATTTAGAATTGAAAGTGCTTTTAAAAGAGCTCAGGAAGAATACTTAGAATTCAGAAGAAACCTTACACCAGCTACACTTCAAACAGTTGATACTCCCAGGCTATTGACATCATGCTCGGAGATTTCTAAGTTTCTTTTGAAAAAGGCAGAGTTAAGAGGATTTTCAACAACGTCAGAAGAAATAGCTTTGCCATATTCTGGTAACAGCGCAAGACCATCACTATCAAATGATTTTGTAAACCATTTCTTAAAACGAGAGACCCTTGTTTCCCAGTACCAGTCAAAAGAAGTGCCTTTTAGACAAATTATTGAAAACAAAAAAGAGGAACAAAGAATGTTACAGAATTTGCTTGAAAATTTAAAGGTAGATCTTGAAAAATGCAAAGCAACAAAGAACAACTTGTTCGTAAGTTGTACCCTGATACATAGTGCTTTGGAAAAAATTTCTGGTAGAAAGGTGCCACTACCAAATGTACTTAAACCAAAGAAAAAGCAAAGAAAAGTATCAGATACTGTTATTGAGTCTGTGATCAAGGCATGTGCAACATGTAATGGAACTCATGATCAACATTTGTTGGCACTTTGTGACACATGTAACAACTACTACCACATTGGATGTCTTGATCCACCACTCACAGCTTTACCAAAGAAAGGTCCGAAGTGGATATGGCAATGCACAGAATGTGACAAAAGTGATAGTGAAGTGTCAATTGATGATGAAGGCCCATCTTCAAGGAAAAGAAAACGGAAAAGCAATGCCCCTAAGAAGTTTACACCTGTAGAAGAAAAAGCCAAGAAAAGAAAGCAAAATGGTAATTATCAAGGAAAAGGCAAAGGGCCCAAAAGAGCTGTAAAGATGAATGAATGATAAGAGCTTGTTAAGTGATGAAAATGTTGGAGAAAATATAGTGGTTGTCAAAGTCCCTGAACGGAAAGGAAGGAAAAAGAAAGTAGCTGAAAACCTAGATCCATGCTATGTATGTTCAAAGGATGGTGATTCAAAAAATACGGTTAGGTGTGATGATTGTCACAATTGTTTTCATTTTGATTGCTGTGAACCAAAGCTGAAAGGGAACCCAAAAAAGAGAGGATATATGTGGTTCTGCAACGACTGTGTTGACTCTGAGGAAGATTATGATTGCGAAAGCAATGAAGGTGAAGATGAAAAACCATTGTCAGAATTATCAGCTAATGATGTTGATTCTTAGTGAGCTTTGCTTGTACAAAAAGCTTTTTGATTTGTTATTTGTCCTGTTTTTATATCAAAAGTTTCAAGATTGAAATGAGTGGCAATGGTTTTTGTGATTTTTCTTACATTTTCAATTGACCCAAAATATGTGGTCATTCATATGCTTCATATGCCCAGCTAGTGACAAAGCAAACATTTTGCTGAAAAACCCCCAGAAAATTTTATTATGGCAACAGATCTCTCTTGCTGAGAGCTTCATGCTTGAAACAAAGACCCCAAAAAGTGCATATTATATCTTCACCAATACATCCCATGGTAGTAGTAGGCTTATGGAAGCCCCTCCTTAAGAAGAACAAGGATCGCTGAGGGCTCATTCCCTTAATATTATTACTTAAGATTTTATCAACATTGCTTAAGGTGGCTTCAAATGTTTAATTCTACAATACAATAACATGATGACACTGGTTTGGAAAATTTTTTAAAAGGTCATTTCTATTTTAAATCTTATTTCTTAAGTGTCACCTAACTCACTGGCTAGGAAAGACAAAGGAGGAAAGGAAAGACAAAAATAAGCAAACCCTTTTTATAAACAAGTTCTGTCTCCCAGCATGTCCAAATTCCAAAATATCAGTAATTAATAAATAAAAAATAATCACAACTTCAATTTTATTAACCAAATATACTCTATCAATTTACAACAGCTAGTGATACTTAATTTCTATCATACTTATCTAAGGTTCTCTTAATTATTTCAAAAATAACTTTGCAAGGTTGAATTATAAAATATATATTATGTGAATGATTCTCTGAAAAGACAAACTACACTTGCAAGGAATCATCAAATACAATAGAAAACATCAAACAATTATATCAAACAAGTAAAATTGCATCATTGGCACTTCCAGCTAGAAAATTACAAAGGGACTCTCAAATTACCAAAACATGGACACATGGTCGCTGATGATAAATCAGTGGTGGTGTTAATCACATCCCAACTAAAGTTAATATAGCCAACTGTATGACATCTGAAGGCAATGGCAGTATGTTTGTTCCTCCAAAAGGCTGGGTTAATGACAATACCCAACAGGCTTTTGAGAAGCAAAAAGCAGGTGCATGACAAACTGAGCACTTTCAGCTTTACCATGTTCATTTTGATATTTTAAAATTTGGGAACTGTATTATTCTAACAAAAAAAACATAATTGAATAATTATTCCAGATTGCGTTGTCTATTCTGACGTGACAGTGCTCGATGTGCAAAAGCACAGAGCAATAGATATAATAAAATAGAATATATACTAGAAATGAGACATGTTCTCCAATACTCCGAGTTTCGTGCTTACGCACTCATCAGACAGACTATAATTGAATAATTATAGTTCTTGCTTTATGACATTGTTTCCATGACATTGTAGGGAATCATTCTAACTTTTGCAATATCAATCAGCTAGTCCAAAAAATAACTTTCAAATTGGTTTCCAGCTTTATACTTTGTAGCATTATACATTATTTGGCATTATGTGACATACATTTCTAATCAGAACTTATTTAATATTAATTTTAGAATTTCAAATGTCACTCCCAAAACTCAATTGAAGAAACTGTCCATGTACTCTGCCATTGACATAATTTGGGGATATTCTGCTAGTCATTTCATTGATCCAGTTAATTTACATCATGAATAATGTGGAATCAACCACTGATTGCATGACAGTGTATATTTATTTGCACTATCATTTAATTACATTAAAATTGAAATTGAAAATTGATACACAATATTAAATGAAATTATAACTAAATAATATGGTACACCAGATATGAAACCTATGGAGGCTTATTGGACAAGGTTCACATTGCATTAAATTAAAAGCACTAGATATATGTAAGACAGTGCAGACATTTGTCTAATTTTGAAAGAGATGGGTAATTAACCTAGGGTACTTAAGTCTCAGGTCCTGGGTACATCTGTAAAAAACACTATTTACACCATTTCTTGGAGATGTCACATTATTTGAGGTTGTTTTCATTCTAATTGTGCACAAGACTTTCTTACTGTACCTATGCGTTGCTTAAAGATGGTAAAATTTGATAGTGAATCAAATTGAATTGCAATACAGTTAATTTGTTTTGCCTTTGGTTATCTTTTATAGATAGTCTTTCTGGTAAAGTAACTGTTTTTTTGTAGTTGAAAAAAATGAGTCATTTCAATCAAATTGACCTTAATTATTTACAAATACTCTTCTCAATTAAGAAGACAGTCAATTTAGTTAATATGATACAACAAGTCAATCAAATTATAAGTTACCAATAGGATTTAAGAAATTATTGAGTTATCAATCAAAACAAATGTTGATTACTTACAAAATGACTTTTATATTGAGATCCCAACACACACTGCTTCAATGCTGTTGTTGAAAATCATCCGGGTGTTCAGTGCTCATTTCCAAGTTCCAGGCAAAATTACCAGCACGGTGATACTTTGATGTGAATTTCAGTGCTACAAAGATATTGATTCCCCAGCAAAGAGAAGCAAAGAAACCAATTCCCTATGACAATAAAATGTTTATTATGATGTCACAAGCTTAGAACAAAGTTCAAACTAATTAGAAAAGTTAACAGTAATTTTAGCTTGGTACCAGTTTATTCATGGAAGATAAACAGCATGTGAGGACAGTCTGTTTCCATCCTAAAAATAGGGAGCCTAAGTATGTTACTAAAACATAACAAAATATAATATATATGATAAAATGTTACAATAATATAATGTAATATAAAACAATGTTACATAATATAATGTAATATGACATGATATGATATAATTTAATATATTTAATAATCATATAAGTTCAGTAGGCAGAAAAATAAAGTCTGGTGAATAACTTACTGCTGCAATATACAGAGTTAGGAAGTCTGGCAGGCTTTTGATGCAATAATTGCCCCTGAGACACTGGCTTGGTCCATTGTAGACAAAATTAACTTGTCCAAAAACTAACTTTCTCAAATTTATCACATTGTACAGCCAAATTCCAGTCAATGTAGCCCCAATGAGTGCCATTGAACAACTGATGAATCCATCCTGAAGATGACAAGATAATAAATCACAAAATTTCTACTTTCAGATGTTTGGAGTGGTTAGATCCAAATTCGACCAGCTAAATGAAATGTTCGTCAGATAAATTTCAGAGCATAAACTTTGTTGGAAAAATTTTTGGAAACCTTTCTGAAATTTCGAAAAAATTTGATAAAATTTTGTTATGGTTTTAACAAAGTAGAGATACTAACAATAATTCTACAAACAACACAACACAACCAATATTCTAAGATGCAAAACCTCCAGTTCTGTGAAGACTTGGGGGCTTGAGCACCTTCTTGGAATTTGGCTTAACCCTTTTTGCACAAAAGAGCATTTCAGAAAAATCAAAATAAAAGCAGTATATTTTCCAAATACCTAAAGGGTTTCTATATTTCCAGCTTGTATTCTAAGCTATTCAATTAATGTCCTCCAAGGTCAGCAAAATCTTAGGCTCTTTTGCAAAATATTTGAAGAGCTTTTTTCAACTTATATTTCTGTTACACAATAAGCTATCAAGCTTTTATAAAACAGTAAAAATACATACTGTTGTTGCAGCCTTCTCCATCTTTTCTCCTCCATGGACAGATACATAAGTTAGCAAGATAGCAAAGGCCATTATAAACCAAACCACATTTATACCAAAGAATAACCAGCTACAAATTTCAATCTCCTTGTCAAACTGGAACTCAGCTGGAATGGTCTCATTGGTATAAAAAACAGTGTCTTGACCATAATGGAAGGGGAACTTCACAGTTAAGTTGAACCATGCTGAATCATTGACTTGGTGGATATAGGCCACATTATCAAAGGGAAATGACAAGCCAACAGCTGCCACTGGCAAGGCCTGGAAATCAAGGTTATTACATAGTGCTATTGAAATAATTTATGTGTTCTTCTTATCACAATGTATTTGCAAAAGGTATAACAGTCCAGTAGGATGGTAAAGAAATTCAGAAATCTTAAGCTCATTTAAAAGCCTACTTATAATTAAGAATAATTTTTATAAAGACATGACTACAACTGGGTTAACTTTCTCAATAAAATTGCCCACAAAAAAGCTAGCTACAGAAACTCTAAGCTTCAAAGTGAGACAAGGGGAAAATTTAGATACAAATTCCTGCCCTATCAATTGGTGTCATCTAAAACTTTCATTTTCTTGGAACTAAAAACCTTTCACCAGACCAGTGGTAAGTAAGATAGTTCTTGGGGCCTTAAAAAAGTTTAACAGATCAAAAAGCTCAGTTCAATATTTCAAATAGTTGCCAAGGGTGCCCTTATTACATTTTTCACCTCTTACCTAGGCATTTAATAATTTTTCATAAGTTAGCATTCACAAAAAGGCTTGGAGAAACTATCAGATGGTACACTATGCAATTTTTGTGCCACATTTATTTGGATATCTCCTGTGATTGACAAAGATCCCAAACGACCAGGTCATTATAAGCATGTTTCTGAAACTAGAATTCTGATTGACAACAAAAGCATCCGGTGGAAGACTTCTAACCAAGAGCAGTTCTAAAGCAACTTTTAAAATATGAACTGAAAGAAACTGAAGCAACTTAATTGAAAAACAAAAATAAGCACTGAAAACCATACTGCTATAAAAAAGATTGAGCAACAAACATATAGTTAAAAAGTGCTATGTTGAAGAATATGTTAAAAATATGGAGCATTCTGAATTTAAAAAGTGGCTAAGGATAGCAGACATGCAGTTGAAGTGCAAGTAGCAAAATGATACAGATATAAACTGGGACCATTATACTGGGAGAAATACAAAACAAACTGTCAGTCAATGAAAAGAAAGTGAGAAAGATAATGATAGGAGCAAAATTAGTAAAGATATAGATTACCAAGCTGACAAATATAATTTTGATGTAAATGCCAGAGTGCACTCTATGTACTTAGGCCCAAAGATCTTTTCAGCATACACTCAGGTCTTTTTCGGCATTCGGCATGCAAACCAATAAAAACTTTTTGCCGTACACAAAATTTTCGTTATTTGGTTTGCTAAACAGGAAGCCACATACATAGTAAACATGAAAAAGGATAAAATAAAGACTCATACACCAGTTTGCTCAATTTTCTTTGTCTGGCGTACAATATTTACAGCTTTACTAACTGCTCATATTTTCAGCGTACCTAAACAAGTGCCCTGCTGGAACTTCAGTGTACAGTTGACATGAAATGTACCCTGGTGTGAACGATGAAATGTTGGTCTTTCTGGTCTAAAAGCATATTTCGGCATTGGATGAAGATAATATCCATCCTTAGCGATTAAATAGCTTCATAGGAGGTATGAGAAGTTTTCCTATAAAGTACATTGTTCACCTTCCTTAAGGTGAGGTTTTACTTTTATAAAAAGATAGTCTTTCTAATTACAAAAGGTGCAAAAGAGTTATGATTTATAGTAAGATATGAAGGGGAATTCTTAAAAGTCCCAATGAATGGTAAATTTGATCCTTAAAAGTGATAAAGTAAATTTTTTTCTTTTTAGTGTTTTTATAGTCTTTCGGAGGTTATTCAATAGTTGTGCTCCCATATTGCCCAGCAATAAAACAAAATGCCAGGACAGACACCAATTTTCAACAAGACTTTTAAGATTTTCTTTAGCCTTTATTTCAGGGCAACTTTTATCTGATTTTTTTCATCTATTAGTTTCTAATATTTTTGGAAGCAAAAAAATTTTATTAAACAGCATCTATCATTTCTTGAAGAGCATATTTCGATTAACGATTTTATTCCCATTTGGGAAAAAATTTGGTTTTCTCGAAACTCTCAGGTTGTGTTGTCCCCTGTCTTCGAATAGGCTCAGAAATCAATGAAGGACAGGAGGGTGCACGTAGCGTAAACATAACTTTTGCTTACCATCAACAGGAACTTCAAATAGGTTCTCAAGTAAACCAGAGCCCTGCATCTTGATTCACCTAGCTGCTCTTTGGCTGCAATATTCCCTAACATATTTACAGGATTTCAAATTTTGAAGAAATGGTAGCGAGATGCCTCTTCAACATGCACAAGCAGGTTTGCATCAACACAGTGTGATTTCTCCTTTTCTTTGCCGCCGCAGCCGAGATTTACAAAGCTCCCACGCAGCAACATTTCTTTGTGTGACTCAGGGGCACGAGATTTTAGAAAAGTTGTGTGAAATGATCAGCCTTCTATTGTAAAAAGTAATTAGATGTTTCGTTGACATGAGTCAAGCACGAACGAAAAAAGAGTTAGGCCGCTTCAGTAAAACAGGACATAACCAAAATTAGTTAATAACAACAACAGTTAGCTAACACGCTACAATCGTACGATATAAGATGATTAATGTATACGACGTAAGGTACTACGCAGCGGTTAATGTATATAATGTGATCATCATAGCAAATACTAAATAATGAGTTCTTAACACAAGATGCCCCACTGCATGCCATACCCTTTCCGCCCACTGGCGTATTACTGTGTATATTCCTTTACTCTTTGCCTGGAATCATAGTCTGGCATGAATACTTGGCGGGGTTTTTCTCATACGAAGTTTGGAGGAGAAAAATTATAATAACAATTTTTTAGTGGTTAAAAAAATTAAAATGACACTGCAAGTGCAAACGTTTTGGGAAAAGCTGAAGCATTTCGTCTGACACTCTTCATATTTTAAAAAATCAGAACCAGTGCCGGCGGAGCGAAATTCATATGGGGGGCTGCCAATTGTTTCGCTCCCATTCAGGACACTGTTATATAGGAAATATAATACAGTTTGACAATTATTGGGGAGGGGGGCTCCAGCGCCTATGTCAAATTTTATTTACATTATCCAAAAAATTTTCAAGCATAGCATTAAAAAATCCTTCGTTGCCAGTAACGTAGAACATACAGGATGGCGCCTTGAGCGATTGTTTCTAGCGCCAAACCTTCCAAACCCTTTCTAGATTGCGGTGTAATATGCGTTTTGGTACCCTATGCAAAAGCGTAACATTGTGAAACGCAATGTGTTTCAGACCGTGTGATTTTATCATTGTGCGATGTTTTGACACGTTTTTAGAGTTTAGAATTTCACACTTGTCAATCATGTAAAATTTGGAATCACCATGAATGTTGTGCTTTTTGCATAAATCTAACAAAGGAAATCACAGCACCCCCTTGTTAAAAATAGTTCGATTGTTCTTTACATTCTGAACAATATGAACCAGAACATTTGTGTACCCGGACCGGTTCGCATGCTAAATTCCACTATTCATTTTGGTACCCTATTGTTTAAATGTTTTGGTACGTTTATGCATAACCAAAATTTTCATGCATTTGTGTACCCGGACCGAAATGTATAAGGTTACCGAAACGCATATGGCACCGGCAGTTTCGTAAAATACAATTATAATTGAAGAACACTTATCATATGTAAAAAATTAATATATATGTATGCCTTTTCGTAAGTTTTAGAAAAAGAAAGACAAACTAAATTTGAAAGTTATTTGGATAGGACATCCAGTGGCTGGGTGGCTATGTTTTCCCTGGGGTGGCCAAGTCGATTTTTGCGCCCTATCTAAATATCGTGCCACGAAGGGAAATCGATTTTTGCAACTTGAATCCTAAATTCCATAAATATGTTTTGACTAAAAATGCGAATATGAATGGAAAAGTTATGTAATCCTAATATTTGACCTTCTCGATCGTGGTTCGGTAAAATATCAAGCAATTTTGAATTGGCTTATTTTCGAGGAAATACGGTAGGCAAAACATAAAACACTAATCAAAGACATTCTATTCAATTACACTGATGTTTCATACAGGCTGTCGGCCCCTTGAACTCGTTTATTATATCCAGAATACCAGCTTCAGAATAAAATAACATAGAGCAAATTTTTGTTTCGGGGTCCTTAGTTTTTTAACTAAAGGTAACCTTAGTCCATTTCGCCACTGCTTATGGGCGATTTTATCAGCCATGTTTCAAGTTTGTTATTCTTTAGTAGTTATTAAATAGTAGTATAGTTCTTTTCACTAACTTGAAAGTTTTCAAGCATTGAATCACACTATTGAATCGGACAGAGGCAGCACGCACGAAATTGAATCTGGGGTTGGGCTAAGGATCAAGTTTAGTGACAAAGGAGGACCCACCATGGTTGGGTTCGACGCGGAAGAAAACTTTTGAACTCAAGCCTTCTAGAATGGCTAAAATTGCATCTCCCAGGCTAAAATTTAACAAATTACTACACCACTCAGAATAGACAGTTCGACAATGCTAAGAAAAACATTAATCTTTGATTTTTAGAAAAAATTTGGGAGGGGAGGATTCATGCGTTGGATAAAGAAAAAAGGGTGACCTTTGGTTCACATCGATGTTAATAACAAGAAGCTGCTGTATTGATTGCCTGGGTGCATTCAATGTACTTAGGACTTAGGCCCAAAGGTCTTTGGCGTACATTCAGGCTTTTTGGCGTTACGAGTGCAAACTAATAGAAAACAATCTTGGCACACGTAAAATCTTGAAAACACGAAAAAATATGACACAAATGTTGATTGGGTCATGGCAGCGCAACGTGCTTCGATTGTAGAATCACACGTTTTATTAGATTGTTCACAGCAAGTTACAGCGAAGGGTTCTACCCGTGTACGCTCAATTTTGATGTTCCTAGCCAAATATTACAAGCAAACAATTTTGGCGCCCCCTTATCTCCATTTGCGCCCCTATTCAGGGGGCCATGGCCCCCTGGCCTCCCTGCCACCACGCCACTGAGGCCATTACAAGACTCATTTCCGCTTTCCAGAATTCACAGGTCTGCTTCTCTTTTGGGATGGCAATAAGAAAAGTCAAGCAAAAATAACACTACAGACATGTTTATGGGAATTTGATGATCAATATTAACTAAGAATGCATTCAGGTCCAAACGATCTTCAGTCCCAGTCAAAGTCTTGGAACCATAGTCAATTGAAAAATTGACTATGTTGGAACATTACCGTCAGCTTCTAAGGGAAAGTCCCCCTCCCTCTTTGGAACAGTTGTGTAGAAGATTAGGAAGTACATTTCTTCGTATGACTTGTATGACATTTGCCATAAATATCAACAATGTTCTGAGGGAAGGGGGGGTAGCAACTGTAGTAGCTGAATTCAGGAAAGGAATAAAAAATTGTGAACAATTTCTTTGCTGTAAAAAACTTAATAGTGGCTTTGAAAAAAGCAAACATTTCACAACATACTGAAAGCTTTTCGTCTGACACTCACCAGAGTAAAAACTGTCAAAATAAGGTTCGGAAATAACAAGATGGAAAATATAAACCCAGTTATGGATCGAAATAGCCCAATCAGAAAAAAACGAGAGCACATGCTTTTTGGCAAAACTTAGAACTAAAAGCCATGTGTAAGTAGCTTTGCCACATAAACAGTGTCAAAAAATCGGTTTTTAGAAACACTGTATGTTGTTGTTCATTGCAGACAATAATTCTCTATATAATGTACAGTTAACTAACTGTAATTTAGAATTAAAGCATTGCATGTCCATCAGTGGCGGGGTGGCTATGTTTTCCCTGGGGTGGCCAAGTAGATTTTTGCGCCCTATTTATACTGTATATTGTGGCTTTATAAAAGCATGTGTTTCTAGAAGGGAAATCGATTTGTGCAACTTGAATCCAAACTTTCATAAATAAGTTTTGACTAAGAATGCGAATATGAATGGAAAAGTTATGTAATCCTAACATTTGACCTTCTCGATCGTGGTTCGGTAAAATATCAAGCTATTTTGAATTGGCTTATTTTCGAGAGTCGGCCTATTTTCGAGGAAATACGGTAGGCAAAACATAAAATACTAAGCAAAAGACATTTTATTCCATTACACTGATGTTTCATATCATACAGGCTACTCATTTATTATATCCAGAATACCAGTTTCTGAGTAAAATAACGTAGAGCAAATTATTGTTTCGGGCTCCTTAGTTTTTTAACTAAAGGTAACCTTTGTCCATTTCGCCACTTTTATGGGCGATTTTATCAGTCTAGTGTCATCGCATATATGATGTATGATATGCAAACATGGCTCAAAATTGTTATTTTTTAGTAGATATTAAATAGTAGTTCTTTCAAAAAACATGAAAGTTTCAGGCATTGAATCGCACTATTGAATCGGACAGAGGCGGCGGCACAAAATTGAATCTGGTGTTGGGCTAAGGATCAAGTTTAGTGATAAAGGAGGACCCACCATGGTTGGGTCCGACACGCAAGAAAATTTTTGAAATCAAGCCTTCTAGAATGGCTAAAAATGCATCTCCCAGACTAAAATTTAACAAATTACTACACCGCTCAGAATAGACAGTTCGACGATGCTCAGCAAAACATTGATTTTTGATTTTTTTGAAAAATTTGGGAGGGGTAGATTCATGCACTGGGGAAAAAAGGGTGACCTTTGGTTCACATCGATGTTAATAACAAGAAGCTGCTGTATTGATTGCCAGGGTGCATTCCATGTACTTTGGCCCGAAGATCTTTGGCGTACACTCAGGCTTTTTGGCGTTCCGAGTACAAACTAATGGAAAAATTTTTTGGCATACGTAAAATCTTCGTTAGTTGGCGTGCTTAACATGAAGCCACGTGCATAGTTAACACGAAAACATATGACACAAATGTTGATTGGGTCATGGCAGCGCAACGTGCTTCGATTGTAGAAGCACACGTTTTATTAGATTGTTCACAGCAAGTTACAGCAAAGTGTTCTACCCATGTACGATCAATTTTGATGTTCCTAGCCAAATATTACAAACAAACAATTTTGGCGCCCCCTTATCTCCGTTTGCGCCCCTATTCAGGGGGGGCCATGGCCCCCCTGGCCCCCCCTGCCACCACGCCACTGATGTCCATTGTTTATTTGCACTTAAAACCATAGCTGTGGTACAATAAAGATAGGTTCTCATTAAAGCCGTGCATTGCTCCTTTCTGTTACACTTATTCGTTCATTTTTTCTTTTTTTAAATTATCTATACGGGGTAATGGTACAAGTTACTTGATATACCCACTATACTTATAAGAAAAAAACAAAAATTGATATACAATCTACTTTGGTTAGAATAGGAAATTCCTTGTTGGAATAAAACTTTCACATCCTTTGGTCTTTCAAAGATTGTTTCGACAAATCCTTGCAATTAGCCAGTGAAGAGGCATTTTTTATTTCTGCACCTAGTTTATTCCACACATTTAGAGGGTGTAGAAGGGATACTGCTACTCATGTCAGGGGATAAAGGGCCCTGTTAGTCACTAGTTTTCGGCTCCAATTAGTTAAAATTATAGTACAAACTCCTGATTTTAACTTTGATTCATAGTTTCATACGCAAAAAGCAAAATTCTTATGAAGTCTTAATTGAATTGCAAGATAAAACAGCCTGTGACAAGACGTTTAGAAATAAAAAAAAAAAATTAGTCATCTAGTCAAGACCCCTTCCACACCCTCCAGTTATGCCTTGATATGAGAAACTACGTTGTCCAAAGGCAATTGCAAAGCTTGGTATTCTGAGATCCATGTCAGTATTATGTGGGGACTGTGAATTGTTTTTTGATAATTTTCTTAAACATTAGCTGCATATAATTAGGAGTTCGTTTGCCAAGAAGCTTGATGTAAACCCCCGTAATCACTATACTTAATGCAAGATTTTTCATACATCGGACATAGATATCTCATATGATCTTTTTATGATGATATATAGGGTTTGTTTTTTGCTATCCTTGAGGTTGGTTTGCATATGGTGAGCTTCGAAGGCAATTGTTGCAGATACAGTCTAAGACAATCGCAGACGATCGCAAGCAGTGCACTGAGTTGATCACAGAAAAACAGTTTTTTGATTGTGTAATTGGTGGGCTTAAAAAACACAGGCAACAGGATAAAAAGCCATTTTGCTGTGGCAGTATATAATACAAATTTGCGTACAGGTTAAATTAGAAAAACCGTTCTTATTTGTATGTGTGCTATAAAGGCATAAACTATGATCACTATCATTATTTATTTTGTTCAAAAATTTCTTGGCACAATAGACTGAAGACCTGGGAGACCTTTTCAGCACATAATTTAAGGAAAATATGAAAATTGAAATCAATTGAAAGATTGTTTATAACTTCTGAAGTCACTACAGTTGAGGCTCAGTTTTGAGAGTACATTTTACTTTTGAAAAATATGTTACTAATTTTTAGAAAGAGAAATTGAATTATAAAAAGTAACAAAGCACTATGTGACATCAAGCATTTCTTCTCATTAACTACAGCTGCACAACTTCAATTGCAAAAATCAAAATTAATTATAATTATCTACCTAAAAGTTTTGCGTTAGTGGTATACCAGTTATAACTGTCTGTAATTTCTCAGGATTGAACATCTTTTCTAAAACATACTCCAAGCCTTTTCGAGACTGAAATGGAAGGATATTTCCATTAATTTCCAGTAAGGGTTCAAATAAACAACTTTAAACGTAACCCAAGATGCTCATGTTGTGGTGTCTTCCTAAGTATTGCTTTTACCATCAATTCTTCATTCAAATGTTTATTGCAGCAGAGCCTCATGTAAGGGACATTTAAAAATTAACCAAGAAAATGATGAATAAATGATTATATATCTAAGGCATAAAAACATACATTACTTATAAGCTGGTAAATTTCTGAAGGAACTATGACAGGGGAAAAAATGAATTTGAGAGATATATTAAGTGAAATTCGCAGTCCATTACAAGTTGAGTTTTTGCACCCCCTCACCCAGTTCCTCACCCAGTTCTTCACCCAGTTTAACTTAAATGTTGATTCTCTTCTTTTAAGAAACATACACCCTCACACTTTTTGGAGAAAAGAGAGAGGGGGTAGACGTTGGACTATATATGTATGCTACACTATGTGTTTCAGGGTTGTCTCAACCTCTTTTGCCTTGATTGTAGAATTTGTTTGAGACTCTTGTTACACTAATACCTTGAGAAAGATGACAACTAGTATCAAAACAGCTGGATACTCATATGTCTATTAAGTTAATCATTGAAACAGCAGAGAAAAAATTGCTAGAAGTCTTACTTTTTGAATATTATTTTTGTATCTTTCCACACCAAATGCTTCAATAGGCCTTGAAAAGCCATATATTTTAGATGTTATCCACGCTTGTCTGCTACACAATGTCCTTAAGGAATAAACAATTTAACATTAACGTTACAAAATATTGACAACTGAGATTCTTAAAACATACGGTTTTTAAAAGACATCTTGTAGAAGAGCAATAAAATTTGGCCAAAAATAATTAACTTATCTGACCGTGCAAAAGTGTGACAGTTATTCACCAGAAATCAAATATACAGTTCTCATTCACCGAAAAGGTAATTGCTAAGAATAGTCTTCTACAACAGAAAAAGGCAAGAGTCGAAAAGTATTTGACTATGTAACCACAAAGAAGTGATGATACCGCAAAGTTTTTTTTAAAAAATATTTTAGGTTTACAAGAAAAACTTCCGAAGTATTTGCCATTGTATATAAATATCTTCTAATTTCAACCTATTGCTATTGCCATTTTTAAATCTGATGTACATCATTTGAATTTTGATTTGTAAATCTACTGCTAACGCCTATCTAAGTGTCTGGGCTGTTACCTCAAGCAGTGAAAAATTTTATGCCTACATTATGGACTTCAATATCAATAACAGATTTCATTGCTAACAGTTAGGAAGATGAATCATCTCCAGTTTACTGGTGATTACATTCAAGAATGAAATCAGAACGTAACATAGCACATATAAATTTTAAATATTTTGAAAATTAACCAGTATGAGCTTTAATAAATAAAACTTACCAATCTTTGCAATCTGAAGACTTTGTATATTCGCATTTTTCTTCTACTACCATTAATTTCTGATACGTAATATTTCTAGTGTATGTAATGAGTGTTTTATTGACTGGGTCTACTATTGATTCTTCCACTATGCAGGCAGTTGGGTTGGAAACAAACTGAAAAAAGAATGATTAATCAAAAAGCTGCATCAAACAAACAATCTTTCAAGCAAATCTTCCCAGTTTAATTAACTATTTCTTTTTTATCTCATTAGCCTAGTTTCTAACATATTGTATTGACACACATCTGCTGGTGTGCCTATTTTTATGTCAAAACCTCAAGTACAACAACATCATACTGTGTATAGATGCAAAATCTTACTGTGTATAGACAAAGGTCTTCAACATTTTCACAGATGATGAAATTTTCAAAGGAAGATCCCTTTTTTTGTTCTTCTAGTTCTTAATTTGCAGCCATATAATTTTGAATGATTTCATTGTGTCTAAGCTAGATAACATAACTTCCCTTTTAGATTCAAAATCCTAATTAACTTGGTATGGGGTATGGCCTTGGCCTCTCTGTGGAAGAAGGGCCTCCCTTGACTAAAAATGTCATGGTAAAAAATTTGACTGCATAAAAAAACTACATAAAAATAATGGCTTAGATCTTTGATAACTCTTACCTTTTCGCCCCATTTTGGTAGCCTATTGGTCTTTGAAATGAGTTTTGTAGTTTTCAGCTTGGTTCCTTCAAGACATCTAAAAATGTAAGCATTTAAAAATGTATATACTATGAATGAACATTGAATTTTGAGGCTTCATTGTTGGTAGGTGTGGCCATAATGGGACCTTCAAATTGAACACTAAATAACACTCAGTGGTATAAAAACTCTCAAGAACAGTGTTACATGAAACACAGACAATTCTATTTAATCTGCTTAAACTCTTTTTAAATATATAATTCAACATCAAGCAAAAAAGGACTATTGACTCTTTCATTGCTTGCTTGCTTGCTTGCTTGCTTGCTTGCTTGCTTGCTTGCTTGCTTGCTTGCTGCATGATGCTTTACGATGTTATGATTAAATTCTAAAGACAACCATGTAATTTCCTGCCATTTTTCTGTCATTCCCAAACTACTAATCTTAAATTCATGTCAAATATATACTTTTCTCTAGAACTTAACTCTTTGCAAACCACTCTGTAGCATTTCTTACCCTACAGCGTTTACAATCTATAGGTAAATGTTTACGCTTGAATGAGAAACTAAGCCAGGTAACTTCTTAAATATAGCAACAAAAAATGTTTATAATACATCTGTTGCCTTATGGTCACATTAAGCTTCAGCTTTGTAGAATGTACCCTGCAAAATGATGGCATCCACAAGTACCATCAAGAAAGATTCAGTTGAAAGAGCCAATTAATAACCAGGGACATGTTCTTGGATACAGTTTTATCCAAATTCATGTCGAGTTTTGTTTAAAATTACTTTAAGAATACAAATTTAGGATACCCTTTGTCTGTAATTCTCTTTAAGAATCACAAATCTGCACAATCGTTACTTTGCGACACAGAAAATGGTTGAATGGAGCAGGCAGAATGTTAATAAAGAATAGAGTAGTTACTAAAAAATACTTAAGATTATTTTGGTCGAGTGGATTATTAAAACTATCTTGATCTATGAACCTAAAAAGGTACAGCCCTGCCTTTTCAGCATCAAACACTAGAAAACATTTCTCTCAAATATTAACCTTTAGTGTCTATTGTAGCTATACTGATAACATTTGTTCCCATGCTTTAAAATATTGTATAAACATTGACATAACAGAAAAGTTTCTACTAATTTGATATTTTAAGCAATGTAGAAAACCTTTTCTGTGGATTAATACAATGTGAGCTTTAATCAGCAAAAAATATTCACTTAAAGATAATCTGAAATGTCAACTCTTATACTTGCATGGGACTGTGTGTGACTGTAAACTTTCTAGCACAGTGTACACGCAGACCTCAAGATAATTTTGTATAATAGGCAAAAACCAAAATATTCTGCCTGCAACTTGCAATTTTAATCCTAATCAAAGCCTTGCATAGAAAATGAAATACATAGGCAAATGTATAGGCCTACATGCTTTTTTATCTGATTACAGGCATTCTTGTTTTCCAATTCATACCCAAAGTGTTCCATGAGCCTGGCATCCCTGGAATATATTAATATTTACCAGGTGAAAAGAGCAAGAAAACTGCTCTTACCTGCTGACAACATCTTCAGTGAGCACATGCTTACTCCATGGATTTGGATACCTTTTGTGAAATGCAGCACTAACTTGATCCCATGTGTACCTAAATTTTAGATCAAAGTTTTGTTTATATCCAGTAACTGCATACATTCTAGTGTTTTAAAAAGTTGACTTACAATGTGAACTGTCGACAGATGATACAACAAATTTATTCCTAATAATGTTTACGTTGATACAGATTAAGTCACAAAAACCTGTAAATTAGCCTAAAGCTGCAAATACCTCGTCTCTAATAAAATCGTTTAAAAATTATTAGCTTAGAAAAATGAAAATACCTTTACTACGACATAGCACAGAAGTCTAAAACAGTTACAATGTCTTTTAGAAACTTAACTTGTGTCAAAATTTATCAAAATTGAATACATATAGATAAAATTATCCCAGCTGTTCGTCTGTCTGGTTACCCTAGATGTGGTGTTACAGCTGGATTTGGCCCCAAATGTCAAAAGTTAAATCCCTTCCAGGAAACTCACCTTATATTAGAACCAGTTGTATAGCACCTCATCTTTATTTATTGCAGATTTCAAAAACTGTTTGAAGTTATGATTTTTAGCTAGGCTACCAGGTCGATTCCATGATGAACCGTATGTTGGGCAAAGGAAAGGAACGATATGCATTTGCGCATGACCTTATCGTTTTTCTCCTCCGCAGAAGGCCCCTCTGAACCATAGAGATCAGTGCTCTGCACCTCTGCACCCACAATCCCGGACAAAAATAATTGAGACTTTTAAAGGAAAGCTTATATTTTTACTTTCCTTCAAAAAAAAACCCCCCCCCCCCCCCAATTCAATTTTGAATGCATGATTTTGAAGGAGAAACGATAGAACTACAAATCCAACATTGCTTTGGGGGAAAAACATTTTTGTCCGGAATTGTAGAGTTGATTCCCGCCACCGAGTGCACAGAACCCAAGCACCCAAGCCAATCGTTTTCTCTTTCCGAAGGCGGCGCTAGAAAATCATTTAAGGGGTGTCAAGTGCCAGCAGGTTGCCGAGTAGGAGAATTTTAAATTAAATAAAACGAAGGCATACTGTGATATCGATAAAAGAGGAAACCCTTTTCCCCGTTGACTAGTTTTTGAAAATCTGCCTGTGTCTTAACGAACTTCATGTAAGGCTAATATTAAACCAAGAATCACTATGTGCCAACATAGCGTCTTGGGCACGAGCTAGTATAAAGAGAGCTCACATTCTGAAAGAAAATTGTCTAGTATGTTAATTCGAACAGGAATGAACTTGTCAATTACTGGATTAGAACTGATATTTTGTTTAGAAAAAACGGTTCAGCAATATATAATAAAACAGAAAATTTGAGCGTCTCTTTCTCGAAAGCTCTGTATAGGGTATCACTCTCAGCATAATACATATGTTAATTAAAACCCCGGCGAGCTCACTTAGTTGGTCTAATGTACTTCATATGTGTTCCTGAAGGTAGAAATGGAAAAGAAAAGACCTAAATTTCTTATCTGATTTGAACAATAGACTAAATTCTTCCATTAATTCGTGGTACTTCAATAGCCATTGATTTAACGAAAGAATTATCTGTAACATAATATCAGCAAACTACCTTTTTTGTGGTTCGTCTGACCATAGACAATAGAAAAAGTTTTTCTATTGACTAAAGTCAGACTGAGTAAAAAAGCAATCCTAGTTTCAAGATTCTATGTCCGAGAAATCTAGATGTCCCAGAGTTTTTTTAAAATAGAGATATTTGTTCCTGACTGGGTAGATTGTTGTTTTTGACTGAAAATCATAAAAACTTCTTAGCTTTTCGCCTCACTTTAAGTTCTAACCAAAACGAGACTATTTCGGCCAATTCTGTTGTTTTCAATGAGGTGGCGCATGGGGTAACAGTGCAAATGAAAAACATTGAATGGTACGTGGCTATTTGATGAACTGCTCTCGTTTTTTAATATAAAATCTGTGAGGAAAATTAATGATATAAATTACTGTGGGTTTTAAATGAATTGTATCTACCATTTTTGTCCACGTAGGACCAAAAAAGTGTGTAGCTGTCTGCTGATGACGTAATTAGTTTACCCTAACCCTAACCAGTGGCGTAGCTAGCCAAATAGCAGTGGTCATGCCCTCTCTTCAAATTTGAAAAAAATGGGTGTGGCCAAATTTTACCACGCCCAATTTTTTAGTTGATGAGTTCCTTTTGAAAATTTCAATTTTAAGGCTTGTGACTTATAAAAAAAAAATTTTGATTAACTTTTGGAATGAGCTTTTCTTATTTCATAGCAATCATCTTGTTACACTATGAAATGCCCTTTACCTTATAGCTGTGACACTGTCTTGGTTTGTTGGTAATTTATACAGACAGAGTTCTGACAATTTCCAAACAGAACTGTACAAAAGACATTAAAAAACATTAAAAAACATTAGTTTAGTATAGTAGATAAACTTAACTTAAATGAAAAATTGTGTTTTTCTCCTAATCTCTTTCAATTTGCAGGCTGAAATACATTTGTAAATTTTAGAGATAAGCTAAAATTTGTAAATGAAACAATAAATCACATGAAACTGAATGGGGGCTTTTTGGTCATCCTTTCCACAAATAGTCTTATCATCAATCTATTGAAGGTATTTTAAAGCCATCATGATTAACTAACAACCACAATAGAACTGATAGATGAATAAAACAAATAGGCAAATGAAAATGCAATGTAAATATTGATATGAAATATATAGGAAGCTAAAATAATGGATAGGCCTAGTTGCAAAATGTTTTCTGCAAAGTTAGACTTAATAGAAAAATACCTTGCAAAATAGATTTAGCTTAACAAAAACATTGATGTCTCCACATATACTTATGGTAAATATCCACATAATTGGATTGTCTTTACTAAATCTAGCAAACAAGGCTTGTAAATGAAATAATTTGATCTTGTAAATTTTCAAATACATCAAAAGTTGTAATAATGAAATAAAACTGTTTAACTAACAAGATCAGTAACATGCTTAACTTGTCTCTGGTCATTTTATTTCAACAGCTATAAGTAGTAAAAAGGTACTTTCAACTACAAATGAAGTCAGTAGAGCTTTGAGTTTGACTTTAATTGTGTTATTGCATGTGATAATAAACAAACAATTCAAGAATAACTTTAAGCAAATTTTGGTATTCACTATCCATTTACTACAATCTTATTGTCCTAATCACAATATGGTAACAATGCTTTTAAAGGGCTTAACAGTTTCTAAATATGCTGCTAAATGTCTGGAAAGTTTAAGCTCTTAAATCTGTTGGTTTGGAAAATAACACTGCTATCTCCACCATCCATCTCCAGTGAACAGCACCAAGAATTGGCATTCATTAACGGAAGAAGATTATCTGCAAATGTTCAACTAGTAACATTTGATTACTGAAAAGGCTGAGAGTTTGGTTTGGTTGCATAAAATGATCCTGCTCGCTGATTTTATGTCCAAAAATGGCCTTTTGTGCCTGTCACTTCTCCACATAGTGCAACACCATTGAGGCTGAAAACCCTGCCATTGCCATTAAATGTTCTAGAGATTAACATGAGTCGTGGCTGCTTGGCGATAAGCTATTCCTTGCATTTTACTTACAGAGAATTACCTCCCATTTCGTGGATCTAGGCATAGCAGCGCCGCCATCGATGCCTCGCATTCGCGTTCACGAAATAACACAGGACGGGTCTGATGATTATAATGATGGTCATGCCCTCTCGAAATGGCATGACTAGCCTTTGTTCTCTCCTGCGTCACTCCTATTGTTAGGCATGACCAAACATAGGGAACCAGCGTTATGGGCATGACTAAAACACAGGGTTTGGTCATGCTCATAGTTATGGGCATGACTAAATTGGAAACCCTCTGTTTTAGTCATGCCCGACAATAGAAGAGCGCCTTCGGAGGGCTCCATATTCTTGCGTGGAACCATAGGGTTCCAAAGGCCATCATGAGAATAGGACTTTATTCTTATGAAAATATAATTTTTTGAAAAATGTTATCTCTGGAAATAGATGGTCATGCCCGGCATGACAAGCATGACCGCTAGCTACGCCACTGACCCTAACCCTTACCCTAGCCCTAACCCTAATCCTAATCCTAATCCTAATCCTAATCCTAACCCTAACCCTAACCCTAACCCTAACCCTTTACTTAAAATAATTAATCATACTAATTTATGACTATTAATCATGCTTATTTGTGACTATCAGGTCGAGCAGTATGGAAACTATACAATTCCCAAAAAAGTAGACTAGCTAGGCCTTCATTTTAGATTGCCTAAAATAAATACTGCTATGCCAAAACTTGCTGCCCCGAAATTAATGTGATTCTTATAAGATCTGCCGAGAGTTGTTATTTTGGCCACCACAGAAAGTGATAAAATCATTTCATTTCTTAAAAAGAGATGAGCTTTAAAAACAAGACATGCTACCAGCAGATATCATATATACAATGATAAAAATGCACACTTTGGAATTATGTGTAGTCATCAAAGCTGTGTAGACACTATTTGCAAAGTTTGTTTGGGCAGAAAGTGAACAAACCACATGTCAAATATTCTTGGATGTATTTTCCCAGTGCTCCAGATTTATATATGCCAAATAACAGCAACATGCGAAGGATAATTTTTGTCTTTGTTAAAGCTGTTGGGAGTAAAATACACATGGAACAAGATGATCTAATTTTTTACCATGCACAAAGTTTTCAAAGTTTGAGCAGATTTTGGTTTACAGAAACAGTTCTCATCTGGTTGGGTTCACCTAGTTCTTATTTTTAGGAATTATGAAAAATGTTTATCATTGCTACATTGTTTTTATCACCACTAACAACGCTACTAATGTTTTTCTCTGAAATGTACACCTAAAAGTTACATACTGTGTTTTTATTGTTATTAGTCTCAGCCGCACACAAATTTTATCTGTGTTATTTGCAAATGTGCAATTTTGTGGACATGCAACAGATCCCCTGGGCATCTTTCAAAGATTCCAATCTGGCAAGAAATGGTAAAGCTGAACTAGAAAGCATGTTAGGGGTGCACCCCATATCATAACCACCTAGAAATTTTCTACCAGAGAATCAGTGATCATAAAGGGGGGTCACTAACAAAGGTATCACAAAAACAACAAAGTGTAGAACTTTTTCATTTTCCATCTATTCTGATGGTATGAAGTGTTGCCTGATGAAAGCAGCATGGCACTCAGTGTAGCTACTTAGGGCCATCCTGTTTTATACACCAAAAGCATATTGTTAAATTTATATAATGCCCTTTCTTGTGTAAAATTATTCTAGTTAAATTGATAGGTAGCTATGAGAAATCTAAATAAAAAATCATTTGTGGCTCTAATGTTTAGCTTTGGTTTCTGATATTTTCCTCATTTAAAGTTGCTTTTTAAACCACCTATTCATATGATTAAAAATGTTTGAGCAAGTCAGATTTTCAAATGACTTTTTGATTAAGAGAAATAATTTTTTGGACAATTTTGTTTCTGAATATTTGACATGCTAAGAATTTTTGCATTTAATGTTATTATTTTCACTGTATATGAATAAAAATAGTGCAATTAAACAAACAAATCATTGACACAGTACAGTTATCTTCTGATTCAAATTAAATACCTGACTTTTATTATTTTATTATTATTAAATACCTGAATTTTACAAAATCCATTCAATGATTTCAGAACACATTTTACTGAAAAATTAACATTTTCAGACTTTATGAAGATTTTGTAAAAATGTTCTAGCAAGACTGTTCTCCATTATTACATTTGTGGGTTGATATTTATAATATAATTTCTATTCTCATTGGTAGATAATGCCAGAAATCTTGCTTTTTTGATTTGCTAATAGATTCATCTTATAATGATGCTAATGATGGTTTATCATTAATAGGTAACAAAATGATGAAATGGATCCAAGCCATCACGAGAGACAAGAGGAAGAGCTGCAGGTTTTACAAGCAATTTACATGAGCGAATTTGAAGATCTAAGAAATGAACAGCAGATTAAGGTATAGATTTTTTAATTGTCAGATCATCATTAGCATAGCACACTGTAAATATGAAATGATCAAAAGAAGTTAACATAACACCCCAACAAAAATGAGAGCCCATAAAAGTAGTTTGCATTAAGGTTTTTTGGCCTCTGTCACGAGAAAGCTTTGATAATATAATTTTTTCCAGAGGAAGAAAGTGCCTTAGACACTCTTTGTATAAAGTCATTCAAGTCTAAATAAAATTGTACTTTACTGAAATAAATTCTTGTCACTTAAGCAGTTGAAAGATTCCACTTCACTAGCTAGTCAAGTTGATCAAAATGCTTTATTTAGTTGCAGAAATCTTTCAATTTGTTCAATCTGGCTTTTTGTGGGTGTTCACTCCATCCCAATTCACCCCAATTGAAAATTAAACTGAAAATGGTAAATTTTCTGGGCCCCCCAAAATTTGATTTCCTGGTAAGGAAGAAACATTCAAGTCAGCTCTTTTTTCAGAGTACTCTAGCAGAGTTTGAGCCGCTATGGTGGATCGGTGAATGTTCTGCTAGGAAATTTATCTTCAAGCTGGAGTTCTTCAGTCATGCTCAAAGACTGTTTATCATTGTTTTGGCACAATTATTGTGAAAATTTCCATAGAAAGTGAATAGAAAGCCTTCTGTCAGTGGTTAGGGTCTGAAATTGCTGTATACAGCGTACTATCATCACCAATTTTTGAAAATTTTTCAGTGCCCCCACTACCAATTGGCTCTCCTCCAAATTTTCTCTGAATCCGCCCCTGAATGTAATTTCAATAACTTTAGGTATTGGCTGTTATACTCATAGCAAAAGCATTTAGATACAATGCTGCTGGCTGGTTAAGATCATCAGCTGGATTATACTACACTTAAGTTTTGAAAAGGACTTTATGTCAAATACGGTCCATTCTTAGACTTACTCCATGAGCCTCTGTTTCGCTCCTGCCTCACTTGACGGACACTACAACTGTTATTACCAATAATTTTTAACAATTTTCAAAACCGTTTGTTTTCTGTGTATTGAACTCAATCTGTATTGGTGAATCATTTTTTGATTTTGGCATTTTATTATATCCAGGCTGGACACCCTCCAATTGTTTGTCTGAAGCTGACACCACTTCAAAGTATAGTAAACAGAGATGTTTATGCCAAAGTCGACCTTGTGGTCAAATACACAACAAGATACCCTATCGAGTATGTTACTTTTATTTTTTAATTATTTGATCTCTTGAAGGTTGGGAATACATAATTTTCTATTTACAGGTTTCTTGCAGATCTTAAAATTTATCTATTTGCCCTGAGTGAACACTAAACAGTAAGTGTTTCTACAGCATTTGACTTTTCTTCTGTCGTTGAAGTTCTTCTCAAGTTATAGCCATTCGTCTTAGAGATGTGGATATTCTCAAACAAACAGAAGAAACAACCTTCAATTTTAGACAGCTGTTGTTGCATGAGTCATGCAGAGCAACAAGGTCTTGTTCTAAGTGCCTGCATGGTATCGATATTATAGATGGAAACTGAATCAATGACATAAGATAGAAATTTCAAGAGGCTTTAGTTTCATTGAGTGTTGAAAATGACAGGATCTCAATCATTAACAGAAGCCATTGCTCCCTCTAGATTGTATATTAAAGGCGACCCACCTTCTTTAACAAGCCTGAATCAGAGTGGCGAATCAGAGTGATAAGTCAAAAGCGATTTGCGTCTTCACTCATTGATCAGCCTATGTTTATTTTAGCCCTCCAATTTTACGCCTGGAAAACCCCAAAGGCCTTTCGAATGGGCAGATTGGTACCTTGAAGAAGGATTTAGATGAACAGGCCAAAAACCTCATTGGGGAGGTAAGTCTCTGTGTGAAACTTTTGTTGCTTCGGTCACTTTTATCTTAGCCAAGAATAAATGCTTAGAAAAAATGTCGTAAAAGTGGTTAAGCGTTATGATTTTTTGCTGCTATGCTTTAGCAAATCAACAAATTTTTCTGAACTTTGACTGAAGGCTGCAGCCTGAGATCTGTCGTTGGAGCCAAAAGCTACCAGAATGTTAAAAATATTAATTTCTTTCAGATAAGAGATTTCAGATTAATTTTTCTACTTCGTCAACTTTTTCCTCCATTTCCAGCAGCATTCCTGTGTTGAAGCTTACGTATCCTATATTCCAACGATATTCTATCCCTATCATCTTGATACTATGATCATGCAACTCCTTTTGCATTCTATATCAATCTTTTTCGTGGTCTTCCTCTCGGTCTCCTTCCTTATTGTCAATCCTCTATTTCGTTCAACTGCATTGCTATTCTTGTCCATTGTGGCCAAATATCGATGTCGTCCTAGCCATGCTTGTAAGACTTCAGTACAAATGTTTGTGACTCCAAGACCTATACCGAATATCCTCTCTGCTTATCTTATTTAGCCACGGCATACCCCTGGCAATCCGCTAAAATTTTCGTTTGTCTGGTCTCCAGCATCTGTTCCTCCTTCCTTTGTAGTTCATAAGAGCTTTTCCAGTAACAAATCTAGTTTCTGTCAACCTTCTTGGCCTTTTCTTACCATAAATTTTAAAACCTCTCCAGTGAGAGTTCTTAATGTTTTGTTGACTTCAGGTTATGGTTCTACAGCTGGCACAATCAGTTCAAGCTTTCCTTCATAAATACAATGTTCCTACACTGTCTTTCCACGAGCAAATGCTCAAGAATCTACAAAAAGAAAAGGAGATACAAGAATTGGAAAGAAAGAGGCGAATTGCGAAGGATGAGGCCCAAGCTAAAGAGTTTGATGATGATGTTGTTAGTATATCACTTGGTTTTGCTATTTTTTGTATCAATGTCTCTATTTGCCGCAAAATTTCCAATTGCGTGACAGATCATGAAAAGCTGGATGATGACAAAAAGGTTGATGCAAATTTTCGCCTAAAATTTGGATCGAAAAGGTCTTTGGGTCAATTCATTTATTTTCAAGTTTTGCTGTTGCGTCTGATAGGCTAATTCCGAACAACTCCTTGTGATCCTAGAGCACCTTTTTATGTCTGTTTAGGCCCTTGATGCAGTCTATTATTGAAACGACATTGGCATGAAAGGCAACTACGCCGGTAGTTATAAAAGAGGCTGGATTTCAAACTAGAAGGCTGTTTGGTTCATCCAACTCCTGTTTAACGCAAAATCTTGCCTCCTGTCCTTGCCACCAATTTCATTTTACTGAAGGCACGTGTCATGGAAGCTGATTCCTGTTTTTCTTATTTCAGAGCAAAATGGTTCAAGTTGCTTTACAAGAAAGAGAAGAGGCTCTGAAAGAAAAGGGGAAAAGGAGACAAGTGCTGGAAGAAAGCGTACGTTTTCATTATGTCATCAAAAATTTTTGCCTTTTCTTATCTATCATCTGGTTGAAATGAGGTCCATTTTGAATGCATTCCGTAGTAGAGCAGGACTCGGAACCCTCCTTTTGTCTCTCAGACAATTCATGAATTTAAGAAAAAAGACTTCAATATGAGAAGAATTCACCAACGAGATTTTTCGTATCTTTTCATACCTTTTAAAAAAGTTTCATGTTGATTTTAAGACAGTTTGCTTCCACACTGTTTGGACAGTAAGTTCGTTTTGTTTTAATATTTTAATATATTAAAAGAAATCATTATCTAGGACAGATGGGTTGTAGAGGCCCTCGCCCTACCCCTAAAAATACGCTGAAATTGTCCCTGGCCGAAGTAAAAACTCTGCAGAAATATCTGGAAAGATCTCGTGAACTAGCATTGTGTTTTTACTTTTTTTAGCTTCTTTTGATCATAAGTCCACAGTACCTGTGTGACCTCATTTTGTTTATTTTTCAGCGGGTTGGCTCATTAGAATCAGAGAACGGTGCCCCGCTAGGGTCTAGTCCCCCAAACAGTGGAAGAAGACGAAGAAATAGTGATAGCTTTTGTGAAATGGAGAAGCCTTTGGAACGGCGAAGGAGCATTAGCTGTACTAGAGTGAAGCAGAAGGTTGAAGTTGTAGATTTTTCAAGTAAACTAGGGGGAAAAGTTGTGCATTGTGGCAGGTGTATTGGTAAGCAGCATCCATTTTTGTTCACATTTTGTCTTCTATTTTGATTCTCCATAAATGGTCGGTCAACAAACTGGTAAGATCTTAAAAGGTTCTGTTCTGGAAGATTACCCCCACGCCGCTCTAAAAAGACCGACTAGTGCTACATCTAGTGTTATCTTGCAGAGGGATGTCAGATTATTTACAAATAATTGTTTTGGATCTTAATTTCTTGTAGGACATCATTTCCAAGGAGCATGTACTAGAGATGGTTTGGACCTTGACAACGGGTGTGTCGTTACCGCTTGTGAATGGGCACTCAAAGCCAAATGCGGAAAGAAGAAGCCATCCTTAAGTTTTGCTGGCAGCTCTGAATTAGAGGACATCTCAAAACAGGTAATGCGACAATCTATGACGCGGTTTTTTTAGCAAATAAGATGTCCTGTTATTATTTGTTGCTACCTAGCTCCCGAAGATAGTTTTAGGACACTGGGAAACTATGCATATCGAGCAGTCATCTGGTCTTTCCTCTCGATGTGACCATGTCTCGTGATTTTTAAGGATGGAATTACAGAGAGCTGACAACGCTTCTGATTCTAAGTGAAAGTAAGCGAACCCCTGACCCTAACACAAGTGGCTAACCAGCTTTGTATTTTCACTTGTTGGTTAGGATGACACAGATATAAACAATTGTTTACGTAAATCCTTATCTTTGTATGAACGTTTTATTTTGTATTATTTAGGTTCAAAACATGGACCAGGAACTCTTATATTTGTCATCAAAACTACAACACGAAAGCCTCATTCGCTACCACTCTATGTCCATCGAAGAAAAGAACGGAACTCTATATGTCAGGGTATGTTTCTACCAACCATATTACGAACTTTTATGGAAGAAAAAAAAACTAATATTATATTGCTACAGTCGTCTCCCGTTAGGTCGTACCCCGGATAACTCGGGTTTTAACTAAGTCGGACGGAAGTTACTTAAGTTTTCAGTGCTCATTGGCTTTTCCAACCTTAAGAGGCCAAAAGTCGTGTCCCAGGTAATTGGGACATTCGTCAAGTCGGATCAAATGAACAACTTAAAAGCCTGATTCTGTTGTAGTATGATTATGAAAAATGTTAATTAACTTGATTTGCTTCCAGATAATGAAATATCCAGTACTTTTTTTAATATGACCAAGAACGAATTAGGTTTTTCCATATTATTTTCTCTAATTTGGTTATTTAATGCCCCTAAAACGGCCCTTTTTATCCTGATTTAAAACTTTGTTTTTGTTTCTCAACAGCGTTTCCTGTGTAACGTGACAGTTTTTGCTAATCATATTTCATTGTAATTTTCCCCATCAGCTTTTTGCTCAGCCCTTTGCATTCTTTATAAGTCTTTTACCCTAATGAACTAATGCTAATTCAAAATTTACATTGAATTTAATCTTCGTTATTAAACCAGATTCTCACAAACTATCTATTAACTCCCTAGCTTATTCGACCCTCAAATTTTTATCATAAATTATTTTCAAAAAATATCGTATGAAGGATAGTTTGCTCCGTTATTTAAAGCAGTCTAAATACAAAGTATCTGATTCCAGATTTTGATGGACAACATTGATGGCTTCAGTATAGCCGACTGCATTAAGCCACCAGGTTTGCCAGTTGATACCGTCAAGAACTATGCAAAGCAGCTCGTCCAAGTTATTAATTACCTCCATGGAAAATCAGTTGTTCATCGGGATTTAAATGTAAGTAAAAACCGATTTCTTGCTTCTCAGTATTGATATGAAACCAAGGTATAATATAATGCCAGGATTACAGTATGACTATGGAATAACACCCTAAAAAATGTTTTCAGAATTGTTGAATAAGGACAATGTATTCTGAAAAATTAATGATTTAGTGCTACAGGTGAAAACGTATAGAATTTATCCAAAACAAAATTAGGTCAGCCACATGGACGCAATTGCCTTCTCTGTCAAATGCATGTTGTTTGGTTGTATGATTCATTGATCAAACTAGTATTCCTTTAATAAACTTCTTCTTTTTCACTGGCCCTATCTCAGCAAATTCGTAACACATTTGACAGAGTTGATACTTTGATTGTATTGTAATGTATTCTTTCGAATAATTATTGGTCCAAAATCAAATTCTACAAGCTGGTTTTATGGTATCGCAATACAAAAATTGTCTTACAAGAGAAGAGAATGATTTGTAACTGAGCCGAGTGGAGGTTGTAATCCTGTGAAGTGGGCAGGGACGGTTTTACCGGGGTGTAGGGTGTGCGACCCCCCCCCCTCAATATTTTTGTGTCCTTCGCTGAATTTTGCTTTGATTTGGTAAAAGCACTTTTAGTAGTCAGTAGTCTCAAAATGTTACGAAAATTACTTTATTTATCTTCTCATCTCATTTATCTTGAAAAAACTAAAAACTTAATTTTTAAAATGGGCCTTTCCATCTATTTTTAGCCAACAGTGGCACCAAAATCCGATCATTATGTAATCCCCCCTGAAACGTTGCCGCTTAAAGTGGACATTGTAAAATTAAGAATCCACGGCAAACGGGGTAGCTGGCACATAGGAATAGAACAGCTTCAAAATTTTATACAAAGATTTAGAATCTTTGATTCTCCGTTACTTCATAGTTAAAGTTTTTGAAATGTTTTTTAAGCGCTGTTTTTATCGTATAATATTTCCAAGCAGTGTTATCATGCGAAACTTATTAAAGCAATCTTCTTATAAGTAATTTTCAACCGGGTTTTCTCTCCTGTTGACAGCCATCGAATATCTTTGTTTGCAAATGGAACATTTTGAAAGTCTGTGGCTACGCTGTTCTTAGAAGGTATCTTCAGTCTTCTTATGAACTCTTTAAAGCCCTTTGCCATTACTGTTTTAATCAACCTCCATTTGTCCTTCAGTTTTGTTTTGCACACTAATGGCAATCATAGCAATCCGAGGCCTGGACTTGCTACAAGTCTCTCTCTCTCTCTCTCTCTCTTTCTCTCTCTCTCTCTCTCTCTCTCTCTCTCTCTCTCTCTCTCTCTCTCTCTCTCTCTCTCTCTGTCTCTCTCTCTCTCTCTCTCTCTCTCTCTCTCTCTCTCTTTCTCTCTCTTTCTCTCTCTTTCTCTATTTTTCTCTCTCTAGCAAGTCCATCCGAGGCCTTACATTTAAAACTTCTCTTATTTATTTTCCTGCAGATAGAGAGCCTGTTTAAATAGAATCATAGAATCGTCTCTTCTACTAACACGAATATTGACCTGCATTTATACGCTACGTTTATATTAAATGGAATGTATTCTTATATTATTTTGAATGAAATGCCTTGCGTTTCAGAAGTTATACCCCCTCCCATTTGTTCATATCTTGCAAAACAACATCGACCATCTATTCGTGTGTCTGGCATCGTTATATGCTCTTTGCCTAGGTTGTCTGATCTCCATAACCTCTTGCAAGAAGAAGGCACTTCTCAAGATGAGTTTGCAGATTACCGTAAGCTGGTTAAGCCTGGAAAGAAGGGAGACATTTTTAATTTGGTAAGCCACCTCTCTATGTGAACGCGTATATATGATAATGATCAAACATCTAAAGGAAACCCGTAGAAGATACTTAAAGACAATACTTCAAAGAGTGGGGCTACTTCACGGCGCAAAACACCAGAGCACGATGTTGGAAGAAATTTTCACCATTTTTTCAAACTTTTCAAACTAATAACAGATTTTCTAAGCAAGTCATACTAGTTTTATTTCAAAATGAAACATGCTGGCGCTTTGTGATTGCATTTTCGAGATTGTTTTGTTTGAAATTTAGATAAGCCCTGCTTCGCTTGGGCCACATAGAATACAGTTTTATCATTATTGTCGTTCATTGCCTGTTTACTCGTATTTTGTGAATACATTTGAATTGATTTGATAAATTGAATTTAAGTGAATTGAACTTGGCATTGCTGACTTTTGTGGAATTAGTTATTTTTATCTCTAATGATTTTTATTGAAGACGAAGCGGCCTACTTTTTAAAACTTTTTAAAAATCGGTGGATATTTTTCCTCTTTGTACTAAATAGATATTTATATTTTTTTGTATTTAATAGATAACTATATATCTATATATATATTATACAGTTGGTCAGTATTCTATGACACATCTTGTTTTAACAAAGAGAAAGTTTTAAGAAGACCATTTTGGTTGGGTTATTGAGAAAGCAGATCAAATGAATCTGAAAACTAAGAATAACTGGAATTACTCTATTAATTTGACTTTAGAATGATTTTAAACCTTAAAGTGTTTGTATTCAAGAAATAAGATCTATTTTAATAAAATTTACAATCTATCGCTTGCTAGATATTTTCAGAGCTCTGTTGGTCGTATATAATCTGCTAATCTATATTAACTTTTTCCAACATTATGATGTACTTTGTGACATCATGATAATTATTATTTATCATTAGTTATTCATCTTAAGCTTATTCATTTTTACATCATTTCCAAGGCACAATCACACTTGATAATTTCTGTGAATTCGTTCCATAGGGCTTAGTGATATTGTCTTTGGTCCAAGGTAAAATTGCAACTGGTTACCCTGTGGAGCTTCCTGCTGGATTGCCTGACGACCTTCAAGATTTTTTGCTCAAGTACGTTCTCTTAGTTCCTCAAAGCTGCCAAATTTGTTTGCAAGCCTTCTATTCGTTTACTTTATATTGTGATATTTTATGAAATAACATTATGCTCTGCTATGATTTACTGTTTCCTGGGTTGTCTGCTATTTATTTATGCTCATCTAATAAATTCTATCTTCGAATCTCATTCTTGCTAATTTTTACTACCTACTTGTATCTACTTATCTTCGAATTACCTACAAAGTTTTCAACAGTGGTGTCAAGTAGAACATAACCTTATGCTGATCGCAGTTGGTAGTTATTCAGAGAAAATGCCTGCTCTTTTTACCCAAAATGTAGCATTCGTCGCTAAAATTTCAGTATTACAGTTTAGTAAAAATTTTAGCCGACCAAAGCATAAATGTTTTATTAACATGCTTGAAGCATCAACTTTTTAGTTGGCCGATGATCACAATTGTGCATTAAAGTGCAAAACAAAATTCTGTTTTGAAATTAAATATTCTACAATTGTGAACTTTACCACAAAGAAACGACGTTTCTGAATGAATAAATGTTTTGATTAAATGAATGCTTCACCAGAGACGTGATTATTCTATGATGGTAGAAATCGCCGAACAGCGGACGCTCGTTGCATGACTGTTCGTTTTAGATGTGCCGCTGCTCGCAGTTTGCTTCTACAATGCTTTGGTCATAAAAACTTTGGAGAATGTTGTTCATGTCTTTTAATTAAGTGGCTTTTAAAGGCATTTGTCCGCTATAGAGAGGTGTCCCTTATTAGGAGGTGCCCATTAAAGGAAGGTGTCCGCTGTAGAGGACCTGTAATAGGGAGGTGTCCGTAATAAGTAGCTGCCCGTTATAGGGAGGTGTCCGATGTAGAGAGGGCCTGTTATAGAAAAATGTCAATTATAGAGAGATGTCTTATAGAGAAATGCCACCCCTTATAGGGATTTAGCTATAGAGAGATGTTTCCTTTATTTGGAGCTGTTCTTTATAGGGATGTGTCTGTTATAGGAAGGGCCTGTTAAAGGGATGTGTCCGTTGTAGGGAGTTTCATTTGTAAGGAGGGCCTGTTATAGAGAGGTGTCTGTTATAAGGAGGTGTCCGTTAAAAGTCGGTGTCCGTTTTAGGGAGGCGTCCGTTAAAGGGAGGGCCTGTAAACGGGAGGTTTACATTATAGAGAAGCGTCTGTTAATTGAGTTTTCGCTGTAGCAATAATGACAGTTATCTTATAGATCATATGTCAGTAATTTTACTTCTTTCTACGTATTCATGTTGACTTGCAGATGTCTGGTTATCGATGAAAAAGAAAGATGGACAGCATTACAGCTTGCGAAGCATCCTTTTCTCATCATTGAAACGCCTCACAAATCTCATTCTATAAATAATGGCGTTGGCTCTAATCAAGCTATTGCAGAGGATGACAACGATGGAGGTGAAGAAAACCTGTTACCTATGATTAGTGTATTAAATATCCCAAGTAAAACACGACTGATGACGGACTTTGCAATCCTTGAATCGCTTGGTCAAGGGGGCTTCGGTGACGTCATTAAGGTATGCAAAGGACTATTTATTCTTCTATCATGAACAAATTTTTCACTTTTGCAGCTTTTTATAAATGTATTTTAAAAAAGCACGGACGAGCGGAAACATATCATATCATACTAAAGGTTGACTGGTTTAATACGCAATACTGCTTTACTGGTTTATCCAAGGGTAGGAAGAAAGCTGTAAGAGTTGTTATAGCCATTGCATTGAAAATGATTTAAAGCATCGATTAAACCATAGTCAAAAGAAAAAACTCTGATCTGGAAGTCCTTTGTTTTATCCTTTTGTTTCGCGCGCCGACTTAAAGCCAGCCTATTCGTAGGTCACGTGATCAAAACGAGTGCACAAACAAATTTTGATATGAAAGATATACAGGAACAAAGCAATACGACGACGAGAATCCAATGTCACGAAATAAAATTTTCAAAATAAATTAAATTTAAAGAATAGCATCAGCAGGTTAATCACATTATACTAAAATATAAAAAGGAAAAATGTTGGGTATTAATACAATAATAAGAAAACTTTTAAAGACGATACATCGTAAACTTGTTGGCGAAGGGTACATGGAAAAAAGTCAAAAAGAGCTATCGAGTCAATCAAGATTTGATCTTGAGGCCATGTATCCTAATGGAGGGGTTTAGATTTAGAAGCTACTAAGATTTTGATTGAATACTTAACAGAAAGTAATGACTAAAATTTGAAGTAAAAATCAGAACCAAAACAATAACAAGATGAAATACTGATACTAATACAAAAGTAGCGAAATAAAGTAATAAAGTTTTACCAACTGATAGTAAATCTACTGCTTTTGGGGCCACAACAGGCTCTAGCGTCCCAGCTTTTGACACGCATTCAGCATTCACAGCATCAGCTGACAGTGTACCCAGCGAATAGTTTAGATTTGATATTTTTTGTCGAAAAAAGCTAGACGAACTGTTAAACGACGAGATTTTTCCCGACTCAGTTGTGCAATTTGCAAAAAGCACTACAACAAGAAAAAGTGGCTGTTTCTTAAAAAAAAACGAAGAAGAAACAAGACATCAGTTTTGCCAGTGCAGCTGGCCTATCCCCAAATTGGATATGTCAGATATTATAAAATTGGTAAAATTTTCGCAAACTGATTTGCAACAAAATAGCTGCTAATATTGGGTCTGCCCACAGGCTACAGTCGTTCAGAAGCCCTACCAAAAGTGATTTTTCCTCACCAACTTCATTTTAACGGACTCTTTAAAACAATAATTAATGGAATGCTATGCAGTCTTATCGGTCGGTAGCGATGGCGAACAGTTTCTTCTACTTTTTTACGGTACGGTTCTACAGTTTGCAAATTTTCTTATTCCAAATTGTGCAGCCAGCTCTTTTAACTTCTTTTTGTTGAAAAATTTGGGAGACGAATTGTACAGCTTCTTCAGGAGACCACAGCAAGTGACCTTAGAAAAGACATTGCCGATGAGCGAAAAAGATTTTGATTGCCTACAATACTTATCTGGTTAGATTGAACACAGATTTTTGAAAAAGCAAGAAACAGCCCAAAATAAGGTTGCTGGAGAGCTTCATTGAAGAACGGCCTGTGTCCCAAGGACTGATGAAACCAAGGAGGTTTGATAAGAGCTAAAAATGAAATCGAGAAAATCTTTACTCAAGCAGAGTCAGAAAGTCTTTCGCAGATACGCACTGTGCCATTCTTCAACCTTAGCATCAATTTCACGATATTTTAATAACACATCCAAGATATCCCTTCGTCGTTTCGAATAAAAACGTTTTTCTCTTCCTTTTACTCCACATTTATTAAACGCATCGCTAGCTCTAGGCATGTAAATAAAATAGCATACTTGATAACCTGATGATAAGTTGAAAATATCATGTTAAAACAACACGCAAATTAGAAATTTGAACTCTACCGAGCGAAAGTTGTGCACTCATTTTGACCACGTGTCATCGTTAAAATGAAACAAAAAGTGAGAAACAATGGGCTTCCAGACCAGAGATTTTTCTATTGACTACTGACACTTTTTTAGTGACCTTGAATGTTCTCATACGACAATATACAAGAATCGAATCTCTGAATCCATCATACAATTTTGTATCAATTTCTCAAAAACCTGATGTTTTTTCCATTCAACAATCATGCATTCGGTCGATGTAGTTAGAATACCTTACCTTGTCAATAACAATGACTTTTTAGGGTTTTTCAAACTTGCTTAACAGTTGTGGGTTGGCCTAAATTATACAAAATTACCTCCATTGGCTATAAAGGACATTTTTGGACCAGAAAAAACCTTTAGTATCAGATTATCAATAGTTTGTACCCCGTAAGTAATGTGTTGCCAAGTGAAAGGTTGAGCCAGTCAGCCACTGACGTAACAGTTCCGCCGGTCCTATAATGTTCTTTAAAAACAAGAAAGTCTTTTTAACATGTTTCCTCTCCCTGGAACCGTGGAAGCTGGGCGAGGGCGTGGCGGGGGAGTGGCTAGGGGAGTTTAGCCCCGATAATTTCCAAAATGTACTTAAAACCGTACCAAAAATCACCCTACTCTTGCATGCTCAGCCCCCCAAAACGTTTTAGCCCCCTCAAACTATGCTCTGCGGCAGTGGCGGACACTTGGTCAAATATTGGGGGGGCAGGCCTATTGTTTTAATAAGATGACGTCATATTTCCTATTGTTTTAGAACAAAAGACCATTGTTCTCTAAAGTATTGGGGGGGCGGTCGCCCCCCCTCGCCCCCCCAAGTGTCCGCCACTGCTCTGCGGTCCTAGCCTTCTACGGATTGAACCCGGAGTCATTACCTTTTTTAATCCATCTCCACTTTTCGATACCTTTACCGATACCTATAGAGTAACGATATACACATAAGTTACTCTTTGGCTACTCCGTTGCTTCTCTTATTAATAGAAAGCTTTCTTATATTTCACATTTTTAAGATTAACCTAGAAATTCAAAGGCAATATGTCACGACGTTGATTGGTTATAAGAACAAAGGGATTTTGATTGTTTCCAGTCCCCCTTTAATTTATCGCATTGTAAAAAGTATGGCGGAGCGCTACGAGACAGATTGCCTTTAAGGTCTAGACGATATTTTCATCCGAAGATGTTCAGATTCGCGCGCTCAAAAGTACCACACAAGAAAGTTGAAATGATGTTGCTTGAACGAATCAGACATGGTAGACCGATTTGTGTCAGGCAGCAATGGTTGAATGGTTTACCGGGTTTATAAAAACCGAGCACATTTGGAGGACCCGGGCATCGATCCCGGTACCTCTCGCATGCTAAGCGAGCGCTCTACCATGTGAGCTAGTCCCCCATATAGAAATAGGTTATTTTGGCAAGCATTTGGTCTCATATGGTTATTTTATCAGTTTAAACCAAATCCCCCTCAAGCCGCACAAGCTCTTGTTGTAAACCTTGTAGCCACAAGTCTAGTAAAACGAGAAAACGAAATGTTATAGCACTTCTAGGGGTTTACGCTGTTATGGAAGAAAGTTTCCTAAAGCTACATCTAAGTTTCTTTAAAATTTCAGTTAAAGTGTCTTTTCTGTTATTAATAAAATTTTTGCTCGGGAGTAATTTACGAAAAACACAGTGTGATCTTTATTGAACTTGCCAGAACTACTTCACAAAAATAGAATCTCTGGAGTTATGTTTGCCTTGTTTGCTCGTAAACTGCTTTGAATGTTTTTAGGATTTAACAGAAGCCATTTTTAGCTGTTGCAAATTAAAGTTTTTTTGTTTTTGTTTTGGAAAGGTCAGGAAAAAGCTTGACGGCTTGTTGTATGCAATTAAAAGGATCAACTTGAATCCGAAAAGTGCCCAGCTGAAGAAAAGAATTATCCGAGAAGTCAAACTGCTGTCGAGATTGAACCACGAAAATGTGGTTAGGTAAGTTCAAGGGCCTTCATGTTTTTCTTTCTTAAAAGGACTTATAAATGATAATCGAATGCTGCTAACTGCAAGAAATCTTCTATTGGGGTTTTTCAAGGCTCATATCTCGGCCCCATCTTTTTTACAATCTCTTTTAAGGATCTCAGACTAAAAAACCTTCGTTCGTGTTGCAAGAACTGCATATTTTGATAGCGAAAGATTTTGACGCACTGGGAAACTCATTGCTATAGCTTTTATCTCAATTACAGGACCATTTGATAAATATATAAACCTATAAATTTATACATGTAGATTTATAAATCTTTTCTGCTGACTAGTTAAAGGTGTTAATTTTGAGTAAAAGGTTAGATGAAACTTTGCTTCATTTTAAAGTTTTGCCAAAATTTGCCTTGAATTAAGAACCTTGAGAATGCTAAGATTTGTTAGAATGAAACGAGTTAAGTTAAGTTAAGTTAAGTTAAGTTAAGTTAAGTTAAGTTAAGTTAAGTTAAGTTAAGTTAAGTTAAGTTAAGTTAAGTTAAGTTGCATAACCTGGAAAACAAAACTAATAAAATTAAAGGAAATCAGAGTACGAAGCCCAAATTCTGGCCAACTTTCTTTGCTTTTTGTGGAAGGAGATTTTCATGAAATAAATTTAACAAGTTCCATAAACGAAGATGGATGGTCTATCTCATTTTGCCGAGATTTGCTGTTTGAGTTTTTGAATGGTCTAGCAGCGTTGAAGTGAAAAGTACCTAGGATTGGAGGTGTGTTTGCAACTGTACTTGTGCTATATGTATATTCAGTTTTTGGGATATTGTATTCATGATGCCTAAAATTCTAGCATAAGCTATTTAAAGTTTTTCCAAAGTCATTCATTGGCCTTTCTATCCGTTCTTATCCTGTCTTATTTCCCTCTTTCAAACTTCCCTTCCCTCCCAAATCCCTAGCCTCTCCCTAAAGCCCTTGGGTCATTCCATGCCAAGTTGACTAGGGGATCCCACATGCACCACCTCAGATTTGCATGAAAATTTGTGTCAATGTTCATGTATGTAAGATAGGAGCATCCTAAAAATTTGTTAGGACTTTGCTATAGGCTCCTCAGCTCCTCTTAATTACCAGCTATAGAAAAAAGTTTTGTTTCAAACATAACATGCGGCTCTAATTTTGTCCTAGGTACTACAGTTCGTGGATCGAGGCAGAAGATATTAGCAAGAGTGAAGTTAACTCTTCGGATTCCCGCAGCCGCACCGAGAGTATGCCGCGTAAACGCGCGGGCAACAGTGTAAATGAGAAGGCGGAGAAGGAAAACACGGAAGATAGTTTGATGAAGTACAATAACTTTGAAGAGCCAGCTTTTGTAGATGCCAGGGATGATGCGGATACTTCATGGGCAGACGACGAGAATCATTTCAGCGACGCCTCTGGTACTGAATCTGATTCTGAATCTGATAGTGAATCCGATAGTGATGATGGCGGTAATAGCATTCACAGGAAACCCAAGAGTCCCGGTGGCAATGCGAGTTTATTCTTGCAAAAGAAAGACGATAGGACGGAATCGTCTGAGGGCGTTGTGTTTGCTATGGATGAATCCATCTTTCTTGAGTTCGGAGAGCCGTCAGATTCAGAGGTCAGTATATGCTTTGAGCCCTTTGCTTACTGCAATCAATCTGACGAAAACTGAAGACGTTTAGCTAGGCTTCTGTTTAAAGGCAATCAAACGATAGTTATGTGGCATAAGGCATCTCTCAAACAATATAATAATTGGGCAATCAATTAGCGTAACACTACACTAACGTTTTTACTGGCCAATAGTTGATTGACAGGTTGCTGAAGCCACTTTGGTATTTTTTTATTGCCTTTAGGTTAGAAACGAGTGCTAAATCATATAGTTTCTCTCTCCCAGTCAAAAGTATCCCTGCAGGTCAAAGATTTCCAAGATTTCTCTATTACCATCATTTTGTATTTACAAAACTTACAAAACGGCATTTGACAAAATCATTTTGCGGCTTAGAAGTGACGAGCCAGTTGTTCTGAGCTTTATACCTATGTTAGCTTTGTATAGTATATCGCTGTCGTCACGTTTTCGATTACGTCATTTTTACGTTCCACCGTATTGTTACTTTCAGGATGAATGGAACAGTGATAATCTACCAACTGCAGAAACGTCAGAAGCAATCTCCTCAGAGGCAGTCCTTGCGCAGTACCTGTATATTCAAATGGAGTATTGCGAAAAGAGCACATTACGCAATGCTATTGATGAAGGATTGCATCAATCTGCTGATCGCATGTGGAGGCTTTTCAGAGAAATTGTTGAGGGATTATCTCACGTCCATTCCCAAGTATGCGTCTATTTTGGTTGCTTTAGTTTAGCTTCTCTCTGCTCTACTGCATTTTTGCCTTTGTTTTATTAAGTAGCTGCAAGCGTCTTAGGGCTATCACAAGAATCCTCACTAGACTCATTCTTCATTTTAAAATTTAGCAAGATAAATAATCGGAATAATTTCCAAATCCCATTCAAGATTCATCTACCTTGTCAAAAAGCTTCACTTAAGTCGGACATCCCCTCTGTTGGACCATTTCCTTACTAGCCCCCCCCCCCTTCCCCGCCTCCCTCGGAGGATTCGCTGTACGGGCTTAAACCTAGCTAAATTAGCATTTCATGAACATATTTACTTTTTGATTCTGTGTACTAATTTATTTATAGTTGTTTGTAGTTTCGTTTTTTTAAATCTAAAGGGAATCATACATCGTGATTTGAAGCCATTTAACATTTTTATGGATTCACGTGATCACGTGAAAATTGGCGACTTTGGATTGGCTACATCTCATCCGACGGTTCCAGTCGATTTCTCCTCCCTAACGCTTAGTTTAGCCTCGGACAGCCGAGTATCAACAGATTCATCTAATAGGATGACCGGGAAAGTTGGGACTGCATTGTATGTCGCACCGGAAATTGACAATTCAGGCGAACGTGTCAAGATAACGGAGAAAGTTGATATGTACAGTCTTGGAGTAATATTTTTCGAAATGTGTTACCCGCCGTTACCAACTGGGATGGAACGTGTGAAAACTCTTGGTCTACTAAGAACAGTAAGTATTCATAAACCGTATACTGAGGCAAAACGATAAACCAAATCATTTTTTGCACAACCTCATCTCTTTTTGAGAGCTTTCTAAACAGAAAAACTGTTTGTTTCCGTACTCATTCGTTACATTACAAACAGTGCAGTGTTGTCATGTGGTATCTAAAACTCTGTTTGCATGTTAATTTTTCAAGCCCTACCTTGCATGATGTCCCGTTATCAAAACAATCTCGTCCATTTATTACCTGAAATCTTTAAGTATACCGAAGGTTGCATTCGTCAAGGTTCATAAAAATGAATTCAAGAACAAGGTTAGGGCAAACCCGATTCTCTAGGATACTTTAACTGACTAGTGTCAAGAGGCCGAATCATAAAAATCATAAGGATACCAACATAAAAAGGAACAATTCGAAAACAAGTATTTCAGAAAATTTTAACATGTCCATTAAACCAAGACCTTTCCCCTAATTACGTCATGACACAATGCATTCTGGTACTTGTAGTTAAACCCGCGAACATTTGTCTATGTTTTGTACGTCGATCGGGCGAAGTTCTGTTATTATCCAACGCTCTTTGCTCGAGTAATCAAACAGATCACGGAAAATACGGCAAAATATACCGAGCAGCACATCTCAAGGTTTCCACAAAGCTCTTGCCTGGAAATCATCGCTGCAGAAAGTCGTTCCGACGGCAATTTGACTGGGATCTACGATACGAGAAGGTCTAGGCCAAACGAACGGAAAATTGAAAAATATGGGACCAAGGGGATAATGCTTCTAGTACTATGTAGTTTTGATTTCAGTTACTTTAAAGCCATTTACAATGGTTGGATATAACCCCTTCTTTTATGGGGGAGGGCAAGAATTATATGTCAGCACAAGAAGAACTCAAGACAAATTTCTGCAGTATAAACAAAGAAATTCATCATTCTTAGCAGGGTGCTGCAGATTTTCCTATCAGATTGGAAACAGATCTTTCTTAATACTAGATGCTTTTAATTGAAGGACAAACCTTGGCCTTCACAGGAAATAACAGTTTCCTCCTAGTAAAATTGGGTTTCACGAATATGGAACGTAAATATCCTTCTTTTCATAATTTATATCCATGTTTTTCACTTCTGTGACTGCCAGGCCTAAGGTGCACTTACGCTGTTCAATATTGTTAGTGAATGTTCAAAGTGTCTTCCATTGAACTGTTTACTTCAGAAATTCGGTATAACCCTAAAAGACTTTCCTGTCAATTGCATATCTTTCGAGGCCCGTATCGTCTTCTTGACAATCGATAGTGAACTGCTTGTTTTCCTCATTTGGCCTAATCGCAAAACCAGAAAGACTCTCTTTGACATCAGTTCCAGGACAAGAGCTGGGAGAAAAACTAGAGATGTGCTGTTCGGTACATTCTACCGTATTTTCCATTATTTGTTTGACTATTTGAGCAAAGAGCGTTGAAAAATGACAGAAATTCGTACGATCGCCGTACAAAACGTAAAGACATGTTCGCGGGTTTAACTACAAGTACCAGAATGCATTGCGGCATGACGTAATCAGGGGAAAGGTCTATTATATGGACGCCAGCAAGTTTTGATTTTGCTTTGAAGGTGTTCTGAAAAATACCAAAAAAATTCAAAAGACACTGTTCAATGATTCATTTTGTTCAAATCGCATTTTTTCACAGGAAAAAATATTACTACCGGATGATTTTGAAGAAAAACCGCGTCCGGTTGAAAAGAAGATCCTTAACTGGCTGTTGAATCACAACTCGGACGAAAGGCCTACGGCCTCCGAGCTTCTTGAAAGTGGATTGGTTCCACCTAAACTAGAGGATCGCCATTTTGACGAGCTTCTAGCCCTTACACTAAAGCAACCAAGCTCCACGCGATACAAGCGTCTTACAGCAGCTTTGTTTAGCCAGAATCCTGACCCTGTTACAGAACAAATATATGACTTGCAATTCGAGAAACGGCAAGAAGGAATGCTGCTTGCATGCAACGCGCATGAATATGTCGAGAACGCTTTACGTACGCTGTTTACGCGGCACGGTGCTGTACACTTGGATATACCATTGTTAATGCCCCAAAATCGTGTATTTGAACAGCAAGATTGGATTGCTAATATCATGGATCCGGAGGGTATAATTCTATCGCTGCCGTTCGATTCAAGAGTAAGCCTTGCGCGTTATGTTTCGCGGAATAACATAAGGAATATTAAACGTTATAGCATCAACAAAGTGTTCCGTGACACAAAAATTAGTCGCACCCACCCTAAGGAAATTAAGGAATGCTCCTTCGATATAATCAGCGATTCTTCAAATTCGATGGTGCCTGATGCGGAGGTTCTTTTCGCTGTGGAGGAGGTTATTAAGTATTTCCCATGTCTGAGACAGAGAAATTTTTACGCACGGGTTAATCATACGAGTCTTTTGAAAGCAATTTTGTTACAAGCTAATGTAAATGAAGAACAGTTAAACAAATTATTGACATTATTGCAAAGCTCAAAGGGCGATAAGGATTCAATGCAGAAATTAAAAAACTTCTTGACTAGCGAAAATATACCGGAACACAGCATTGCAAAAACACTTTCGATGTTAGATATTGAGGGTCCATTGAAGAAAGTTCGTGAGTCTCTACATAGCGTTCGAAAGTCAAGAGGCCTGGCAGGGTCTCTTGCAAAACAGGCGTTTAGCGATCTGACAGCGCTCTGCAAAAGCGCCGAAATGTTCGGTCTGCAAATGCAGGTCCAAATTCAGACACGCCTTGCTTATAACCTCAATGTTTTCTCTGGGGTTGTGTTTCAAATCGTCGCCGAGCATAAGCGTAAAGGAAAACTTGGAAATGTTGATATATTGGCGGCTGGTGGGAGGTATGATAATTTGCTGGAGACATTTAAAAGGTCTGGTGAGCAGAAGTACGTGCCACACGCTGTTGGAGCAAGCATTGAATACGAGAAGATTGTCAATGCCATCCTGCTAGATGCGTTGGAAACCGAATGTGTCCCCCCTGAGTTGAGCAATTGTGACGTCTTGGTTGGAGTTATGGGTGAATCGATACCTGCAGAAGAAAAGCTCAGTCTTGTTAGAGATCTCTGGGGACTGGGTACCTTTCTTTTTACACTATTTTGACACCTCTCTTGTTTTTGCTTTAGCTCATTAGAGCACGTATAGGTATTTTACTGGTTGTCAAACTTTGTCCCCCTTTGCCAAATGAAACATCATTAGATTATCATAATTTTTATTATCAATTATCATCAATCATCAAAAATCATAATTAATCATAATTAATCATAATCAGTTATAATCAATCATAATTAATCAACGATCATTTCAATCATCATAAATCACAATGAATCATAATCAGTCATAATTAATCATAATTAATCAACGATCATCATCAATCATCAATAACAATCGTCAGTAATCGTCATAATCATGATCTCTTTCACAGACATACGTCTGTTCTTTTACTTTCTGTCATCCTTCTTTAGTTTTTTATTGCTCCTCAAATAGATACTTTATTGTCTTAGACTGGAATTAAAACAGTTGTCAAGATTTCATTTAACTTACTCATGTATGTAGTCGTTTCTCTTTTCTCAAGGTATTAAAGCGATGCTCTCAACCTATGACGCTGACAACAACTCTACACCTGAAGTACTTCAAGATATTTGCAAAGAATCTGGCATCAATCACCTTGTTCTTCTCAAGTCTTCAGATATGGATGTCAGAGTAAGTGTACTCGGCATATCGCAAACAAGCAACCAGGATTAGTTTCATAAACCACACAGATAGCATGAAATTGCAGTTTATAATTGTTTAAAAGCCAAATGTTCCAATATGAGAATCAGTTGTGCTATGGTTTAGAACAATTTCTGGAGGTTTCTTTAATTTTTGTTGCTGGGCATAAAAGGAACTTTAAAATCTGTTACGTAATCGTAATTTTCTTTATTTCAATTACATTCCTTGTTTGCTGTCATTCCCTTTTTAGACGAAATTCTCTTCCTGTGATTATCGTGCCTGCATTCTCTCTTCTACGTCATTCCAATCCTCTGACAATTTTCCACTATGTCCCATTTCACTACCTCTCATCCTTGATTATGTTTGTCAATTACCACAACCATAACTTAAAACTTTTGCTATGAAATCTGATGAATTCTTATAAAGTTTTGTAGAGAAGTTTTGCTATTAACAACAATCTGGTGAAAGTGTCGGACGGATCCTTGGGGAGAATAATACCCTATGCTTCCAGCTGAAAGCATTTTTTTTATTAGTTTACCTCCGTATCTAAATTGCTTTAAAGTACTTTTAACAGTAATTTTGGTGAACGTTCTCTTCTAAGAACATGTTGAGACCAATTGCCTCTGATTTTGGTAATGCCAACCGATGCTACCAATGGAATTAAGAGTTGAATCACATAATTTGCTTTTTAGGTTCGAAGCAGAGAGAAAGACTGGTTCACCGAAGTCAAACTACCAAGACAATCAATATGTGATTTCTTGCAGCAAAAGATTTCTGGTAAATCTGAAACAAAAGAAGTCGAATCGATTGTTTCAAGGGTAAGAAGTTTGTTATTTTTCCCACTTAAAAAGCCAATGAAACGAAATTTCACATTCGCTGTTTAAGGCCTAATTTATTAGACTTAAACTTGCTGATTCAAATGATGTGTATCATGGCTGAACTTAAGCTTAGCATCTTCATGGAAAATGCATTCGAAATCCTTAATTCACCAGCTTTGCATGTTACAACATCGATTTGCAATGTGACGTCTCAATGTTTGCACTCTTTAAACTACTGAAGCATACTTTTGAAGGTTGGATTAGAGGCGAATAAATATACTATAGCAAAGTTGATCTTGTACAATGAAAAATATTGATACACGATCACGTTTAGAGCATATGTAATCTTTGTAAAGTGTTGAGGGATTAACGCAGTACAGTGAATAGAAATATCAAAGAATGATGGAATGAAAGAAATATGAAAAACAAGGTGATGCCGACGAGAGAAGTAGGTAGATATAGAAAGATGTGGGCGTAGCTTGATTGCAGGAAAGTCGAAAGCGAGCTTAGAAAAGAGGAGATAAGTACGAAGCCCACTCAAGGCTAGAAATTCGTCCCTTCATCCAGTTTTGAATTGAAGATCTCTCAAATTAACTTAAGATTTCTAATAAGATTATCTCTCAACCAAAACCCTCTTCGACAAGTTTCTCTGTAATCTTTGATAGGCCATAATAGGTTTCATAAGCTAAGGTTTCATGGAAATTACTGTTTACCTGTCGCTCATTTTGTATAAGTGTCGCTCATGCACCGTGTCTTGTAGATACAGCTGTACTCTCTTTGGTTAGTAGTGTCGTATATATTTAAGCTGCGGTTTTGATGCCTTATAAAACTTTCAACAGGAAACGTTTTAGATTTTACATCGTTGAAGGTTTAGTATAATGGACTGCAATGTTTACCCTCTTTGAATTATGAAAAGTAAAATTGAGAAAGTATTTAAAAATATTGATTTATCATTAATGATTAGGTAAGGTTGTCGACTTGTGACTGTTTAGGCGATTCCCACCAAATATTGCTGCAGTTTTAACTGAATGTGGTTGCAATTTTCATCGAATGTGGTTGCAATTTTAACTTATTGTGGTAGCAATTTTCACTGAATGTGGCGTCTGTCTTGTTTCTTAACATCGCAATTATAACTTTACCCATCCTATTCCTCAGTGTTTAAGTTTACACGTCACCCTTTGTCTTTTGATCCTGAAGTGGATTGAGATTGGGCGCTCCCTTACACAGAAGGATTTTTCATGCTTGTACTCATGTGGGCGCTTAGTTTTTAGATTACTTGGCTGCTTTCTCACTGTTTGTAAAGGTTACTGACACACTGACAGAAATGGAAACTTTCACAAAGTTTTCCCACAATTGACCCCTTCAGAATTACTTGATCAACTCTTCCAGTCTCTACGTGGTGTTTTCTTTGCTTCGCTTTGTAAATCATATGTGTATAGCACATCTCATTAAGCCTTGCATTATTTTTAGTTTAGACGTAATATAATATAAAAGTCTTCAAATGGAAGTTGTTAATAATTATTGGTTTTACTGTCCAATTTTTTCTTCCAGGTTTCTTCTACTCAACAACTCCAGCTTAATGATACGCAGTTGATGAACATAACTTATATTCTTCAAGATAAATCTCTGAAACGAAAGATTGAAAGTCAAGTGCAAAGCATTTTGTCCACTGTCATCCACCAGTCGTTTCTTAAAACACCTGTAGAAGTGGTCGTGGTACGTATGCAACCAATTTTGTATTATGTCAAGTTGGTATTTTAGATCAGGTCACTAGGTACCGGAGCAATAGCAGTCTGCAGAATTGTATTCTTATCATGTTTACTGAAAATGCAGCTTTTGGTAGGAACCAAGTTAGTTTCTTTGCCTTAATTTGCATGTTTTGTTTACAAATGCAGCTTTCCAAATTAAAGAAAGAGATAAAGAAAATATACTTGCCTGTCTTGATATTTTCGCGTTTTTTATTATTCATCCCTGTTTCATCCTACAGTAGAATCCCGTTTTAACGTACTCGGTTATTACGTACTTTCGGATATATCGTACTGGTGTGCTTGGTCCCGGCAAAAGGTGTGCTTGGTCTTAGTCAATTTCTACTTACCCTCGTTACAACGTACTTCGGATACAACGTACTTAATACGCTGGTCCCTTAAAGTACGTTATAACCGGATTATACTTTATATTGATAGGAAATCTGATGACATTTTTTCCTGTGAAAAGATTTCCTAGACAACATTAATGCATTCATGTTTTTTTTTCTAGGTTGATCTTCAACCCATAGTTATGAAGAACTTATTTGCACACTTAGATATAGACGCAGAAGACGATGAATTTGAAGCAAGTGTTTCGGATATAATAGACAAACAAAAGCTTAAGAAATCCGCATTGTCTATACACAGAATTTGCTCTACTTTAAGGGAAATCAAAAAAGAGAGGAACGTCGTATTGCTATATGGGTACAAAGATGATTTTTACAGAATTTTTATTTAAGATTGCAATGCTGAAATTTTTGGTAGATTTGTATCAATATTTATTAAAAATGAAATGTTTATCTTATATAGGGGATTTGAATTTTAATGGCGTATTTCTGTTTAAAATTTTCATATATACCTCATTTTTAAAATATTTATTTAAAGTAGGCATATAAAAATAGCTACAAAATAAAAGCTAATTCAAGCCTACTACAAAGTAAAATTGTTTGAAAATAAAAAAATAAAAATACATATTTATCTAACATAAAAAATAAGTATAAATACATATATACATATTTTACAATGTTTTTACAGCATTTTTGGCATTTACAATACAATATATTTATCCATTCAAGAACCCAACCTGACCCAACCTGACCCTTCGGTCAAATACTATCGTGGAAGCAATTCAGTTTCATGGATTTCATGGAGTTTACTATTGGTAATGTAAAGAATATTGAATATACTTCGAAGAGCTTGATTCATTGCGTGCCACTGCCACAGCAAGACGAACTCAATTTAAATGGCCTTCTTCAAATATCAAAAGCCTTAAGAAGAACCACAAATAGTTTGCTATTGTTGAAATATTTGCCACAAATAATTGCCACAATTTTCATAAAACGTTGGCAATCAAAGGTACTTTAAACCTCAAAGCGAACTTCTTAGAATCAGACATTTCATGATAAATCTATTTTGCATTGTCCGCCAAGACTCATTTGTTTATAGCAGTAAGGTTGTCGTCAGTTTATTCAAACTGTTTCTTTGCTGCATGTCAGGATAGATTCTATTTCTCAAATTGTAAGTAATCGGTATGATATTTGATTCCCTTACTATCGTCATCATTTAGAGTAGGCTAGAAAACATAGCAAATCATTTGCGATATAAGTTACAACTTATCAAGGTTTAATATTTGCATTTCAATTAAAATTGAAATCTAATCAAAAATTGAACCTTAAAATTGATTTTTTTACAAGCAACATAAAATAAAGCTTTAGTCTGCACTGTTAAAAGCTCGACTTGGATTGTGTATTTTGTAGAGCCTAAATTTGCATATGTTCCATTCGAACAATTTTCTGAATTATGGAAGGTACTTTATTTCTTTATTTGTTGTGGGAAAATCTGCCAGAATTCATCTCCAATCTAGGGTCTGGTCTCAACTCCGAAGGACGTGGTTCACATCTTTTGGGGCCAGTGGTGGAGCCACGGGGGGAGGGGGGAATGGTGGGACTAGTGTTTCAAACAGGAAGAAAGTGTTTCAAACAGGAAAAAAGGGCATGGTCAAAAAAGGGCATGGTCCCTAACACACCTTTTGTCCCTCCCCCACTTATCCCAGGCTGGAGCCGCCACTGTTTGGGGCTGGGTGTCATTTAGATTGTAGCTAAAATTTCGTTCTTCAAAAAGATTCTTCGTGGAAGGTAAGACTAGATCCAATTGGCTTTTTAGATCTCTGTCAAAAGCAACTGTATGTCTCTCACATGGATGCACCTTAGTTTGCCTCAAGCGAAGTCAAGACAATTTGCATAATATTTGTATGTAATGTGTAAATTAAAGTTTTTCTTTTATTCGTGGCCCCATCATAAAACGTCCAAACATGTTGGCTGTAACTAAAATGGTATAGGAGAAAAACGCTCATTTACTGTTGTAGTTTGCCATGTCCACACAACAGCATACGCGGGCAAGGGCGGGGAGTTTTTGACTAGTCTTTTTTACCGAGGCTTTATTTTTCTCAAGGTGGTGATCAAATTTCTACCCGAGAGGATTCTTCTCACTACTTTTCTTTACAGATGCCTTGCCATATTGATAAACAATTCAGTATTTCTCATTCCAGAAATTGCTGCAATGGCATTTATCTTCATAAAGTTATTGGGAAACCATTCAAGTTTCGTGGTATTATGTTCGAAATTGACAATGACAACTTCTATGTTGGGGCCACGCGCAAAAATAGTTGCATCATCTGCAGGTCTGCAAATTTCTAGAAGCATTAAAACGTCTATGTTATTCGAGTATGTCAAACAAAACTGGTCCTAAGACAGAACCTTGTGCTACTCAATGTATGATTCTTGCCCACTTTAATAATAACAGCAGTATCTTGGAAATGGCAAAAAGAGAGACTTTTTCATCAGCAGTAGCATAAAGATACCTCTGTTTAAATTTCTATTGAGTAGGAAATTAGTTTTACTCTATATATGATCTTTGCTCACACAGCAACACAGATGATTTCCAAAAGATTTTTCGAATATTCGATTAATATAATATTCGCCGCGATCGCAGTAGCGTATTTAGGGTGGTAAGACCTAGGGGGCAAAGGCAAGTTGAGCGAGGGAAATTGGGGTCCACACCCTTTGGAATGCCAGAAAAAGCCCATTGTCGAAGATACTTTTTGCCATTAAGGGGCATCGGCCCCTTCCCGCCTCCCCTCACTGCGCTACTACGCGATCCCTGTTCATACACTCTGGTAGCTTTAAGCATACCAAGTGGAAAATACCTCTCCAAGGACTTGTAAAGCTTGTGATCAATCTATAGGGAGAAAAATAGACTGCCATCTCGAAAGCTCCAAGCGGGAGCCCTTCTTTATAAAAATGCGCTAAATCCCAGAAGAACCTATTCCTTATCCTTTGGGATCATGGCAAGAATGGCTGCACAATTTTTGAGGCTACAGCAGGGCCTAGTCATTGAATTCAAACTTTAGAATTTTGCGATCAAATCTCCAAACAAGGAGTCAGCTGTCAAGATAGGCCATGTTGCTCGTTCCCACAGAGGCCATTCCTTAGGTAATGTGCGACTTTTTCTTCATCCAAAATTACATTCTTCAACGTGCGCAATCAATAATTAATCTGGAAAATGATCTGCTGTCAATTCGCCAAACTTGGTCACGTTTTTTTATAAATTATACATTGAATTAACGTAAGTTTCTGTGACTCAGTTAAATGTTCATCAAATCCACGCTACCGCTCGTCACAGTACATTTCGTGAGCCTTTTACCATGAAAGAGCAAGCCATCTGCTTTTTACATGCCTGGCTGGATGTTAACTGGTAGCTTTCAAGCGTGTGTTTACAAAAGGATTTGCAAACAAACTCTTGTTTTTACAAAATGAATCTGTCATGCAAATCAGGGTTTAAAAACTCAACTTTCTGGCATCGCTCATTCTGACCGACCAGAGATACCTTGAAAAACTCCGATGTAAATGGTGGATAAAATATAAACTCCGTTTTATTGCCAGGGACGCTGGAACGGCCAAGGGGCAAGGGGACAGGCTTCGGCAAAAGGCTGTTGCGGAGCCATGGGGGAATCAATTTTGTATTTCGTCTAAATTCGACAAGAAAATGTTGGGGGGAGGGTAATATTTTGGCAACGCACTTTAAGTGACGTAATTCTATGATCTTCAAACTGCCTTTATATAGCCAAAAGTTTGTCTTGAATGTTCCCTTCAGGTAAAATTGGCGTTCCTTGCTGGTAAAATGGCGTTTTTTGATGCTGTAAACGGCGTGGTATAAAAATGTTTGCCTTGTTCCGCCCCCCCCCCCCAGATCGTAGTGGCTGGCGCCGCCTTTGGCGAAAGGGCATCTAAAAAAATTTCCCAGCTTCTACTTATTCTTTTGTAACTGTCTTGTAGAAAATTGTTGAGAAACTTCATCATTAATAAGTCACTACAGGGTTTTCACCCCCCTGTCCCACCTTTCAAAGGCAAGAAAGGCGGCTGCCCGCCGCACGCCTCCTCCCCGGCGTATCTGTAGGTTGCGTGTCTGGTTGGAGTTATTCAGAAGATGCTTAGGGTCAGATTCTGAAATTATCCACTGGCAAATAAAGTACCAAAGTATAACGTTAAAAGAAATCTATTTTTTTAAAATTGTATATCTTTGACCGATTCACCTTCAATAGCACCACGAAATAGCTCTATTATTGCAAAACCAGTAAAAGCTATTTCAAATTAACTGAGCTATGACAATTGAAAGGAGTGAGTTTGGTTAACGGACTTATGCTGTTTTGGCCTGGTTCATAAATTTAGAACCAAGTCTGTGCTCGTGACGCTATATCTAATAAACAAATTGTACACTATCTTATTTTACAGTATCTAAAATTTAAGGGTAGTTTGTAGTGCTCTTTTAAGGTTTTTGATCCAAATCTGAAAATAATAAAAATTGATTTTAATTGCAGCATTACTTTTATTTGTTCTGATCCGCCAAGAGAGAGACAAATGCCCTAGGCCTCAAGAGAAAAGTTAAACATGTTTGCTATCTGCTTAGATTAAAAAAGATCTGAATTATGCTTACTGCTTCCTTGATTACATCGGCACAATGAAGAGAACATCAAATGGCAAAATGACGGGATATGCTTAATCTCTACCTAGTTGTAATGACGTCATCATAGGCAAGCGACCTCGTTGCAACTAGGCAACTTTGCCAATCGGATTTAAAAACGCAAACATTTCACAGCTCACTGAAAACTTTATCGTCTGACACTCCTCAGAGTATGAAACGTCGGAATAAGGGTCCGAAAAAGCAATATGGAAAATGTATACCCAGTTGTGGACCTAAATGAGCCAATCAGAAAAATGCAAGCACATGACTGGCATAGTTGTCCAATCAGTGCTGCGTGCCTATAGGAAATTATCACTGGAGTCCAAGAAAGAAAATGAACTCCTTCTGTCTAATGGCGGCTTTTTCGTTTGTATGTAGATCGATTCCAAAACTGCTAGATGTAAAGACGACCGGGCTCTGCCAATTGTCCGAAAAATATCGTCATTATAGAGTTTAGCACAATCTAGGTTTTCTAAAATATGTTGACCGATGGCAGAATCACTTGTTTTAACGGGGTTTCTAGACCTACAAGATCGAGGAGGCTGTTCTCTTTGAGGTGCAGTTTTGTTTTTTATGTTGAAAGGGACATGGTGTTCTATCCACCCATCTTTAGGTTTGTGTCCCACCCCTAAAAGGTACCGATGGTAAGGCATTCGCAGCAATGCTCTGATGCCTTTCCCTTTTTGATGACAGGAACAAAAATAAAGTAATCTTGAAGGTACCCCCTTTTCCCCGATAACGATATGGTTGGACTTCTAATCAATGCCTCCACGTTCATCTCACTGT